ACGGGAGCGTGGAGGAAGGCTTGATACATCGTCGCTTTTGGTTGCAATGGAGTTGGAAATAGATTCTTGGCTTTTGTTGTTCTGGGCTGTCCAGCGGGGGACTGATCGCTCTCTAGATGCAGTAGAGTCGAAACTTCCAGTAGGAGACATGGTGTCATTCGGCGGAGGTCGGGAAAGAGGAGAAGGCCTAGGATGTCGAGGGACTTCTCCAGGGCCAGTTTTAGGTGTGTTTGAGGCTGCAGCGATGCTTTGCTGGCTGGCTGCTGAGTCAATCGTCTGTTGCCGGGGCGAGGCCCCCGTTGATCGTTTGCCAGCCCCTAGAATTTGGTCCAATTCCTTCTGGTCAAATCCTGATAATTCGGGCAACCTGCCCCCTGTATATTTGCCATATATCTTAATCAGGCTTGCGATGAAGAACTTCTTCTCTTTTTCGGTTTGGGCTTGCCAGAAATAAGGCTTTCCTAGCGTGACGAGGAAGCCAGTTTCCCCAGCCCGATCCCGCAGACTTGGGGGGACCTTGGGTCCTGTGTAGGACTCTATGTGTGAGAGGTCGTCTAGATTCCATGTTTTGCCAATTGAGAAAGATCCACTGCTATTTTCTTTGGATTTGTGTACCCGAACCCGCCCAGACTTTCGTACCGCTACGACGATAACTCTAGGTTTCTCTGCATTATGGCCCCGAGCCTCAGGAGGAGGTGGCATCGACGAGTGTGAGGAGAATTCGGTAACGCGGATATGGGTGATATAAGTTTCTTGCACTATAGCTAAAGTTAGTAAAAAAATGGTCTTTAAACAAATCCATGAAAATCAAGTCTTACGCAAGCCATCTGTATCCTTTTTGTTGAAGCAGCTCTCAATAATTCGGCGCTTTTCGTCCTCAAACCTTTCCGCCCTGTTGGCAGCTGCGCTGGAGCTGCTTACGTTCGTTTGATCCATGTTGACATCCAGAAAGACGATCGCTATTGAACCTCATATATTAGGTTAACAACACAAACAAAATGGCCTCCGCAAGCATTGTGTGCAAGCTATGACGCGTGCCAGATCGTGAGCAATGCTAGTACACCGAAGCTGCAATATCAATGTCACTCGTATTAGGGATGGATGAAAGGACCCCACAATTAGGTTAATTAAGGTACCTAGTACCCAGCTCAAGTGGTCAAGTACCTAAAACACCTACTACTTAGGTAGTACTCTGTAGTGCTGTATGTTCTACTAACCTAGGTAACAGTGCTAATAGAACTAATATCGTATATAAAATCATATGCCCATAATTAATACTAACTTGGAAAAAGTAGTTGGTTTTTTTTTTNTTTTTTTTTTTTTTTTTTTTTTTTTTTTTTTTTTTTTTTTTTTTAAATATATATTATAGTATTTATATTAAAAATCTTTAATATATTAAATATAGTACCAGGATATATTAAATACAATATTTATATAATAATTTTAACATTATAAGTGTAATTTAAGCAGCTTAATATATTTATTTTATATACTATATGCATATATATATCTATTAATTATGAAATACTTGTTATGCTTTCAATATTTCAGCAACTAGTACTTTATATTTGACTAAGCTCTGTCCCTCTCTTAATCTCTCAACCAGGAACACTAAGCAGCAAGCTAGCCAATCAGGTAGCTCCATTATCAAATCCAATTCAAAGTCTTGCCACCAATCTTCTACCAGCTTTCACTCTGCCATCTTGCCCCCCCTGCCAACGCATCGCAACATCACCATGCTGTCTGCCAGAGCAACGTTTCAAAAGAGCAGGAGTCTCTCTCGAAACGCTACGAGAGGCTTAGCAACTGTTCAAGATGGCGGTCCCGCACGAACATATGGAGGACTGAGAGATCAGGACCGGATTTTCCAGAATCTTTACGGACGACTCCCTGTCAACCTCCAGAGCGCTAAGAAGATGGGCGATTGGCATAAGACTAAAGAAATCCTTCTGAAAGGCGACGAATGGATTATTAGCGAAATTAAGGCGTCTGGTTTACGTGGGCGAGGTGGTGCCGGTTTCCCCTCTGGTCTCAAGTGGGTATGTCACGACCTTCGACCTCCCTCCAATGCGACTTTGACGAGATTTTGACACCAAAACAGTCTTTCATGAACTTCAAAGGCTGGGAAAAGGATACGAAGCCGCGGTACCTTGTGGTCAATGCCGATGAAGGCGAACCTGGCACTTGCAAAGACAGGGAAATTATGAGAAAGGATCCTCATAAACTTGTTGAAGGCTGTCTTGTTGCCGGTCGAGCAATGAATGCTACCGCCGCCTATATTTATATCCGTGGCGAATTTTACCATGAAGCTGCCATTCTCCAGAATGCCATCAACGAGGCTTACGCCGATGGCTTGATTGGCAAAAACGCATGTGGTTCTGGTTATGATTTCGATGTCTATATCCACCGTGGAGCTGGCGCCTATGTCTGTGGAGAGGAAACGTCTTTGATTGAGTCTATAGAAGGCAAGCCTGGAAAGCCACGACTTAAGCCTCCTTTCCCTGCCGCCGTTGGAGTTTTCGGATGCCCCTCAACTGTTGCTAATGTGGAAACTGTTGCCGTTGCGCCGACTATCTGTCGCCGCGGAGGAAACTGGTTTGCTGGATTTGGCCGCGAGCGTAACCAAGGAACTAAGCTGTTCTGCATATCTGGCCACGTGAACAACCCTTGTACTGTTGAAGAAGAAATGTCAATCCCTCTTCGTGAGCTCATTGACAAACACTGCGGCGGAGTCCGCGGCGGCTGGGATAATTTGCTGGCTGTTATCCCTGGTGGTTCCTCTACCCCCATTCTGCCCAAGAACATTTGCGACGATCAATTGATGGACTTTGATGCATTGAAAGATAGCCAATCTGGCCTGGGCACGGCGGCAGTCATTGTCATGGATAAGAGCACCGACGTTGTACGCGCTATTAGCCGCTTGAGCCATTTCTACCGACATGAGAGCTGCGGCCAGTGTACACCATGCCGTGAAGGTAGCAAGTGGACAGAGCAGATAATGAGCAGGTTTGAGAAGGGCCAGGGACGAGAGAGAGAAATTGATATGCTTCAGGAGCTAACAAAACAAGTTGAGGGTCACACCATCTGTGGTAAGTGCTGCTCTGCTCTTTACTGTGACCTTTCATCCCTTCTAACATTTTTTTTTCTTTAGCTCTCGGCGAGGCTTTTGCTTGGCCAATACAGGGTCTTATTCGCCATTTCAGACCTGAATTAGAAGCAAGGATGGAGAGTTATGCCAAGGCCAGCGGTGGACCAGCTTTGGCCGGTGGCTGGGAGCACAATTCAAGGGCTCAAGGAAGACTAGTTTCCCCGGGCCAGTAACGATGATAATTTGTATTTATAGATCATCTATTGGCATTCCATCGCTAACAGTTAGCCTGGGCGATATTGCACCATGTGTGATACGTGTCTTAATATGTAAAAGCTTTTTATTTCAAAGTTTGATACCATTTGATATTGCTTTCTATGGGAAACGATAAGATTGGACCCGAATCCTTTGAGGGAGGCTCATGTGACAGTGTAGCCGCCATCCACACGAATATCAGCACCTGTTACGTATTGGCTAGCATCAGAGAGCAGGAATGTCACAGGGCCCATTAGATCTTGGGGCTGGCCCATTTTGCCTTGTGGAATGAGCGACACCCATTTTTGCTTCAGCTCTGGATTCTCGTCCATAATTTTCTCGGTTCTAAGCACAAATATGAGTTAATGGACTAACCCTGCGGCGAGAAAAGACCCAGAAATGATCACTCACAATGCGGTTAGCATGTATCCTGGCGAGATACAGTTAACTCGAATGCCAGCATGGGCCCACTCAACGGCAAGCGACGCTGCCAGATGACGGACTCCAGCCTTTGAAGCATTATAAGGTCTGAGATATTTCATGCTCTTCGTTAGTCGACTGGAGTTTCTTGTGCGACACATTTTTGGGGCACTGGTGGGGTGAAGGAGTGCGAAAATATATCGACATCACTTACGCTTGAGGCTGGGGAACATTGACAATGGATCCTGACATGCTACCAATCATAACCATGCTACCAGGGCTCTTCCTCTCCATTAGGTGGCGAGCAACTGAGGTAGCAAACAAGTATGTGCCATCCACATTAACAGCCCAGAGTTTTCGAAGTCGATCAATTGGATAATTGACGGCCTCAAAGTTTTCAGTAAAGCCAGCCGAAGTGACCAAGTTGTCTATTTTGCCATGTTGCTGGATAATCTCAGCTATGCAGGCCTCGACAGAGTCGGGATCCGCTACGTCGGCGTAATGTGCCGTCACCTTGGGAATGCTAAAAAGGAGCAGCCAGACCAGACGTGTTAGATAGTTGGATACAGGTACTGTGCATCAAGAGGGGAGCAGTTTTTTCACCCAGAGCAACTAACCGTTCTGCATTGGGGTTTTCTTTGATAAACGCATCTACAAGCAGCTTTGTCTGCTTTTCAGCCTCCTCCTCTGCCGCCGTGTTAGATATCTCCAACGTAGGAAAGTGCTTGAAATCTCACTGTTCATGTCGACCAAGGCTAAATCAGAGCCAGAGTAGACCATTCCCTGGCCAATCACAAGCCCAAGACCTCTCGCTCCTCCAGTGACAACGCCGACGTTTCCATCAAGAGAGAAGCTAGCAAGCGTGGGCTTGACATACTGGCCGCCGGTGCCAATGACAGGTTTACTACTTGGGAGCTCGTGCTCGGCGGGGTATTCAATCTCAACGTCGCTATCTGTTCGAGAGTGGCTGCCGGGCTTGTCCTGTCGTGGTGGCACAGTATGAAGCTTTCTGGCTGCGACCAATGGAAGGCGATTGGCCGACGTGGGCATAAAGGTTCGGCGAGCTGCGAGCCGCAGCATGAACGCGGGAGCTCTCACCGTCGAAGCCATGTTTAATCTGCTTGAGCGGAGGTTGTGTACGGTCAGAGTCGACGTGGGAGAAAGGGACGATATATATATATATATATATATATATATATGCCGACGGCATATATGGTGTCCCTGTGTATCTCCCGATGTCGCTCTTACGGCAATATCTATTGGGGTGGAGGCGACTAAGGATGCTCCATGGAAAAACCTGGATAGCCATGGCCGTCATACTGCTACAGAGGCTGGTGTGGATGCCAGCCGTTCGACATTGCCACTTATCTGCCATGTCGATCCGGCCGGCATATTATTCATGTTGCAGCTCATCATCTGTGGTGAAATCGAAAAAGACGCCAGGATTGAGCCCTATGCCGCCCACTTATGTAACAAGCAGTAGGTACTTGTTACTATTTCCAATTGCCGTTCCTCTTCTCGCCCGCTTTCCGATAGCCCTGCCCCCTTTATTTCACGATGCCGCCTTTGGCGGAGCTTGCCGCAGACATTTGATTCAACCACAAAGTTCTGGGTTTCCGCATTTCTAGTCTTGGGTGGATAGCAGGATTAGCGCGTGCGGGCACGCAAGTGACGGTGCATAGATTTGGGGGCGTTAGGCAGCAGGATAGGAAAGGTCATCTAAAGGTGAAAGCTGAACTCTATGCTAAGCTATGTGCTAGTAGGCACTGGTGCATGTCTCGTGACGATTCTGTAAAGGTCGGTTTGGGTCTCCAAGTATGTGTGCATACGGGCAGCAGAGTGGTACGCCGCCGTCGAATAATGGCTTCTTGTTTTGTTTTCTCTTCATTCGCAATTTTTCTAGCCGGGCGCCGTATAAGTACGGCCGGTATACAGGATATGCATCAGGTCATGTAACAGAATCAATTACCTTCCATGTTTTCTATAACCCCCACGCCGATTTCCTACATAGTAGCACAGAGCAAGACTCGAAAATTTGAGTGCTTGTTCCCTAACATTGAAGCTACCTCCTACCTAGGTACCTATGCAGCGGCATACGAAGTACCTAGTAGAATATTAATGAGGCATTAAACTACAATCCCAATGCAGTGTGTGTGCCTTATCCAAAGCCTTTTATATCTTGTTGAAGCTTTGTACATCTATTTTTTCCAATTCTATTTCCAAGTATACAGATAGGTAGGCTATAGTCATCATAGGATTATACTAAGGAGAGAGAAGCAGACAGTACGAGCACCTTGGAGGCACTAGCTGGTACCTCGCTTTTCCCACCAAGGAGTAGCGCGGGGTGTCTTTGTGGCAGCTGCGGGGCTTGCTACTAGACCCTGCTAATGAAGTATTGCACAGAATTATCCTCCCGAGCTCTATCGCCAACGACTTATCGAAAATTCTAAGAGCCCCAATGATTGTCCGCCATCATTCGCCAGGGTTGTGAGTCGATATGTCTGAACATGCTTTCAGCAGCGACGCTGCCGAAGACTATACCGACTTGTCTCTATCTGCCCAAGCTCTAGCGTCGGCGTCCCCCGCTGTGCGCATCGCCGAGCTGCAGCATTTGGCTGAGGCAGTGGCCAAGAAATGTAATGTCCAAGTTGTGTCACTTTGATAGCATTTAAATGAACTGACCGTCCCAATAGCGTCTGACGACGAATTTGCTTCCAAAGCTCTGCAACTGGTCTTCAACACTCATCCATCCTACCAGGATCGTGAATCTAGATTGGCAGCCCAAAGATGTCTAGTATCAATCGTCACGAGAGATGATAGCTTCTCAACACTGGAACAATTGGCAAGATGTTTGAGACAAGAATCTTCGAAGCAAGGAATTGCTACGTCCAGCGCCTTTGTTTTGGCCGAGTGGTGCAGCATTCTTATGCAACATTTGTCTGAAGCTTCGTGGGAAAAAGCTGGCAACGAGATTTTGCTTTCATATGCAGACGTCCTGGAAAAGTGTGTAGGGCCATCTTCAAGGCCCACGCTGGCACATTCAGCCATTATAGTAACCCGAAGAGGATTTCGGAAACTTTTTAGTTCGCCAACTTTGGGACCCAAGAATTTGAATGATTCTGTGACGATTCTGACCTCCAAACGCAGCACACCAACTGCGAAATATTCCATTATTCTGGGGGTCATTGCCGGGGTTGCTGTTCGCCGACCTGCGCTACTACCTACTCTGCAGACTCTCAGGTCCATGTACTACGAATTTTACAATCGGGAGATCTTGGGCTCTCGTTCTACGATACCAAGACATGTTGCCGCAGGGCTCAGCGATTTTTTCTCCAGCTGCACGGTACTGGACGAATTCCAGAACAGTGTTATCCCGCCTTTGGAGAAGAGTTTACTTCGTACCCCTGAAGTAGCCCTGGACCGCGTTCTTCCCAGCCTAGTGAAGGCTCTGCCCGCCGAAATCGATCTCTCAAAAGTGTTGACCGGCAAACTTCTGAAGCTGCTGCTCTCGAACGTTAAATCGACTAATAGTTTGATCCGTGCCGGGGTTCTCGCCTCCTTCCAGGCTATCATTGCCAAATGCCACGACTCAGATGCCATCGACCAAACTATCGAAGAGATAGGAGGCCCCCTGAAGAGTGGTAAATTGGCATCCGCTGATCAACGCATTCTTCACGCAGAAATGCTAGAAGCAATTCCTCTGTCTTGCCCAAATGCCCAGAAGATGACCACTCTTTTGGCTGTTGTCGCTGGCAAGGAAGGAAACGAGGTAGCGTTGGCCGCCGAAACGTTGACACTCTGTCGAGCCGTCAATGTCCTGATTGATGGCAATAGCGAAATCTCGCAGCCCGTCCTAGGCGCATTGCTCAAAGGATTAGCGGATAAAAAAGCGGCAATTCGAAAAATTTGGCTTCTTCGTGTAGGATCTATCCTTCGTGCTATGGATGGCTCGGATCCAAATGCCACACTATTCACGTTCACAGAGGCAGTCATTCCAAAATTCATTGATAACTTTCATGAAGTTGTTGCCAATCCCACGTTGGCTGCCCAGAGCGGCACTATCGTTGGAGCCTATATCCTCACTGCTATATACCCCGTTATTCGACGATGGTCTTCCGATTCAAAAACTGCACAAGATCTGCTGAAATTGTCAACGACAAGCCATGCACTAGCGTCTATACAATCTTTCCTCTTGAACTCAAAGATTTATAACAAGATTGGCGGCGAAGAAGACTATCACTGGTTTCGCCTTGCGCTGGCTTCTGTTGCAACGGGATTGGATAGCAACACTCAGAGAGACATCGTTCTTGCGTGGGCAGAAGCCATGATATATATCGTTGCAGTCACTTCTGTGCCGTCGAATGTACGACAAGAAAGCGCCAGATCCCTTTCTAGCCTCTATGCTCAAAATCCCAGCATGATGGCAAATATTATCGCTGATGGCCTGTGGTCACTCTTGACTCATTCTATTAAAGCTGGGGATAAAGACTCCGCTGCGGAATCGCGAGATTTGGTTAGAGTTTTGAAGTCGATATGTATTGGCTCCAAGGAGTTGGAAACACTTGGAGGCAGCGTATCGCTAGAAAGATTGGAGCAGCAAGCTTGCTCTTTACTAATTCTATGCCGAACAGAGCTAATACCCCGAGCTAATTGGATAGACATGTGTCTTCGAATGGGCATCGACCCTGGAAATCTTGCCCAAAAATATGCGGATCCATTGCTTAAGGAGATAAGCGAACGCACTTCAGCGGACCAGAAGGTATTGTCCGCGCTCTATTTTCAAGGTATATATAGGCCGCTAATAGGAATCCCTCAGATTGAAATTATTCGAACTGCAGCTTATAATGCAGCCGCCGAATTGGCCTTTGTTGCCCCAGACACTATCATTCCCCGTCTAATAGATCTTATAACCCATGACTTAGATCCAGAGCCTGTGAAGGCCATTGGGCCTGTTGATGCCGCGATTTTTAGAACCCAAGAAGGGGTCTGCTTCGTGGATGTCCTCAGTAAAAAGGGCAAAGAAGACATTCCAAATAAGAACACTAAAGATTACGATATCATGAAATGGGAGAAGGAGCTGAGAGCCCAACTTGAGGAAAAGAAAGGCCCGCAACGGAAGCTGACCGCCGAGGAGACGTCTAAAGTAAATGCACAATTGAAGAAAGAGGCTCAAATACGAGCATCTGTTCAATCAATTGAAGCTAGACTCCTACGAGGCGTCGGTATTGTACACTCCCTTGCAGTTGGACCACCTACCGATGCGACACTCTGGCTTGGATCTGCTATCAAGTCACTTCTTGCAGTTATGGAAGCTGGTGCGAGCCTTATTATAGGCGATGCTGCCTCCAAGGTTTACATCGATTGCTCTGAAAAAGTGAGCTCTAGGCTTGGCCCAATTCGCCCTGCTATTGGAATCGCTACGCTTAGACTTCGAAATCTGTCGTTGCCAGCAATCTATGGAGACGAACCACTCGCCGATCTTGCAACAAGACTCTTGTATCGTCTTCGATTTGCTGGTGAGCAGCGACCTTTTGATGCGGTATCTTTAATATACATCTTTCCACTTCTCTTTTATGTTTTGCGAGAAGGGGGCGTTGGCGACGCTCTGGATGAGCGAGATACTCAAATCGTACTAGCTGTGGAGTTCATCTCCTTTCACAGCATTACCTTTGCTGATGAATCAATACCACGCGCAGAGCTTTTGGGCGTTCTCATTCATTCCATGAAAAGCCATGCTCAACACTACAAAATCATCAAGGATTGTTTTGCTGACGTCTGCCGATGCATTGCGCCAAATATCACTACCAATGAGATGTTGGTCCTTGCTCAGGGGGCGGTGATATCACAAGCTAGTGTCCGCACTGCTGTTTTGCAGTCAATCAGCGCGGACATTGATATGACTGAACTCGGTTACAATAATGAGATTTGGCTAGCGTGCCATGACGATATAGAAGAAAACCAAGAGCTTGGGAAGGAGATATGGGAAGAAAGCGGGTACCAGCTCAATGCCGAAGTCCCTAAGTTGATGGTACCATTTTTAAGCAGCAAAGATGGACAACTCCGTCGGGCTGCGGCGCGCTCACTTGCGAAAGCGACGCAAATCTACAAAGAAACTCTAATGGCAGTCATTCCCGAATTAGAGTCCATCTATTTGGAAATGGCAAAGCCAAAAGTCCAGTTGCTTGATGAGTTTGGAATGCCAAAGAAGATGGATCTATCTGACCCGTGGGAAGCGAGACAAGGCATAGCCACTGGTTTTAGAGAACTTGCTAGTGTCCTGGATCCAACCCAAGCGGGACAGTTACTCGACTTTTTGATCCAGTCTGGGCCTCTGGCAGACAAGAACGCCTCAGTTCGAACTGAGACTCTTGATGCTGCGATAAGGATCATCGAATTCCAGGGAAATAGCATAATTGACGAGCTGATGAAGAAGTTCGAGGCGACCCTGGAACAGCCTGACAAAAATAGCGACGAAGTGGATCGCGTCAACGAGGCTGTTGTTATTATGTATGGCGCTTTGGCTCGCCATCTAGATGCAGGTGACAAGAAAATCCCTGTTGTGATTGAGCGTCTTTTGGCAACACTGAGCACCCCATCTGAGATGGTCCAATATGCTATTGCTGAATGCCTACCTCCGCTTATTAAAGCCTATCCATCAAAACTGCCGGACTATGTGCAGCAATTGATGAATGAACTTCTGAATTCTAAGAAATACGCCACCCAACGAGGGGCTGCTTACGGCCTAGCAGGCTTAATCCTTGGAAGTGGTATATCTACTATCAAGGAATTTCGAATCATGTCAGACCTTAGAGGTGCTCTGGAAAACAAGAAGGACTCACATCAGAGAGAGGCAGCTCTGCTGGCGTTTGAGCTGCTATCCAGTATACTTGGCCGTCTTTTCGAGCCTTATGTTATTCAAATTGTGCCTCTGCTCCTTAGTGGATTTGGAGACGCAAACGCAGATGTCAGAGATGCTTGCTTGGCAGCCGCAAAGGCTTGTTTTGGGAAACTAAGCTCATACGGCGTTAAAAAGATCATGCCGACTCTCCTAGAGGGACTTGACGATCAGCAGTGGCGTAGCAAACGAGGGGCCTGTGACCTTCTCGGTGCAATGGCATACCTTGATCCTAATCAGCTCGCTACCAGTTTACCTGATATCATCCCCCCTCTAACGAGCGTGCTCAATGATAGTCACAAGGAAGTTAGAGCCGCCGCTAACAGAAGTTTGAAGAGATTCGGTGATGTCATCAACAACCCTGAAGTAAAGAGCTTGGTTGATGTTATCCTAAAAGCTCTTAGCGATCCAACTAAATATACCGACGAAGCGTTGGAATCATTGATCAAGGTTCAGTTTGTGCACTACCTTGACGCGCCTTCTCTGGCTTTGATCACTCGTATCTTGCAACGTGGTCTAGGAGATCGCTCAAATACAAAGCGCAAGGCAGCACAAGTAATTGGAAGTTTGGCTCACTTAACGGAAAAGAAAGACATTGTTATGCACCTCCCAGTCCTTGTCTCCGGGCTTAAGATTGCCGCCGTTGATCCAGTACCGACGACCCGTGCGACGGCATCCAGAGCCCTGGGCTCTTTGGTTGAGAAGTTAGGAGAGGATACGCTGCCCAATCTCATTCCCGAGCTAATGCAAACTTTGAAATCGGACACCGGTGCTGGCGACCGTCTTGGATCTGCGCAGGCATTGAGTGAAGTCCTAGCTGGCTTGGGTACAAGCAGACTCGAAGAAACGCTGCCGACAATCCTCCAAAACGTGGAGTCTTCCAAACCTGCTGTCCGTGAAGGTTTCATGTCTCTCTTTATATTCCTCCCTGTTTGTTTTGGCAATAGCTTTTCTGCATATTTGGGCCGAATTGTTCCCCCAATCCTTGCTGGCCTGGCTGACGATGTGGAGTCTATTCGCGAAACAGCTCTTCGCGCTGGGCGGCTGCTTGTCAAAAATTTTGCAATTCGGGCTGTAGACCTCCTTTTACCGGAATTGGAGCGAGGATTGGCGGATGACAGCTATAGAATTCGTCTCAGCTCTGTTGAGCTTGTTGGCGATCTTCTCTTCAACCTTACGGGAGTGAAGGCTGGTGCAGAGCCAGGAGAGGAAGATGATGACAATGCCAAGGAGGCAAGTGCATCTTTGAAAGAAGTTCTCGGAGAAGAGAAACGGGACAAGATCTTGTCTACTCTCTACATCTGTCGATGCGACACGGCTGGGGCAGTTCGTTCTGCTGCTATTTCAGTTTGGAAAGCCCTTGTTCACAGCCCTAGAACACTCAAAGAATTGGTACCAACTCTAACAAGGCTATTGATCCAACGCCTTGGCAGCTCTAACATGGAACATAAAGTCATTGCCAGTAACGCGCTTGGAGAACTAATTCGAAAAGCAGGCGATGGTGTTCTTGCTAGTCTCTTGCCCACCTTGGAAACAGGACTACAGACTTCTACAGACACCGATGCCAAACAGGGCATATGTCTTGCCCTTCGCGAGCTTATTTCGTCTGCATCACCAGAGTCTCTGGAAGACCACGAAAAGACGCTCATTTCTGTTGTCCGTACTGCTCTCATAGACTCGGATGCAGATGTTAGAGAGGCAGCCGCAGAGGCGTTTGACTCCCTTCAGCAAATTTTCGGCAAACGGGCAGTTGACCAGGTTCTTCCGTTCCTACTCAACCTCCTTCGATCTGAGAATGAAGCAGAAAATGCCTTGTCAGCACTTCTAACGCTTTTGACTGACTCCACTCGGTCGAATATCATTTTACCTAACCTCATACCGACTCTAACGACCCCACCAATTTCAGCATTTGATGCAAAGGCTTTGGCTTCTTTGTCTAAGGTTGCTGGCGCATCCATGAATCGCCGTCTACCTAACATTATCCAGTCGCTGATGGAGAATGAAATCAACTGTAGAGAAGACGGGTTGCGAGAGGAATTAGCAGCGTCATTCGACACGGTGATTCAGTCTATTGACGAATATGATGGCCTTAATACTGTCATGAATGTTCTTCTTGGCCTACTTAAGCATGAAGATCACCGACGGAGGGCTGCTACGGCTCAGCACATGGGAAATTTCTTCTCTGAGTCAAGCGTGGATTACTCTCGGTATAACCAGGACATTATTCGGTCGTTGCTGAATTCGTTTGATGACGGAGACCTGGACGTGGTCAAGACTGCTTGGAGTGCTCTCAGCGTGTTTACGAAGAAGCTCAAAAAGGAAGAAATGGAATCACTCGTTTTATCGACTCGACAGACGCTCCAGCGTACCGGAGTTGCAGGTGCTAACTTGCGAGGATTCGAACTTCCTAAGGGAATCAGTGCCGTTCTTCCAATCTTTCTTCAGGGTCTCATCAACGGCACTGTAGAGCAAAGAGTGCAAGCGGCTCTCGGTATTTCTGATATTGTTGACCGCACAAGCGAAGCATCGCTGAAACCATTTGTCACCCAAATCACAGGACCGCTGATCCGTGTGGTTTCTGAGCGTGCTACTGAAGTAAAATCGGCCATTTTACTCACGCTGAATGGCTTACTTGAGAAAATGCCAACAGCACTGAAGCCTTTCCTGCCTCAGCTTCAACGAACCTTTGCTAAGTCTTTAGCAGATACGTCTAGCGAAGTTTTGAGGACTAGAGCTGCAAAAGCCCTAGGAACTCTGATCAATTATACGCCCAGAATCGACCCTTTGATTACTGAGCTTGTGACGGGAGCAAAAACTACCGATCCGGGTGTCAGGACGGCAATGTTCAAAGCCTTGTATGAAGTGGTCAGCAGGGCTGGCGCAAACATGGGCGAAACCTCCAGATCAGCTGTACTGTCATTAATCGATGCGGATACTGATGAAAGAGATGAGGCCATGATAGTCACCAATGCAAAGCTTCTAGGCGCTTTGATTAAGAATGTATCTGAAGATGTCGCCATCAGCTTGCTCAGAAATAGGGTCATAACACCTCAGCTTACTAACTCCTCCGTCTTGGCTCTGAATTCAGTATTGGTTGAGTCGCCAGACATTTTATTGTCGAGCGGTTTAATTGATGAATTACCAGGGCTGCTCTGTGGTGGAATGGGTGATAAACGAGTAAGTCCATGCCTCAGAAACAGTTTTGCAGTTTTACTGAGCTAATAAATTTTACGCAGACTTATATCGCAGATAACTTCATCCTGGCAACTGGAAAATTTTTGCTTTCATCCCCTCCAAAATCATTTGATGACACCAAGCAGATATTCGATGCTTTGGCGCTCATCATCCAACCGGGCAATGCTACTGATTCACGGCGACTTGCTCTAGTGACCATTCGTACACTAAGCAGAAAGAATGCTGATTTAGTACGACCTCATGTGTCACTGTTGGCGCCGCCGATTTTCGCGAGTGTCAGGGACCCAGTAATACCTGTAAAGCTATCTGCTGAAGCAGCATTTGTTGAGTTGTTCAGTGTCGCAGACGAAGAGAGCCGAATATTTGATAAGTATTTGGGAGGGCCGGGTAATGATCTGCCTCCAAACACCAAGAGAAGCATGAGTGACTACTTCAAGCGAGTTGCCATGAGGCTAGGTGTCCAGGCTAGAGAGAGGAGAGAAGCTGAGGGAGGACAAGGGAGCTTGGGGCTGTCGAATGATGAGCTCGAGGATGAGCGAGAAATATGGAGCGTGGGAAAAGTTGATTTTGATGGAGAGGCAGCTGTATAAGCCAAACCACAGAAGGATAATTACTATAGCACGCCGCCAGCATTACGCTTTACACTGCAGCAGGCAAACACAATTTTATAAGATCATTTAGAAAACAAAACAGAAATACATCAAGTTTCATCTTGGCATTACTAGCAATATGCCTGACCGCTACCATGATATTGCGACGAAAATGCTAGATGAAGTCTTCCAGAACCAAATCAGACTTGCTTTTATGATTGCTATAGACTTGCGACGTTGGTGTATGAAAAAAAGAAGAAGAAGAAAAAAAAAAGAGTAGCATCATCAGTGGCCCCACCGATTTGGTTCGCTAGGTTCCCTCATTCCCTTGAATTTTGCGAAATGGAATACTGGCACTAGCAGCTCTGGCAGGCACCAAGCCAAAGGCTAAGCACGTGACCAAGACTATGCAATGCTAGACCATTACTCATTCCAGCCCTCGCTTAGCCACTCTCAAAGTGCTAAAATTTGGCCTAGTGCACGTGAACCCACAAACTTTGAGCAGAACTGCTACGAGCCTCTCCAGAAATTCTGGCCTCGTAAACCCTCCCCCAAAACTTCATCCAACCTCATCGCCATCGAGGGCCGGCCATCAACACCGAAGTTATTCAAGATGTGAGTTGCTATTATATTTATCCGACCTGGACAACACGCAAGCCTACGAATGAATGGATTGAGACGACGACCTCTCATTTGATTCGAATCTTTTCAATTAGCGATGGAGGGGACATTGTTGCTGACGAAAGTTTCTATTTCTCATGGCTTAGGGTCAACCTGCGAACTCAGAAGCGCCTTGCCGCGTCAGTCATTGGCTGCGGCAAGCGCAAGATTTGGCTTGATCCTAGCGAGCAGAGCGAGATCTCAAACGCCAACTCTCGCCAGACTATCCGAAAGCTCGTCGCCGATGGCCTCATTATCCGAAAGCCGGTGACCATGCACTCGCGATCCCGAGCTCGCGAGCTCAACCTCTCCCGAAGAGAAGGCCGACACCGTGGTTTCGGTAAGAGAAAGGGTACCGCCGACGCTCGTATGCCCACCCAGGTTCTCTGGATGCGCCGCCTTCGCGTCCTCCGCCGCCTTCTCGTCAAGTACCGTGCCAGCGGCAAGATCGACAAGCACCTCTACCACGAGCTCTACCACCTGAGCAAGGGTAACACATTCAAGCACAAGCGTGCTCTGGTGGAGCACGTATGTTTTACCTCTCCTTGTCCTACCTATACCTTATAAGGGGAAAATATATGTTCTAACGTCGCTTTTCAATTTAGATCCACCGTGCCAAGGCCGAGAAGCAGCGTGAGAAGGCGCTCAAGGATGAGATGGATGCTAAGCGTGCCAAGACCAAGGCCGCTCGTGAGCGCAAGTTGGAGAGAGTGGCGGCGAAGCGAAACGCCCTGCTGGCGGATGACGAGTAAAACCACTTTTGAAGGACATTCTCGGTCTGAGGGGCTGCATTTGGAGTCTACGGGTTGGGTTCTTTTTTCTATGCCCTTCTGGTTTCTACAGTCGTACCGATGGGTTTGTGGCATGTAGCATTGAAAAAAAAATGAAATGGTAAATGCTGAGAACTTTATTCGATCTCTTGTTGAAGCATGACAAATTTTACGTCTATGATACCTTGGGGAAGATTTTAATGGCCTTGCGGTGATGGATGGATATGAAAATGACTGGGCATGTAGTGGTGTGAACTGTTTAAAGGGTAGGGTTCTTAAAAGACATTTATTTTTGCAGCCAAGCTGTGAGACGGGATCTATACTTGTTGAGAAACAGACGTGAGAACTTGAGGTGAAAACAACAAGGCCATGTACGCAAGGAGAGCGGGGGAGGTAGAAGGCAGGAAGAGCTTCGTGCAGAGGACAATGAGGCCAAGCCCGGGGGCACATCAACTATTGGTTGGATCAGGATCCTTCAAATTGCCCCTTTAAGGTGGTGAAGGGCGCCAGGGCATATCAGCATGCTCCCGCAAGAAGCGGAATTCCAATAAGCAAAACCAGGCAGTCTCGTCACGCCCAACTTTAGTTGATAATATAGAAAGAAGGGGAAAGGAAATCAGCGCAAGAGAGTCGACAGCATCGCGTATTAAACATCCGAATAGAGCCGGGGGCGGGGAGCTGTGGGGAAGCGGGAAAAGAATAAGCCGAAGAGTCGAAAGTTGCGCCGTAATCGCTTCAACGGGAGGATCCTTCTCTGCTACTTTAGAATACTACCCGTCTCCTCTTGTCTTGACATTGGATAATACATAAGAGGTCGATCGCGGGCATCTGCCGGGGAACCACAGCACTGTCCTATCTTGTGGAGGCATGGGTAGCTTGCAATGACTCAAAAGGCGCTAATTGAAGACATCGGAATCTTCAATCTTGAACGTACAAGTCTTAGCAGCTCCATGCTATGAATTACATTATGTAACGCATTTCGCCGACGCAGTGAAACTATTTGTAAAATGCGCGTCCTAGGCTAGTTGCTATTCCTCTCAGGACAGCTAGAGCGCGGCTGCGAAGCTTTGCGAAATTCGGTACCTGGAAGATATGTAACTGCACACTACTATCGGCGGCAAACTATACTGCCTTGGGTTGTATGCGGGGATGGCGAGACTTGCAGCCGGATAATCACGGTCAGGCCAGGCTACGGAGCGCCGCCTTTCAACCCACGCGATCGGGATTGCGAGCGGCAAGCATCGCCGGCACAATTTCTCGCCCGGCCATCCTGTCCTCTGTTGCCGCATCCTCGCACACTCATTCCTTACCCACCTCGCCCTTTAAATTTCCTGTTTGCGTCGCAATTGAAGTTGAGTTCAGCTTCCCGACGCCATGGCAGCTTATTTGCGAAGCAGGGCCATGCCTCTAGGCGGCTTGAAAAGGCTGGCAACAAGGCCGCCGTCTGTAACCACAGCATCTCTGATCACTCGACGAGCAAAAGCTTCACTGGCCCAAGATGGCCAGCAGCAGGTCGGTAAAATTCCAATTGGCCATGACAGGCATCGTGTACTGACTGGAACCTAACAGCTTCTTTCGGCGCACCTCGAGAAGGCCGACCCGGCTGTTTTTGATATCATTGAGCGAGTCCGTCTCAGAAGAATCAGCCCATCTAGCAAGTGTTGCGCATGCTGAGCCTTGGAGCAGGAAAAAAACCGACAGAAGCACTTCATCAACTTGATTCCATCAGAGAACTTCACCTCCCAGGCTGTACTGGATGCGCTGGGCAGTGTCATGCAAAGTACGTAAAGGCTGAAGTCGCCGAGTGGCTGCTCAGAGTAACTGACGGCTATTTCCTTACAGACAAGTACTCGGAGGGCTACCCTGGCGCCCGGTACTATGGCGGCAATGAGATTATCGACCAGTCCGAGAGGCTATGCCAGCAGCGAGCACTGGAAGCATTCAGCTTAGATCCCAAGTCTTGGGGAGTCAATGTACAGGGCAAGTCAAGCATTATTCAAAGCTTCCGTCTGACAATCGAACTAACAATTATTACTTCCAGCTCTTTCTGGTGCCCCGGCAAACCTCTATGTGTATTCGGCACTTATGGATACTCATGACCGACTGATGGGCCTTGACTTGCCTCATGGTGGCCATCTTTCCCATGGCTACCAGACGCCGACCAAGAAGATATCTGCAGTGTCGAAGTATTTCGAAACTTTGCCTTACCAACTGGATGAGCGTACTGGCTATATCGATTACGATAACCTTGAAAAGCTGGCCACCATCTACCGACCCAAGATCATCATTGCCGGAACCAGTGCTTACAGCCGCTTGATTGATTACCAGCGCATACGCGAAATTTGTGACAAGGTCAACGCTTATATGGTAGCAGATATGGCGCATATCTCTGGTCTTGTTGCCGCCAAGGTGCTGCCAGGTCCATTCCCCTTCGCTGATATTGTCACCACCACTAGCCACAAGAGTCTCCGTGGTCCCCGAGGAGCCTTAATCTTCTTCCGTAAAGGTGTTCGAAGGCAGAACCCGAAGACCAAGGAGGACGAAATGTACGACCTTGAAGGTCCTATCAACAACTCCGTTTTCCCTGGCCATCAAGGTGGTCCCCACAACCATACCATAACCGCTCTTGCTGTTGCGTTGAAGCAGACACAGACACCGGAATTCCATGCCTACCAGTCCCAAGTTCTAGCAAATGCAAAGGCCTTCGCTAAGCGTCTTGGAGAAGAGAAGGGAAAAGGTGGCCTAGGATATAACCTTGTCAGTGGCGGTACCGACAACCACCTCGTTCTCGTTGACCTGAAGCCCCATGGCATTGACGGTAGCAGAGTAGAGCGCGTTCTGGAACTGGTTGGCGTTGCCGCGAACAAGAATACCGTGCCAGGTGACCGATCAGCCTTAGTACCCGGCGGTCTTCGTATGGGGACACCCGCTATGACAACTCGTGGCTTCCGTGAGGACGATTTTGTCCGTGTGGCAGATGTTGTTGACCGAGCCGTCACTATAGCGACTCGCATCAACAAGACTGTCCGAGCGGCGGCTCAAGAGCGAGGCGAAAAGTCGCCTGGTAAGCTCAAGCTCTTTGTAGAGCATCTAGGAAATGGAGATAGGGATCCGGAGATTGTGCAACTGAGAAGCGAAGTCGCGGATTGGGTAGGCACATACCCTCTCCCTTGGGACGCGGCTCAGTAGATGAATCCCATATGGCAATGCCCTGTTCAAAGAGCTGCATCTTGGAATAGTTAAATTGAAGGATTCTTCTACCACCATTGTAGACACCAACGCCGCGATTTTAGACGTTCGTCTACTGCTATTTATTTGCCAGTTTGTTCAATCAAGTAAAAGCACCTTTGTAAAGCTCCATATATGTACACTAAATAGACTACAAGGTAATTGGATGACAATATTTAAATTAGTGGAAAGTATAGAAGCATTCTCCCCTCTCTCGGTGGTAGGGTATCGAACTTAGCGATTCCCTACAGCTATAACAACATTCTCCAATTGTCGAACAGCCTCATAATACTTCCGCAACCCGTCTAGGCCTTTAAATGCGACTTCCGAGCCGCATTCTTCTACAATGGAGTACAATACTGGCCAGACAACAAAGTCAGGAAGGGTCAAGGCGTCTCCACATAGGAATGGAACACGCTCGGTTTTCAGCCCGTCGACAATATAGCTATCCCAAACAGCAAGCTCTTGCTTCAACGTCACAGGTGGTGCTCCGGCACGAGTACCTGTGCTTCCATCGCTTCTCAACTGCCGCCAGGTATTGAACAGATTCATCCCCTGTTGAAGCTGGCTAAATAGCCTGGCAAGGTCTGATGGATTCCGAGCGGTGGCTTCTGATCCAGTGACACGACCTGGGCCATAGCGCGAGTAAAGGTAAAGCATAATAGCCATGTCGCCATGAATTACGGATTTAGCAGCATCGTTATCGATGAATTTTATGGGGAGAGACCATAGCGCGGTCGGGTCGGTTGGGTTGTTCTCCTTATCGGATTCGGAGCCGGAAGCCATACTGCCCTTGGCAAACTTAATGCCATACTCGGCCAGCATAAGTGTGATGCGCATGTTCACTATTGGGTCCGCGGAGGCAAAAAACCTGGGGGAGTTGCTGATATGCAGCACGTCAAAACCACGGCCATAGTGGGCAGGCCAGTCAAACTCTGATGCATGATTCTCCGTGCCGAATGCCTGGATCATTTTAACAGCCTCAGGGCTCTGGCCGTTGCTTATGGGATGCGCGGTGTCGCGGGTCTTGCCTGTTGCCCCCTGACCCCAGATGATAGTCTCATCACGATCCAGAAATGTTCCAATGTGTCTGAATGTAAGCGATATACGGCGGCCTGAATAGGCCAGTTCCGCAGCTGACTTGTCGCGATCTGCGCGCTTGTCTCGTCGGATGGCGTGCAGCCATTTCATATTTGTCTGCAGGCCCATGCGACAGAGTGAGTTGTGAGGAAGTTTGGCACGCTGAATCTTTCGCTTCTCATCCCTTGCGGCTGCTGTCCCAGAAAGATCCTTCTCCAGCCTCTTAGTTCTTAGTATCATGGTTCTTTCCGCTCCAAGGCTGACGTTGGCGATATAAGACCCCTTGACAATGTCCAGCGTTTTGTCGCTATGCTCAGAAATATAGTCATTTCCGTCGCGGTAAAACTGAATGAGGACATGGTTTAGAGGATGGCCAAGATGCTTCTCTATTTCGGCTTTGATGGCTCGGACTGTTGGAGAAAAAGGCAACAGGGGTGGAGACTCATCGGCAGGGTGACGATACACTGGCATCGTGCCATCTTCGTCCACTTCGCCCTGGACAGCGACAAGTCGGGGAACCTCTCCGCCCTGGTGGGACATTCGCTGCCAAAGCACCTCTTTTTCAAGCTTATCAAAAGCTTCATCCGCTAAGGGCTTTGGCAGGGCATCACGTATGACGTCGGTATCACCTTCGCAGAGCTTGTACTGAGGTGACGAGTCACTTTCATTCTCGGAATCGGCAAGTGTGGGAACCGGCGCAACATGTCCCGCTGAGCCATCCTCAACCAAAGACTGATCTTTCTTATTCTCTTTTTCAACTTCGGTGCTAGCCTTTTCAGACTCTTGAGATTTGGCCTTGACTTCAGGGGCCTGGTTGGCCTTGTCTACAGCAGAGATAGGGCCAGCTGGGCTGGAATCTAATTTGAGGCCTGACAGGGACTGTACGATATCTTCATCGCCGCTAGCGACAGCCTTTGCCCGTGGAGCAGATGTTGTGTCTGGTGGTTCACTAGGAGTCTTAGTCCCTGATTTGCCTGGGCCTAAGGTCTTAAGGACTTCTTGCGAGGATAAAATCTCACAGCCAGTTAGCTCAATGAGATTTTTTATCGCTGCAGCCTGTCTGGACTCATGGCGATACCCGCAGCAGTCTTCTATGACTGTAATGGCCATACCGTGGCCAGCAGCGTCCATGGCGGTAGCATAGACACCGATATTCGCGAGAGAGCCGCAGATGAAAACTTCAATAACCATTTTACCACGCAGAGCGCGAAGTAACTGTGTGCCACGAAACGCCGAGTAATAAGACTTGGTTAATTTGAGATCCTTGCTGTGAATGGCCTCCTCAACAGCCAATGGGACGTTGCTCCCTGGATCAGAAGCATTGGCATGTAAAGGCTCTTCGTGGCTTAGAAACGCTTCGGGGTCCAGAGATTCGTCGGAAGAAGCCTCAGTCACAATGGTCTTTCCTTTCTTTTGAGGAGATACAGCTTGCAAAACGGGTGCGCTCTCTGATAATACGATCTGATCGCCATCAATCGGACGAGCTTTGTCAAACCGAGACTGAATCCAGATGACATCTCCCACAGGGCGAAAGGCGGCCGCTATCTCAGTCGTACGTTTGACAAACCCTACGGGACGATTGACAGGCAGCCCGCCATCAGCATCACCGATGAATTCATTTTGAAAGTCAACCACAATGAGAGCTTTGCGTGTTGTGATCTGGGGTAGCGCGGCTTGGTCGAAGGCAAACATTTTATCCAGCTGATTGGCAAGTAATGAATTATAACATGTAAAGGTGCTGTAAATATCAAGGTGGAGAGAGATGGGCTCTTCCACTTGGCTCAGAAAGGCGTGATGTTCAGCTGAACGGCCAGTAGTCTATGTGAACGATAGTCTGAGCTCGTCTCAGCACCATTCATGGACGACAGCCAGCGAAGCACAGTTGAAGTTTGAGAGAGCAGGCTCACTCCACGGCCAAAGAAATTTCCAGAAGAAAGGAGACGTCAGGCCAGGCCTAGCAAACCAAAGAGGCGCAGGCGCAGGTATGTGTTAGCTACGCTAGTCTACACAATTTGGTGTAGTGCGCCATGCAGGCAGAACGCGCCCTAGGATGAATTATGACAGAGCTGAAGGGGCTTATGGAAGCGCGTCGACATGAAGACTTATAGTACGGCTTACGGGGGCTTGCTGCAGAGTTGGCTAGGCACAATACAAGGAGACGGCGCAGAACAGACTAGAGATGTCTCTAGAACTGATGCATGGCATTTGGTGGACTGAGTTGGACCTCGCTGTGTTCCGACTGCTGGCCGCTCAGCTGTCACATGCGTGCTTCATAGAACGCCAGGCCTAGCTAAAAATAGACAAATAGATTCTCAGGCATCTGCTTAGGCACGGTAATTGAAATAGACTTTTTGGGTGGTGGTAGCATTCGGCACCTATTACATAGTAGGTAGCTATGGCCTGTTACGGCTCCCTAGGCAGTACTTAGTAGATAGTTTGTGTCTCCTGTAGTACTTACGTGTGTGTTGCTATAAAGAAAAGATTCAACAATAAAAGGGTGAAAGGCTGAGGCCCAAAAAAAAAAATGAAATTGATTGAAAAGAAAAACCAAGGATGACTTTGAATTGACTTTCCACTTTTCAAAATACCTAAATCTTTTATAACTACCTATGAGTTGGTGGTCATAATACCACTTCCGTATGGCGCATACGCTTAGGCGCAGAATGGTGCTTAGATAATGAAATTGATAGTGCTGATACCACCATGCAGCCCTCACTTGTCTGCCAATATCTTATCTCTACAATATTGAGCATTTATTGACTTCCCTTTCTTCCACATAAACCACAGACTCCTCTTTTCGCTCTATCTCATGGCCGGTGGTAACAAGAAAAAGAAGAAGACGGTAGCAAATCCGGCGCGAGGCTTTGCAACGACCTCTGTTGCGTCCAAACCTCGCTTGGAAGTAGTAGAACCTGTAGGATCACAGTCGTCTTCAGGCATCAATACTCCAAAGAATGCCCCTCCGGCCGCCTCAGAGGCTACCCCACAAGCATCGACGTCAGCCGAGCAGAGAAGCGAACGGGAGGCGCAAGCCAAGGAAGCTGTGCTAAGCCCCGAAGAATTCGAACGACAGCTTGAAGAATCCGAACTGCAACTATTTGTAGAAAAGTATTCTCAGAAAGTTAAGCGAGATGCGCAGCGCCAATGCTCACGGCTGGAGACCGATCGACGCCTGCTTCGGAGCCAGGCAGAGAACATAAATACACCAAAATGGCTACCCCGGGAGTTGATGGATCACGTTCTTGATCTTATCAAAGCTGAAAGTCGTTTTTATGCATCCAGCTTGTCATCTGAGAATGCTGGGCCTGGAAAGATGCCATCTGAAGAAGATCTGGTATCACGCATATGGACCCTGCGGCAAGCTCTTTCTGGGGCAGCATTTTCTGAGAGCATTGTTGAGAGCACCATACAGCACATTTTGGACATCGCGCCAAATATATCATCTGCCCCTCGGGATTATATATGGGGATTAGAAGAAGCCCTGGAATGGCTTGCTCGTGAAACGCCTCTCGAAGAGCTACCTGCGTATGGGAATAGGACCAAACCAGTTCTCAAAGGTTAGCTTCTCCATGGCCATTCAAACCGTTAATCACCGTTGTACCATTATCTAATGTTTTATTTAGACTCTGCGGACAGCACATCGGCAACTCCTTCTCGTACAGGCACTCCTAAATTAAATGCAGCTGAAGCTGGCCGGAATGAAAAAAGTAACCCATCGACTAATCGCCAGGGTAAACCCCGATCACCCCCGAAAACACCTATCGCAACATTTGATGGCGAAATTGAGCCTGAAGATTTGATACCGGAATATATCACCACGAAGAAAAAGTTGCTTGAGCTGAGTCGTATGGAAAAGAAAGGACCGCAGTCCAAACCCACCACGCAACAGTCCAAGGACAATGAGATGGATTCAACAGTGGCCTATTTGGAATCCAAAGTGAAGAAAATAGAATCTGATGTTCTTTTTGACAAATTTTTGGCAGAGCAGGAGTGGAAGAAGGAGAAGGTTGTCTTAGAAAAACAATTGGCTTTGGCCAAGAAGAACCCTGTTGTTGATTCAGACAGCCAACTTCAATCGGAAGATCCTGCATCTGAGGCCGCTGACGATGATGATATCGCTGCTATAGCTGAGAAGATGGCTAAAGATATCCTGGCTGAGAACGCTGAGGATGATGATATAGTAGGCTTGTTTGAGTCTCTTCCACAGAGCGAGGTAGACCCGACCACAGGGAAGCTTCAGACTGTGGTTAACTCTTCAGACGGCACCAAGCTTGTTATTCGAGAATTCTCTAAATGGACAAGCGTCAGTCCAAAACGAGTATTGGAAGAAGCCTGCCGTTCGAGGTATGTGTGACACGTGGCCCCTTGTTTCCAACTCTATAATACTACATTGTTAACAGCGATTAGGGATCCTTCTGTTACTATCAGATACACGGTTGTTTCCGAGGCTTCATTTGCCAACCGTCATTCCGTGGATATCTTGTGGTCAAAGACACAGGAACTTCCTCAAGTCATCGCAAGCTCAGATGTCGAAGCAGCGATTGATCCCACGCATTTTACATTTACTATGACTAATGTCGCCACACCAGATACGAAGCAATCAGAGGCTTATATCGCTACAGTGGCCCTGTTTCATATATTCAATGGTAATCCCAAAGATGAGAAGGTTAATCTCAAACTTCCACCTGTCTGGCGCGACTTCTGGTCTGAGATGGCCGAAGCCAAAAAATCCCATCTGGATGCGCAGGATCGACTGGTTGTGAAACAAATCAGAGCTCTTGTCCGCCAAAGACACGATCAAGAGCTTGAAGATGGCGTCGTTCTACAGGGAGCGTTTCGTGGTCGCAACAATGCCAAAACCTACTCAGATGGAACCGAATCAGGGCATGCTGAGCGGGCGAAGCACTTGGAAAGCGATGAAAGCTTGAAGAAAATGTGGGCTTTAAAGTCGAGTAGGAAGAAGTATGAGGCTATGTTGGTATGTTATTGATTCACGCTATTCCTATCGCGGTACCGCGGTGTATTAACAGTATTTCAGCAATCTCGAGTCCAGCTTCCAATGTGGAAATTCAAGGGCGAGGTTCTCAATGCTGTAGATAATAATCAGGTGATAATAATCTGCGGCGAGACTGGTTGGTAAGTTGAGTTGCCATACCCTTTGCTATATTGTCTATTGCTTACTGCCTTGCAGTGGTAAAAGCACCCAGGTCCCAGCTTTTTTGCTAGAGCATGAACTATCGCAGGGTAAACCGTGTAAGATTTATTGCACAGAGCCGCGTCGTATATCCGCCATATCTCTTGCCCGTCGAGTAAGCGAAGAGCTGGGGGATGAGAAGGGCGACTTGGGAACTTCTAGATCCCTTGTTGGCTATTCCATCCGCCTTGAATCCAACACATCCAAAGAAACACGACTTGTATATGCCACTACGGGAATTGTCATGAGAATGCTTGAAGGTTCCAATGACCTCCATGAAGTTACACATCTAGTACTTGATGAGGTACATGAACGTTCTATTGATAGCGACTTCCTTCTCATTGTTCTTAAACGCCTCCTCAAGCGCCGGAAAGATTTGAAGGTTATCTTGATGTCTGCGACTGTAGATGCTGAGCGATTTTCAGCGTATCTTGGCGGCGCGCCAGTTCTAAATGTTCCCGGAAGAACCTTCCCGGTGCAGGTCCGCTACCTAGAAGATGCTGTTGAACTTACTGGCTATGTTCCCAGCACTTCAGAATCTGATCGACTTGTTGATCTCGATGACGATGCTCCTGAGGCGACTGAAGTAGAGGGCTTAAAATCTGAGATAGCACAGAGCCTCACTGGCTACTCGAATAGAACCAAGGCTGTTCTTGCGCAAATGAATGAGTACCAGATCGATCTTGATCTCATTGTGGAACTCATCGCTCGAATTGCTACCGACGAATCACTGCAGGAGTATAGCAACGCAATCTTGGTCTTTTTACCTGGTATAGCAGATATTAGGTCGCTCAATGATATGCTACTGGGAGATCCTCGATTCGCGCAGACATGGCTTGTCTACCCTCTCCACTCCACGATTGCCATGGAGGACCAAGAAGCAGCTTTTCTTGTACCACCTCAAGGGATGCGGAAGATCGTGCTGGCGACGAATATCGCTGAAACTGGTATTACCATTCCGGATATTACTTGCGTTATCGATACAGGCAAACACCGTGAAATGCGCTTCGATGAGAAGAAGCAGCTTTCTAGGTTGATTGATACTTTCATATCAAGAGCAAATGCGAAGCAGCGTAGAGGACGAGCTGGCCGAGTACAAAATGGACTATGCTTCCACATGTTCACTCGGTACAGGCACGATACTCTTATGAGCGATCAACAAACTCCAGAGATGCTTCGACTTTCCTTACAAGATTTAGCCATACGAGTCAAGATATGCAAGCTAGGGAGCATCGAGGAGACGTTAGGCAACGCTTTAGATCCTCCCTCGGCAAAGAACATACGTCGGGCAATCGATGCGCTTGTTGATGTTCGTGCTTTGACAGGCGCTGAAGACCTAACTCCACTCGGATATCAGCTCGCAAGATTACCTCTGGATGTTTTCTTGGGAAAACTCATCTTATTGGGCTCGATTTTCAAATGCCTGGATATGGCTATTACTGTCGCCGCGATTTTATCCTCTAAATCGCCGTTTTCTGCAACCTTCGGACAGCAGCAGCAGGCAAATAATGCCAGAGCCGCTTTCCGTCGCGCAGATTCAGATGTCCTCACAACCTATAACGCATATCTGGCGTGGAAAAGAGTATGCCAGTCAAGTGGAAATATAGGCAAAGAGTTCCAATTCTGCAGGAAGAATTATCTAAACCAGCAGACACTTTCGAATATAGAGGATCTAAAGGGCCAGCTTCTAACCTCTCTAGCTGACTCTGGCTTCTTGTCATTGACAGAGGAAGAGCGACGGGGCCTCTTGAAGCTACGATATTCTTCAGGCGGACGCGGTCGCCGTCAACAGCAATTCGTCGATGTACCCCAGAGAGTAAATCTCAACAGCGATAATGATCTGGTTTCAACTTCTGTTATAGCATGGAGCTTTTACCCTAAGCTTCTCGTGAGAGATGCTCCGGGCTCTAAAGGACTTCGTAACATAGGAAACAACCAGTCCATAAGTCTTCATCCAACTTCGGTCAACCGTGGACTTTTCGATGCAAGATGGCTATCCTACTACACCATAATGCAAACGAAATCGTGAGTCGCCGATCTATTTCAGGTTTCTATATTCGTGTTCAAGACATGGCTAATCAAGGGTATAGGGTTTATCGTGCACAGGAAACCAGCGCGACAGAGCCTTTCGCGATAGCACTACTGTGTGGTGACGTACGTTGCGATGTAAGTCAAATATATCCATTCCATCTGCAGATGCTTGCCTACATTACCAGGGTTGCTGATAATTTATCTCCTACAAACTCAGCTCTATTCCGGCGTTATAGTATTGGACGGAAACCGGAGTCGCTTTGCTATCCCTGACTGGAAGACGATGCTAGTCATCAAAGTGTTGCGTACGCGACTGCGCGAGTTGCTCAATAGAACTTTCAAGCAGCCAGGGAAACTGCTTACCGCACAGCAGGAAAAATGGTTCGATGTGTGGCAACGTTTGTTTTCCCAGGACTTCAACCAGGACAAGACTGTTGGCACTATGAGCCTATAATCTTTAGCCTGAGCTTTTTTTTTTTCCTCTTTTTTTTTCTGGTCAGGCAATGGACCGGGCTTACAGCATTCAGACGCAAAATTAGAACCAGTGGAACATGCACTGGAGGTTATCAGGATAGGCATATCCATCTAGGCGAAACGGTTAAGTCAAGATTTACATCGAAGCAAGAACAAAAGTAGTGCCTGGTTTGGCATATAGTAGATATAATATTGGCATTCAAGTAGTAGTAGAATTACTATGACTTCTTCTAACGCATATACATGTAAATAATATGTGCTGCGTCAGAGCCAAGCTAAGAATCAAGTCAGGGTATATATTACTATGACTTAGTTGTCGCCCCCCTTATTGTCCTTATTATCCTTAGTATCCTTCGCAGCCGAGCTCTTCAAAAACAGCTCTTTAAAGTCTGCATTACTCTTCGCTTCTGGTTTTGTATCTTCCGCCGTAGGTTTTACATTAGAAATTGGTAACATTCTCGGAGCAGGGAAGCCACCTCCACGCTTCGGACCTGGCCTCCCTAAAGCAGGTCGCCTAATCATTGACGACGGTATGAAGCTCTTCTCCGTGCTACCAGCTGGTTTGTCCTTTTTAGATGAAGTCTGGCTACGGGGAACAATACGATCTTGCACTCTCTCGGCCTTAGCATGGCGAAGATCATCAAGAGAGCCGACTCGTAACTTGCGGCCTTCAAACTCCATGTTGCTGAGCTGCAAGCTTGCCTTGCCCGCAGCGGAAGAGTCTGCAAATTCGATCTTTGCGCCGCCATTGCTAGGCTGGAGGACGAGCTTGACAATGGGTCCAAATGGCTCAACAAGTGCTCTCACTCGGGCGTCATTGACAGTGTCAGACAAACCCATAAGTGCAATAGTACGGGCAGCAATATCGACAGCAGTAGTGGAGCCTCCCATTGTTGTGTCGCCCTCGGCATCGTCAGTCGCCTGAGAGGCTGGAGTTGCGCGGTCGTTTACTACGCTATGAGCCGTGGGCTTTACATTAGAAGGTTTTGAGATCTCAACTTGAAGGATTCGGTTGAAGAACTTGGCCTTGTTCAGCTCTGACGCGGCCTTGTTGGCTTCATCTTTTGTTTCGAAGTCGATGAATGCAAATCCACGACCCTTTCCGTTGATGTTTTGGGGAACGTTTATTCTTGCAATATTTCCGTATTTCGAAAAGACCTCGCGGATTTCCTCTTCTGTAGTTGAAGGGCTCAACCCTGAAACGTGAACTTCTCGGCCCTCGGCAACAGCACCCTCTCGGTTCTTCTTGCGGTTGGGATCTGAGTATTTAGCCAAGAGCTTGTACTTACCATTAAGTAAGGTGCCTTCTTTCGCCACGGCTCTGGCGGACGCATCGCTGTCACGGAAAGAGACGTAGCAGAACCGACGATGCGAGTTCACCTTTAAACTAGGCCACCGAATGCTTAAAATATCTCCACAGTCTTGAAATAGCTGGCGAATATATTTTTCATCGGCGGTAGGCGGGTAATTGGCAACATATATAGTTAGGTCATGGCCAGATTGGACGGTAAGCTGAGATTGCCCGAAGAACTTTCCATGCCTAAGCAATGCGGATCGAGCCTCATCTGGCGCACTGAATTCAATCAATGCGGTTGAAGACTGACCATCCTTTTCTCGAACAAGCGCTGTGATATTGTTTATGTGGCCATACTCTTTGAAATATTGACGAAGTTTTGTCTGAGTGACCTCGGCGGGGAGATTTTTGACAATCACAGACGTATTTTCTCTGTCTCTCCGCAGGCCAGACTGGGCTTCGCGCAATTCGTGGTCGCCTTTTTGGCGCTTGTTGGTGCCAGCATCTTCCTGAGGCTCGGCAGCATCTTCTCGTTTCCTCTTCGTCTGGCTTGAGGAAGCCTCCTCTGCAATGGCTTCGTCATGGTCTACCGCTGTCTGTGCGCTATAATAGACAGCATAGGCAGCAGCTTTCTCTTCTTCTTCCAGCCTACGTCGCTTTGCAATACTGTTTTCGGCTTTTTGCACTATATCTGCCGCCCTGCGTACAGAATGTGATAATTCATAGTCGTTGCAATGTTGCATGTAGACCTCCAGCACTTTTTCCGGCCAGTCAATGGTCGGTCGGTCCACAGCGCGCTGAAGAACAGCGGTTGCAAGCACCGGTATTCGGAAATTACCACCTGCGGAAGAAGGCGTAGGACTGTTGGATGAGTTGGTAGAAGAAAAGATGAGCATCTCCCACATATAATAGCGAAACCAGAAATCATGGCTATCGGCGTGGATTTGAGCCTTGGCCAGCTTATTCCACTGCAATCTTGCCTCATCTATTGCTTTTTTCTTCTCTGTCAAGTACTGGATATAGATGCGCTCAAGTCGAAATTTGGGATCGCCCTGAAAGTCTTTGCCGTAGAGTCTCTTGCCTACAATTTCAACATCCTCGAGAGCGGCACTCAGGCCTACATCAGCCACGTCGACAGCCTCGTCGGTAGCGCTTGCGTCCATGGCGGTACGCTTGAGGAAGCCGCACCAGGCTACATACATCTCGATCATACTCTCCATACCATGCTTGTATAGCTGATTTTCGCTCGTTGCGGCATGCTTGATTGACTCCACTTCAGAAAACTCTAATCTCGCCTCCTCTGCGCATAGTATTAACCTATTCCATAAGCGACCAGACCAGGGGCAATGCTGAACGGCTCGACGAAGGGCGTTGAGGAGAAATTCAGGGTCTTTGGCGTCGGCATATGAGGATGAGAGAAAAACGATGTGCTCGTGCCAAATCGATTCATCGGACGCGAATATTCCGGTCAAAGCTCTGGCATAGAGTCCACAGCAGAGGTTGAAATTGATATCGGTGCCATCTTGGCCGCCATCAACCTGTGATGTCTCCCACTCGAGATATTCAATCATGGTCTTCTTTTGGGCTTCCATGTCGTCGGCTCGTGACGCCTGCTGCAACTTGAGTTCGAAGGAATCTCGTTCGCCCATAAGCCGCTTTGCGTCTTGAGACAGCACCGTAATATCTTTCATCGATTCCTCCCATGCAGCTCGATTGTATTCCGATAAAAAGGTCGAGTACATTTGCGCCGTGTTGTCCCATGTGAGATGAGGCGTCATCAGTCGGTCACGGTACAGATGCGTGATGCGCTTGACGCCCTCTGGTGTTTTTGTCTTTTCCAGCAGCTCCATTTCGAGAGATACCCAGCGGTCCCAGAGAAGATGGCTATCATTAATACGATATTTGATAGCCTCATAGCCCTGCTGCCACAAGCCAAGGGCAGTTTCAAACGAGAAAAGCTCCCGGCCCATCATTTGCTCTTCCTCTGGCCATCCAGCGGCGTCAGACTGGCTATCCGCCCAAAGGGACCAGAAATAGTTGCAGTATGCAAGCCATATATTCAAGCTGCCAGGCTCCACGCCAACAGCACGTTTGAAGAATTCGACGACATTTACGCGTTTCTCGAGGTCGGAGGCGTTGCGGATGGTTTCGTCGAGATAGGCCAGCCAGCTGTCCTCGCCTACGGGATTAGCCATGATCGCCTTCTTCGTCTTTTCTAGTCAGGCATCACAGGCCTGCAGTGCACGCCAGGAGTTGCCGCAGAAATGTCAAGGCGATCCGGAAGCGATTCGGTTGCTGGACTGGGTGGGAAAAAGCTGGCTCGGGTGGTTGGCGGCAAGCTAATGTCGCTAGAAGAGCTGTGTAGATGGGATCTGCAAATGTAATTGCTGATGGTGCCGCTAGTGAGTTTGCCTTGGCACGGACATGGCTCCGGTGCCTGGGCGGTACTTGCGTTAGTGGGCAGGTCAGGTATTGGTTGCAGTGCGCATACTATGTGCAGTACAGCTGCCACTAATTTTAGAGATGATGCGCTAGTTCAGGAGCAGCATCCTCTTCAACTGCAAGTGCCGATTCAAGTAGCGAGGCTCTCTCTAAGTCTGCGAGAGCTTCCCTTCCTTTACCTACCTAGAAGCCCAAACAACCTATCCTATGTACCTAGGTAGGTAGGTGCATACCTATAGGATATAGGCATACTACTCAGTAAAGTCGCTTACCTCGGACAGCGGCTACCTAGTACCGAGTACCAAGTATAGGTTAGTTACTAAATTGCTTCACAGGGTAGCCATTCCATCGTTGAATACGTAGGTAGGCTGGCAAGGCGTAAGCACGGAAGATTATTGCTGCTGCGAGTGCTCCGCACCTAGGTAGGTGGTAACACTAATAATAACTTAATGTTGATTGCTAAAATAATGCACCCGTGCTAGGCCGCGCATATTCGTTCGAGAAACTGACACGCGACCTGCCCGTCTGTGCCAGACCCCAAGCCATCGGTCGACGTTTCAGATCCCCCCTACTTTGCAGAATGAAGCAGGTACCCGGCCTGGCTAGGAGTCGGGCACCGCGGCCAGCAGCATAAACAGCTGTTTGCTGCGCGTTATTAGCGCTGGCCGGTGCTGCGGGTGGGACCCTGGACCAGGATTGCATCCCTATCATCATTACCTGTAATGATCTACGGAGCCTAGCACGGAGCGCCAAATCAACTCCAGGCTCGGGGAAGCCTTCGTCTTCCATCCTGTCTTTTTTTAGGACTGCCAGCCGACTCTTCATTCTTCTTTTCCTTGACAAAGGTCTCTGCCGACCTCCCACGCTCCCTACGACGTTATTGCGAATTGTCCTTCTTACGCTCTTTATTCTCTTGTTTCTGTCTTCTCCCTTGTCGAGCCCCTTCCATGGCCATTCCTTCCGCAGATCTTCGATATTCTCACTAGACCGTTTCTCCCTTAACTTGAGAGATTTACATTCCATTCATTCAGCGTCTTTCATTTCCTCGTGTATATTGCGCATTTCGGTGCAAATCTGTTTTCGCTGCTGTTCGAACCGTGTGTGCTGGTAACTCTCGGTCGACGCCTTTTCAAATTTTCTGCTGCTTTATAGCACTCCCTCCCTAGCTCTGCGACGTTATATGAGCAAGAGAGAAAGAGAGAGAGCCGTCTGGCGACTTCGGCCTGTCTTTCTCTCCGATTAGTCCATTCTCGACGACTACTCTCAACTTCCATCTCATCCTTCTCCACTCTGACCGTGAGAGCGGCGACCAAAATCCACGTCTTCGAAATGCGATCCCTCTTTCCGGTGGTGCTCGGTGCACTTGGCCTGATCTTTGTCGATGGTGTTGTTGCCCAAGATACACCCGCTTGTGTGGTATGTCGATTCAGCACAATATCAAATCTCTCGCACTTTCTGAGTTAACTGTAATAGCCGGCTTGTGCGAATCAAGTGAGAAGTCAATTCACGCAATACTCCTGTACCAGTGCAGATGACGCCGCCTGTTTGTGCGCAAATGCCAACTTTGGATTTGGCGTGCGAGACTGCGGCCAGAACGGCTGTGGTGCTACCGATGTCCAAGTTCAAGCTTTCCTATCTGGGTCATTTTGTCAGGGTAAGGGCTGGAAACATATAGATAATGCATCTCGCATGGCGCGAGTCTGACAATGGCTTCCTACTCACTCGCAAAATAGGCCAACAACTAGCATTCTCAGCTACCGGCGCTCAAGCTCCTCCTACTTCAAGCGTACCAACAGGAAACCCAGCTGCCACAACACCAGCAGGTGCCACAACGCCAGTACCAACAGCTCCAGCCACCAGCGCCTCAATCCCCGAAACATCGATCCCCTCGACTTCACCGCAGGCCACAGGTCCACCAACGACAACACCGCCAGCCTCGACAGGAGCTCCAACCTCATCTCCGCCAACGTCAACTGCTCCACCCCCAACTACCACCGGCGTAGTACGTCTCTCCGTATCACGTGAAATCGATTTTGTGAGATTGCTGACTTGAGATAACTATAGAACTCGGGAACATTTCCGTTTTCCAACTCTACTTCGTCTGCTGTCCCATCCACCACCGTTCCTGCTACTTCTGCCACCTCTACTCCCACTTCTAGCGAGACGGCCGCGGCCGGTGCCGGTAGTGGCTCGGGACTATCTCAAGGTGCAGCCATTGGTATTGGAGTCGGAGTTGCGGGTGGCGTAGTTGCAATTGCCTTTGCTGCTGTTTTCTTGTTCCTCCGGAATCGCAATAGGCCTCACGCCTCTTTTGACATATCTCACCCCCCTTCCAATACGGGGTCTGGACAAGGCGCTTTCGAAAAGTACTCGAATGATATCGAAATGGTTTCCAACAGGTACGAAGATATGGTGCCTCGGCAGCAGCCAAGGGTTATGGTATAACTGTGTGTCATTGTCTGCTGCAGTCTTCAAAGCAGCTAGCTATCTGCACTCTGGTAGTCGGACTAGCTCATAATTGAAGACCAATTTTCGTCCACGTTCCATTTGTTTCAACTGCATGGGTTATGTCGCAGGCTATAATTGAAGACTTAATTAAGGCGGTTGTCGGAGACTAGGCGATTTCTCCAAGAGAAGGTATCTGTGTAATGTGTTATCCGACATCTATTACCCAAGAAGAAGAAGAAGAAAAAGGGAAAAAAAAAAAAAAAAAAAAAAAAATTTAACCGATGGCGAGTAACGTCAAGCTAAAGCTGGGTTTATACATTCATAAAGTTAAGCGGTGCGGGAACCATAACTGATAAAACGTTCTATCCAGTCACCCGACTGTGTAATTTCTTTTCGTTGTACATATATTGATACAGATACATGCTCATCGTCATGCTGACTCTATTGCTGGGTGAATTTTAAACAGATTTGCTTCCGACTCCAACCAACTCAGGCGGCTCTACCATGAATAATATGGTCTCTGGCCGTGCACTTTGCGGTTCGGCAGATGAACCCAAGGGCCTTTTTGTGCCTCCTTGGCTTTCTGCTCTTCGTATTCTCTGATTCTGGTTTTTTCTTCCTTCAGGATGACTGTAAAGCCTACACGCGCACATAGAGGTTAGCATGTTCAACAAGCCCGTTTCAAAAATTTGGTTGGATGGTAGTGGAACAGGAGAGACTGGGGATTTCTTACTGGTGCTTGGGTGTTGGATGATACCCATTCTCCCACGGCCTTTATAGTCCAGCTCCTTTCCACGCCAGGGGCCTCGCCCAACCCATGACTGTGCAACGTACAAACGGGTCGGGTCTACAATCTCTATCCACTTGCCATCCTTTGTTTGCACTTTTCGAGGCTTGTCCAAAAGGTCGCCGTTGACCTTGCCGAGACCCATACCACGCTGGACAACAGCCATGTCTCGAGCCTCCTCCAGGTGATATTTAACCTCGGCCGCAAACTTCTTTTTTGACCACTTCATTTGTTGAATGGCTTCGTCAACCGGCTTGCCGGCAATCTGTCGTGCCAACATGACCAGCTTCTTGACGCTTGTTGGCATAAACTCGCTCTTGTGAAGCAGCTCCCTCTCCGTCATCCGTATCCTCTCTTCCCTGGTCAGCTCTCCGTTTCGTCGAACCATTTGAATGACCTTTTTCCGCTGCCATCGAATGCGGCTCCGGGCATCTGGGTCGACCACCATCGCCAAACTCTCTTTCGTCCTCTCTTCCGATGCTGGGGCGGCAGGTGTTTCAGATGCCGGCTTTGAGGCTTCGATTTCGTCCTGGAAAATGTTGTCCTCCACTCCACCTCGCATGTTCCTCTGCAGGAATTGTTGTCGCTTTTTAGGATCGTCCAATTCGGAGGCTACCGGATCTTGACCTTTGTCTCCAGAGTCCTTGGCACCAGATTTACCCCAGCCTTTGAACATGTTGATCGACCATTTGTTGCGGCGTTGAACTACCACGCCAGTACTTCCCTGCGAAACATTTTTTCCTGGTGTCAGCAAGGAAGCTGAAAGAGATTGGCCTATGTCCAGTTTGCCATGTTAGCCAGCGTATTTTGATTGACAGGCGAGCGTTTCCTTTTTCCTTCTTTTATTTCGGGCAATGTCTTACTTGGCAGGGCCAGCCGCCGAGTGGCTAGCCGTAGACTCATTGTTATGGCGATGCAGGAGCAGGCAGACAGAAGCTCAGCTTGCCAATCCAAAGCCCATTGAAGAGAATCTGCATCTAGCAGTTCTTTAATTCCTCCAAGACGTTAGCCACTAACTGCTAGCATCTAGCCTACGGGACTCTTTTTCCTGCGCCCGATGATCCGCCGAACGAGCGGCATTGTGCCATCACGTGATCCTTCTTAGCGGGATTAACATCAGACCATACCATCGCTTGATCCATACCAGATTCTACCTTTCTGCTATACTGAATCCACCAAACAGCCAAACAACGCATCTCGAGGCTCCGGAAAAGCTTGGAAAGCTCTCAATTCAAAATGGCTATCGCTCCGATCACTGGCGTACGTCTATTCCCAGGTCAATGGCGCAAACGTCGCAGCGAAATTGCTGCCGGCGCTGCTGCAAAGTTGCTTTGGTTAGCTAACACACAGGATGCAGATACTGCGACGACAGCTCATCCTTGACCTCGGCATCGGTCTCGGTAAATAACACCCCTCGGATATCCGCAAAGCTGTAATGCAGCTAGGAGGAGTTGGAATTCTTTACTTACGGCTCATTAGGATCTGGATTTATCATGGGAAACTGGTTCTGGTACGATCTCGAATAGGAAGAATTTGTCAGAGTTGCAAGACGAAATGGTCTAACGATGGAATAGGTACGGCTTCCACATGCCTCGAACCAACGGCCGAGACGAGTACTATGCCAAGAAGGAGGCCAGCCGAGCCGCCGAGCGAGCCCAGGCGCAATAGAGAGATGCTCTATCTAGAGGGGTAGACGGAGAGGGATGCGACATAGACCACTGCTGGTCAATTAGAAGCTAAAACACGATTGTCAACAGTGTGTCCTTGGCTGTCATTACATGGCTGCCGAGTGTATATCATAGTGGGCAGCTGCAGCTAGGTGAATTTCTATTTAGACCAAGTCTCGGGGCGATGCGATTCTCTTTTGCTATGTGACATGACGTATTCATTGGGATGCTATACCTTTTTGTAGAAAACCTACCACATGCCCCCTCCCTTTTTTAATATTTGCAAAGTCCCATACACATGAAACCATATTCCTTTTACTCCTGAGATATCCAGACCACCTCTTCGTAGACGTCCCAACGTTCGCCGCCCCTGCGACGAAGAGGATGCAGATGTATTCTGCTGATCCCAGAGCCTTATAGCCAACCCTAACGATCATATCTTACAGTGTAGCTGCCATTTCAGTGATTCTCATCATTCGCTTGCTAAATCAAATGCTATCTTGCGTAACATTGAGGTGAGAGCTGGGGTGACGCTCCTCAGCTGTATGCTCGCCCCTGCCCAGCGCCGCTCATACTGATAGCGTTGAGAGCTCTCCTACCGGAGGGATTGCAGCCCCGTTTGTCATTTGCAAATTGCAGCAAGAAAAGCTGCAGCATCACGGAGATGCCTCGTCTGGATCATGCCAGTTCGACGACCACTGATGCGGCTTTGGCGGCTCTCTAGGCTTGGTTCCTTGTAAGCTTCCATCTCCTTTGGCCCTCTCCTTTTCCCACGCCGTTGTCTCTACGGTGAAGATGCCTTTTTTATCTTTGCACCTGAGACAGCTGTTAGTCATTATAGAACTACATACGGATTTTTTCCAACGAATAAGAGTCTCAATAGTTCAATTGAAGCGTCATAAAAAACAGCAGCACAAAACAGTGGCGGGGTGATATTAGTGATTTATGGTGGGGGTAGCAAACTCGGGGATTTTTTTTTTAATTACCTGCGAAATAACCGGTCTACAGCATAGCATCGAACTGGACTGTCACGCGATAGCGGTCGCTCGACCTCGCACCTGTACTGCAGCATCTGGAAGAGCTCACAGGCCGATAAGTCAATCTTGCGAGACACGCTGCCCGCGCCCTCGACCTTTCGGCGCCGACCCGAAGCATCCTGCTGGATCCTCTCTGGCAGCTCCGAGGCGGGAAATGAGCGGCACGGCGGCGTCATCTGCAGCCACGCGTCTGCGATTTTCTTGATTGCTGGGAGGGGGGGCGGCGATGGAGTCTATGGGCGGACAGCTGTTGAAGGCCGTTGAGGAGGTTACTTTGGAGGAGGTGAGTTGCGGATTTGAGATTCGGAGCCCTTGCGCTGTAAGAAGTTGAGTTTATGTAAATGAAGAAATGCCGGGGCCGGGAGACCATGTTATGGAAGCTGCGCAAACACCACCAAGACAGTTGCTGAACCTCACCACATTTTTTTCGCAAATATGTCCTTTAAACGAGATGCTGAACTAAATGACGGCTGTTTTACATCATGAGAAAAAAGAAGTAAAAAAAAATTAAAAGAAAAGCCGTCTCTATCCCGCATGCTTGCAGTAACGAGTCTTGAAGATGAAAACGCCAGGTCTCGGCTGGTTGGCAAATCTCCTTTCGGTTTCTCTCCACAGATAGGATCAGAACTAAATCGCAATTCTGAAAACTAATACCGAGGCATGGTTCTAGATACTCGATAGTCTTCGCGCAGCTGTCCCTTCTCAAACAACACAGACAGGCACCAGACGCATCAAAACCACACACCTGGATGACCTCGACCAACTTACTGCTCGGCAGTTTCGAGCCACTCAGGCTCCCACAATATCCGTCTCCGGGCGAAGTCTTCCATTAGTGTACAAGATAATATCAACGCTCGTCTCGCCACCTCACTCCAAGGCGCTCTTTGTCCTTGACTTTGACGGCCGCTTTGATGCCACTCGCCTCACATGCACCAACGATGACCTGCAACACGTTTACGTTCAACAGCCGCCATGTGACGAAGGATCCAATACCAATGTCGAGCACATCAGATCCCTCATCGCAGATGCCGAGCGCTTCATGATCTACGAAGACGACTCGGCGGCGTCTCACGCGCGTGAGTGGTGGGGTACCGTTGTTCTGGGAGGGTTGGGAGCAGGTGATCTGGTCGCTGGGTGGAAAGGCTGGCTTCATGTTGAACGTGATAATGTCCCAGAGTATTCGCTGAGAGTGACCTTGGAAGAGGCTTTTGAGAGACGCTCTAATAGGCAAGAGGTGGTTGATGCCACCGGATGGGCTGCAGCGTCACAGTGGGGGAGATTTACTTTTGAGGAATGATGCGATTCATCACACTATTCAATCAAGATTTGTGCATAGTAGTAGTGATCACGAAGGATTTCTCACAACTGTATTACTGTGCAAAAGGCATAATAGCAAGATGATATATATATATATATATATATCAATGTGAAAGACTATCTAGACCGTGTCTAATATCTTGTTTATGATAGAGTCTAAAATCATTCTGTAAAACGCCTGGGGTATATAAACGGGTTCCAGGTGTACCTGGCTACAAAGGAATGCGTAGCAAAAAGAAAAACAAGAAAGGGTAAAAAGGGAAAAGAAGGAGAAAAGAAGAAAAGGTGACCCAGCGGGTTTGCTAGACTTCGCTTTGGGAGCAATAGTGAAAGATAAGAGAAAAAAAAAGAAGAAGAAAAGCAGTCGTCTCAACCATTTCGCATCATCGAAATCAATTTAGTCAAGGTTTTTGTTCCAACTCCAAATACTCCATCCCATTATGCGTTTCGCATTTCAAGTCTGCCACAACTTATACAGTGATAAGCATGTCCTCGTTCACGACAGCCGCTTCAATATCAGCATATTCCGGTTGGCTGAGGACATTTTGCTTGAGCGATGCGGTGACTTTCTTACGCATCTCGCGCTGGAGGCCGTGATTTACAGCATCAAGCACGTTGGTCACCGTAGCGCGAGGCTTGTACGCCGGCTCTGTTCCCTCCTGATATACACCTGTCTTCACCAGGATGCTGTACCAATCGTTTTCAGCAACTTCATTGATAGCATTGGTGCCACGGATGTCGCTTTCAGGTGTATCGCCAACGAAGTAAACCGTCTGTGGAGGACCAGAAATGCCATGCTCGGTGCTTCGCCACGTTTGCATCAATCGCTCAGCAAACTCAAAGGTAGAGACTTGAGGCTTGCCAAAGGCGTGTGTGTGTAGCTTGCCTTTGCCTCCTGTGAGATCTTTGAACGTGATCTCGAACATGCGTCTGAGAGCGCCCATGCCGAGACGGACGTGCTCGTGGGCAGCAGACCAAACAACATCGTTGTGGGAGAAGTAGAATGGAGGACCTTCGTCGAAGGTCTCGCTGCGAATTCCGAGCCGGCCGCCTTGAGACATGGCTACATCCAGCATGATCTGAATGTCGCCGGCCCAGTCCCGAGAATCAGCAAATACAAAGACGGCATCGATGACAACGTCATCAAAGTCTCGCTCACGGGAGTTTTTGAGCTCTTCAGGCGTCAGCTTTCGGAATGGTGTTGTGGCAGCATTGTGCTTAATGATATCTCCTGGAGTAACGACATCTTTGAAGCCGTATCCTTCGGCGACGAGACGGCATTTTTCGCCCTCGCCTCCAATGACGAGGACTGTCTTATACTTTTCGGCCATTTCCCTCATGGGAGTATGCCCGCAAATGAACTGTCCAGGCTTAATTTCACGCTGAAGCTGGCGTGATAGATCGTGGCAACGCTCTTCTTCAGTCTTGCCGCCGCCATTGGTAAGGAAAATGTGAGGTCTGCAGAAATCGAGTGTTAATGAGTTATAAAGTACTAAATTGCAATAGTTCAACTTACATTTTCATTCCATATTCGTTTTCTCCATCTAGAACCTTCATGGCCTCAATGGCTTCTGGGATGGGGTTGCCACCACGGACGAGCACTCCATCGATATCAAATGCAAATACAAAAGAATCGGCAACGGCGCCGGAGTCATCGGGTGATATGGGAGTGGGGATGCTGGAGATGCTATCCCTGGAGCTGACTGATGATGCTAGCTCTGGAGAGCTAGGGAGGGATTCTGAATCTGCTACTCTGACATCGAGGTCCTTCTTAACCGTAGCAACGTGATTGTAGAATTCGGTCTGCTGCTCTTTACTCAGAGACGCCATGATGAAAGATGTATTGGTGATTAGGTATTTGTTCAGAAAATAAGAAGTCCTTCAAATGGGTTTTAAGAATTGCGTGCATTAATCGTCCAAAGAGGCTCGAGAGGGTACTTTGAGTAGCTGATGGTCTTGTGGGCTTGATGATTCTACCGTCATGAACGGTGAGAGTATCCGGGGTCTTTATAGATCTCTCTTGTCTCCCTCTTCCACCTCATCTCATGCCGCCACCCCTCGGTGCCTCCAGCATTTCCACATAGACATCATCTACACGGCGGTTCCACTCGGAACCCGCCGTCGCACCTTCGAGTCATTTTCTCTCCAGGTTTTCTGCTTGCATTTCGTCAAAAACAGTGGAAAGCTGCGATATGTCCCCAATTGTTTATCCACACCAGGTTCCACACGTTTGAAATTTGCGGGCTGCGATATCGAGAGGTGACGGCGCTGTGGAGATGGCTCGCGTAGCAACTACGTAGCCAGGTTTAAGAGGCTGACGAGGCTTGGAGGGAGCTAGCCCAGGAACAAAGAGCCTCAGGGCTGCGGTAACGAAATGGCGGGCGCCTTGACATGTGATTAGTGAGTACTTGGAAGCCTAACAAGATTCTACGTACCTGGCTGGGGCGTACGTCATACTAGCTGCACCGTTACTCCTTTATCGCGGTACATAATTCTCGTCCTTCTCTTGTGCAACATTCAGGTTCTTTCTTATCTGCGCTACAACGTGGATTCCATGGCCCTGTATGAGCCGCTGATCCTTGCCACTTACGTCGAAACCACCAAATGCGAACGGCGCCCTAAGTGGCAAACGCCATAAACATGGCACACAGATTTGCAATCGTGTTTCCATTAACTGGAAAGCGGGCGCCCCTCGCAGTCACTCATGTCATTCAGCGGCATTTTATGGGCGAATGATAACGAGGAGCTGATAAGGGGCAGCTTGGCTAATGGTGCTGAGGTGAGGTAAAACGGCGATCTCCTGTGAAGAGGCGCCGAGAACCCCTGGATTGTATGACTTTGTGGTGGGAGGGGAAGGCGTTTTACTGGCCTGAAGGGAAGAAAAATTTTCACAGATGAAAAAAGAACAAAAGGGATAAGCAAAGTCGGTGTATGAGATTGAACAGATCACCTACATCGTAGATCTAAATGATATCTCGGAACTGGATGCTTGCTTACAGGGTAGGGAACAAACCGCGAGGAGGTATACCCATATACGAGTCAGATAGGTATTCGATTACCTCACCTGAGCTGTGATAGTACATATGTTGTATCTGGGGAAAGCTCGAAAGCCCCATGGAGTCGCTGATAGGCGTACCTGTATTAAAAATTGACCGTCTCGAAACGGTAGAAAAAAAAATGTACATACTGGGCATTCTGATATACCTGGCACATGTAAAGTGAGCCTTGATATGGACGGCGGTTCCACCGTGACGTCAAGGCCGTTCCACCTTTCCGGAACGGAAGCCTGTGAGTGCTCAGCGCCGGGTCCGAAACGGGGCTGCGGATCTGGCCCGGCAATCGTCGGACAGGGGGGACCAATACGCAGCAAGAGTGATTGTGCGGCTGTAAGTGCCAAGGCAGTACAAAAGTGTCCAACCTAGTAGTTACCTACATATGTAAAGTGCTCAGTGAGTAGCGCTGCATAGGTAGGTATCTATGCGGTGACGATTCACCGTTTGTTGTCACCGTTCCGGGTTACTGCAGCAATTTCGCTGCGGGCTCAAAGCACCAAGCTCCATAATGACATAGCTGTGCCTGGTACTGCTTGTGTGAATTCCACGCCTTTCCTTGAACAAGACCTCGTTATTTGTTATGTATTATGTTTTAATTTCTTGATTTTAATTTTAATTTTTTTTGTAGACAGATGTCTTTATCATATGTGTATAGTAAATGTAATGACACGCTCTCGAACAGCCCACGACGGTTAGGGATTGCCTGACAACATCTTCACAACCCTCAACCATTCCCAAATGCTCACAAAATGCACGTACATAACACCCTTGGCTTATTGTAGGTTGACAAATAGCCCACCATCCACCAGCAACTGTGCTCCCGTTACGTAGCCACTCAACTCCTCACAAGCCAAGAAGATAGCTGGACCCGCCATATCCGCCGGCTCGCCTGTTCGACCAAGAGGAATCCTACCCTCCATGTAGCTCCGCTTGGCGTCATCAGCTAGATCCTCCTCGTTCAGCTGCGTTCGAATCGTTCCAGGCAATAAGGCATTGCATCGGATACCGTACTTTCCTAGAGCCACCGCCGTGCTCTGCATCAGACTCGTCACGCCGGCCTTTGTTGGCGTGTAATGCGTCTGCAAGCCTCCGCCCACCAATGCTGAGATGGAGGACATGCCAATAATGCTGCCGCCCGATGGGCTTTGATTCAGTGCCATTTGCCGGGCTGCCGCTTGTGTAATGTAAAAGGCACCGTCAACATTTGTCCTGAATGTCGTTTCGAGAAGATCCGGTGATAACGTAAGGAAATCAGCAAAGGTGCAGACTCCGGCGTTGGAGACGCAGATGTCGAGACGGCGAGCCTCGCCAGAATGTTCAACGGCAGCAGCCACCAATTTGGCCGCAGTCTCAATTTCACGAACATCCCCTGCCTGATGAGCAAGACGACCGGCTTCAGGGTCCTGTGCTAGGATGGAACTGGCTTCGGCTATCAGTGAGTCTAGGTGCACCTGGTCTTTCTCTAGGCTGAGGTGATTGACGACAACATTGCACCCTTGGCGAAGATACCCGAGGCAGATAGCTCGCCCGATACCAGTGGTGCCGCCTGTTATAATGGCAGTCTTGCCCGCCAAAAGGCCCTTGAGCGGCATTGCGGCGATGACTCTATCGATTGGGGCTATGATATAGACGGATTGCGAGGAACGGAATTTGACGTTGTTGTCCAAGCCCACCACTGGTCGCGTATATAAATTTATGTATAAACTTCCAAAAAAGTGGCGTTAGATTGTGCCGTATGGAAGAAGCCACAGGGTCCAGTAGGAGGCGTCGATTATCTCAAGGCACCTGGATTAACCAATGCGGGGCAGAGCGAGAGGAGTTCTGGTCCACGCGCGTGTAAAGCTCGTGCAACGTCTGCTTGATTTTTTTTTTTTTCCCTTTGATGGCGAACCAGCTTTCTCGTTTATTGTGTCGCGATGCTATTTCGATGGCTCTATAAATGCGGCTACAAGCTCACAAAGTCCGTTTTCTGCGGTGGAAATCAATCCGAGCTCTCGGGAGCTTTTAGGGCGAGTGAACCCCTCTGCGGTGCGCCAACTAAGCTGCCACCGTTTTGCTTGGCCCACAATACGGTGGGCTGGAGACTATCGTGAGTTCTGGGTCTGTTGTAGCGGGTCGACACGCTCTGGGGGCTACCGTAAAATCTTTCACGATGCTTTTAGATCGAGGGGAGTGAGCGCAGAAAATCTAACCCTCAAATCGGTGGGTCACGATGCTCTCTTGAACTCATTCCCCAGAACTTCTCCAGGTTTTAGCATAACGCAATTTTATGGAGCATCTATGTCTTACTTGTGGATTGCGTATATATATATAATATATGTGCTACAAGGTTCTTTCATTATCTTCGAATGGACTATCGTGATGATTACTACAATGGTTATGCTGCTCGTTGCTTTATAAGCTTGACTGAGTCCCCATAATATAGGATACTCATGTCGTAGCTGAAATCAGACTAACTTGATCAATTGTTCTCTCCTGACATCCATTCATGCTGTTGCTGCATGGTTGCCATTGCCATTGGCTAGTTTGTCCTTGTCCTCACCGTTTGTAGCCGCCAAGGTGGGCTGCTGCACAGGCGGAGGGCTAAGAAGATAATTTGAGGGAATCAGTTTAGAGCGTGCGGCAGGGTTGATTGTCAAACCAAACCCAGGCTTATCCAGATCGCTCGTCAGAAGATAGCCTTTAGTGGGAATGGGCTCATCTATGAATAGGTCACCAAAGACCGGTAGCACGCTCTTGCCATCAGGAGAGTTGGCGAGGTATTCTTGGAATGGAGTGTTTGGTTGCGAAATGACAAAGTGGTAGCTGTATGGGCCACTGGCATGCGGAACCACGGGAATATCGTATGCTGCAGCCATGGCTGAAACTCTCAGCAGCTCCGTCATGCCGCCCAGCCACATGACATCGGGTTGAATGATGTCAAGGTTGCGACCTTCTATGAGTTTGCGGAATCCGTAGCGAGAGTATTCGTGTTCACCCGTCGTGAATTTGACGGTCGGATGTGCGCGCTTGATTTGCTCAAAGCCATCAGTGTCATCGGGAGACAAACACTCTTCCCACCAGTTGATGTTGAATTCAGAACACGCCTTGACTAGCTCAATGGTGTATGACACGTTGAGGCTCATATAACAGTCAACCATGATGGGGAAATCTGGCCCAACCGACTCACGATGTTTGCGCAAAAACTCCACATTCTTACGCAGCCCCTCGTGGCCTTCCTCTGGACAAAAGGGGAGAGGTACTTTGGCACCCCAAAACCCCATATCTCTAGCCGCTGTTGGCTCAGGTCCTGTGCAGTAGAAATTGAGGCGTTCCTTGGTAGCTCCACCAATTAATCGATAGACAGGCTCGTTCCTGACCTTGCCTAACAGATCCCAGAGTGCAAGATCAATGACAGAAATAACAGCAATAGGGAGTCCCTTGCGGCCATAGAACATGGAAGCACGATACATTTGCTCAAAGAGCAGGTTCGTATTTCGTGGATCAGCCCCAACTAAGAATCGCTCAAAATGCTGATGAACCAGCCAGCAAGCAGGAGGGCCTATGAAATGAGTTAGAGTCATGACAAAAAAAAAAAAAAAAAAAAAAAAAGGAAAAGAGCAGAGCGGCTCTCATGATTTTGAGTTGTGGAAGGGTGGAAGGGCTTCATTAGAAGTCCAACTAGGATCTAGGATACAACTTACCGCCGAATCCAGTTGCAAAACCAACAGTTCCATCAGACGCTTCAATCTCGACCAAGAATGACCCGAGGACGTTGATGCCCCAGCTGGTTCGCGATTTGCGATACTGAGACCATTGTGAGCATGGCGTAGAAATGTCGCTATCGATCAGCCTGTCCAAGGGGGAAGAAAAAGTCAGTTATGACAATGTAAAAGCACAACCGTATACAGCAGCTTAGTTGCTAGGAGTATCTGTGCGAAGAGGCCATTACTCACCAGTGGCCGCCTTTGACGTTGTGGTAATCACCACCTATTTCGCATGGTCAGCACATGTCAGCCAGTTTTGATTAAACAGGCCATAATTGGACGGAACAATGAGCCTGCAACTACACATACCAGAACCAACGCCGCCAATGACGTAGGATCGAATGGCTTTGATCGTAGGAAACTGCCGCGCTGAATTATGCATGATAATTATTGGCTAAATGGACAGAATAGTTTGGAATAGCGGGAGAAGAAGAGAAGAGAACGATGGTAAATCGAATTTGTAGAAATCCATGCTTGGCGACTATTCGAGCCGCGGGTAACTGTGCACATTTCAACCGTGTGGGGTGCTGGTGGTGTTGTTGAGGGATCGGGTCCAAATGACCCGAAGGCCGCTTTGCTGAGCTGTGAACATTCCACTTTGGCGTAGGATCTGAATCAGGGTCTTGAGATAGGGTTAGTAGTGAGATTGGGGGTTTGAGTCATTGGCTAGGACTGTTTACTATCTGCAGGAATCAAAGCAGGAACAGAAATGTAACGCACCGTTCGCTGAATGCTGCTATAGGCGAAGAGTGTTCTATTGTTCTATCGTCCATCTATGCATCTATGCTGAGGCTGCTTTGTATCCATTAGTACATGTTTGGCAAAGCCCGGAATTTCGCATACCTTGGGTAATAGTTTGTCCAGAACTGCCAAGCCTCAAGAAAAGACGCTCCATTGGATTCCCATGTCAGCTAGCAGCAATTAGATGCATACTAGATCTAGGCTCTAGATAGTAGCTGCATATATTTGTTAGAGACGTAGGAACATAGGGACAGGCTTTGATCCACCAGCGTTCATCAACTACCTAATACCTGTAGGTGCCTACAGTAGCTGAACGGAGCTGCACTCCGACCTCGCCCAGGCACACTCCTCCCTCCTCTCTTTCCTCTCCTCTCTCCAGCTGCTCGTCTCCCATTCTCCTCACTTCTCCAGCGGCCCCAGCAGTTCGCCGGCTGCCGCTCCACAATGTGGATGTTGCTGGGCTATGCAGCCGCTGCAGTGGCCAGACAGGCCCGGCTCTCGTCAGCCCGGCGCCACCAATAAGCTCCCCCCAGCTCTGCCGCAGCGTGGCTGCTGCGTCCAAGGCAGGCCAACTCTCAGCTCCGCATCGTCGCTATCTTTCAGGTTATCATTGACCCGGACTGCCAACAACCTCCCGCTGGCCTTTATCCCGAGATAACACGTGCGCCAGCTCCTGACTCTCTCGCGCTCGCCGCTCACCGGTCGCCCGCCCACCGCAGCCCGTTTGCTTGTCGTCGCCCCGCTGGCTGTCGCGTCCAATCACCGGAGCTGCGTCGGAGCGTCAATCCACCGAGAAAGGCTTCGTTCGTTGTGCGAGGTGAAACGAGCTTGTGCTGCCAGGCTAAGGCGCCATGCGCAGCGGTAGCGAAGATAACAAACGACCATCGCCGCCGTCTTCTGCCTCTGTGCCTGATCGCCAAGCTGCTGAGCCCGATAGTGACGACCAGAGCATTGACAATGACCCTGATCCTGATCCAGCCGCGCAGACGGCCAAGCGCAAGAGGCCCATCTCTGTCTCGTACGTTGCAACAACCTAAGTCCCCATCCACCTATCCACCGCTTATACTAATGACTGCTGAGCAGATGCGAATTATGCAAGCAACGCAAGGTAATATTTTCTTCACATCCTGTCATTTTTGCGCTATTCTTTATTTTCGTAACTTCTAACATATTGCCTTCTTCTTCTACTATTTTCAGGTGAAATGTGATCGTGGCCAACCGTCTTGTGGTTGGTGTAAGCGCCACGGACAAAAATGCGAATACAAGGAGCGAAAACCTCCCGGCCTGAGGGCAGGGTTTGGGAGGTTCCTTGAGAATCGGAGCCGAGAAATGGAGCTGAGGCTTGACAAGATGGAGGAGATACTGAGGAAGCACTCTGAACTGCTCCAGACTTCACCGCTGCCGTCTCTCCGCCTAGAGAACTCCGAGACTGGTGCGCAACTTGGGCGACAAAATCTCGTGAGCGATCATGATACTCAGAGTGAGAATAGCCACACCTTAGGCTCATCGAAGCTGTATCAAGCTTCGCATATGAACAACAATCTGCTCTACAATCCTCAACCGAGCAATGGCCCTTCTGCGCCCACCTCTGCTGAGCAGGGCCCCAATGAATTTCATGGTCGAGCGCCTTCGGCCGGCGACATTTCAGCGCAGCCAAATATCGGCTTGCCGACAGTCACACCCACATCAGGCGCTGCCCTCCCCTCGCCCGATGCCGATGACCTACCGCCGTACAATCTCGTATACAATCTCGTGGATTTGTACTTCAAGCACATTAATACTTGGTGTCCAATTCTACACCGAAGAACCACTTTAGATAGCTTATTTGGAATCTCCGATCTCCAAGAGTCAGACAGGGTTCTGCTTCATGCGATAGTCGCCACTACGATGCGATTTTCTAGCGATCCGAGGCTTACTGAAGAGCGGCGACAACATTACCACCGCATATCAAAACAGAAAGTCCTTCTCTATGGCATGGAAAACTCGTCCGTCAAGTCACTTCTAGCGTTGCTCATCTTGGCTCTTGATATATGTGGCAGTAGCAATGGTCCTCCTGGATGGAACATAATGGCTCTCATCACTAGGTCGGTAGTGCAGCTGGGATTGGCCGTCGAGACCAATTCCTTCAGCGTGGCTCCTCACTATTCGTCGATATACACTCTAAGAGCTATGATTCTCCCCGAGCCGAAAGATTTTATAGAAGAGGAGTCGCGCAGAAGGCTGTTTTGGATGATTTATCTACTCGATAGATATGCAACTATTGCCACGGCCTTTGAATTTGCATTAGCCGATACGGAGATTGACCGAATGCTCCCCTGCCGGGACGACTTATGGATGGAGAATCAAAAAGTGGAAACGCGGTGGTTCGTCCCGGGTGCTCAAAATTACGACGAGGCTCATCAACATCCGGTTGGAAGGCCTGAGAATCTGGGAGCTTTCGCATACTACATCGAGATCCTTGGAATCTTGTCAAAAATCCACAAGTTCCTAAAACAGCCGGTTGATATTGGCCGGCTCACCGACGTGGAAAAATGGCAGCTCCGTTACAAAGAGCTTGACAAGGAGCTGACGTCTTGGAATTTTGCCCTGCCTGGCGAGTTTGGAAATATGAATAAAGTTTTCCAGCCTGGTAGCAGAAATCTGAACTGCAACTGGGTTATGCTTCATGCAACATATCATACGGCGGTTATTCGATTGCATTCCTCAGCTGCCTACCCAACAACTCGGTCAGCTATTTTCACCCCGTCATTTAGTGCAGCGCAGAGATGTCACGGCGCTGTGGAAAATATATCTGCTTTAGGAGATTTTGTCGTCAACAATGGCTTCCTCCCTAAGCTGGGGCCGCCATTTGCCTTTACAATATGGGTTGCTGCGCGAGTGCTTTTGGTTCATGGCTCTACTGTTGAACATAAACTCTCGCCCCAAATTTCATTTTTTGTTGATATACTCCGCGAAATGGGGCGGTATTGGCCGGTAGCTGCTGGATACTCTAGGTTACTACAGCGAGTATTGGACGAGCATCGAGATAGTGAAAGACAAGGTGGCGGAGTCACACCGAGCTCAGTCAAAATTTTGGCCGACATGCGTAGGACAGCCTTTGACTTGGATTTTTTGATATCACGACAACCCCGGCATGGTGCACAGGGTCTCGGCCACTTGGGAAGCGCAACACCCTCAAAGACGCCGGCACCGAATGACTTAGAATATTTGGATGTCTTCAACTTCTTCAACGTCCCACGAATTCCATTTAGCGGGGATAACATGTCTGGTGCTGCCACTGAAGGCCTAATACCAAACCCTGATATGTCTACAGCAAATACAAACCTAGACCACCCGCAGTACCAGCCAAATGAGTTCAACATCACAAATTTTATGATTGACGCTAGTAGCGACTGGCTTTTCAAGACGGATGGATCGAATTTTTAGTCAATATTGACGAGATGTCAAATTAGATTTGTTCATGGAAACAAATGGATGGAGCTCTAAGATTATTCCTGATTTAGTATTTTTTCTTGTAATTATCCTTGTCCCTTTTAGCATATTGGAACACGAGCTGAATTGATACCAAGAATCATTAGGTTGAAGCTGAGGTTTCTGTAATATGTTTGATTTCACGACATAATATTAATCGTATATATTTTGATTCCTTTCACACTGCTAAAGAATGCAGAATTTATTAATTGAGCCCTGTAACAATGTTAAAAGCGCCGGTGTAAAAGGCATCACGCTTGGAATAGGTACGCTACATTAGTACCTACTATGTACCTAGGTACATATGTACATCTGCATGATTACATAATACGTAGAGATAAGATAAGATACAATTCCACTCCAATTAAGGTGTCACCGCCCGGCAATATTCTTAAAAAAAAAAAAAAAAGATCCTAGTGAGCGACGACAAAGTATCTAGCTAGATTTTGAGTCTGGCGATTAGTCGGTATCAATTTCTGCATATTCAAGCAGCAAATATTTCGATCAAAATGGCTACCAAGGCCCCCACGTTCGCAAATAAGAGGAAGGATGTTTCAGGCGGCAAAGAAAAATTCGATGGCAAGAGTAAGAAGCCTCGATTGGAGGATAAAGATAAATCGAATGGCAAGCCGTCTGGATCAGGTATGCTTTCTTTCGCCTCATGATGATGGACTGACTGATGCTTACTGAATAATAGAGCAAACCTCCCGCGAGTCTCATGCAAAGCAAAAACAACTTGCTCTAGAGCGAAAAGCTGCCAAACCCCTCGCTGATGAAGTTCAGCGTACCAAGAAGATCTGGGAACGACTGCGCCTGAAGTCCCATGTCCCAAAAGACGAGCGACAGAAGCTTGTGGCGGAATTATACGGCATCATCACAGGTCGCGTTCGAGACTTTGTCTTGAAGCATGACGCAGTTAGAGCAGTCCAAACTGCTATCAAATATTCCACCCCAGAGCAGCGGAAACAGATTGCTACAGAGCTCCAGGGCACCTATACGCAACTTGCTGAGGGACGCTATGCTAAATTCCTCATCGGAAAGCTTCTGGTCCACAACGACGATGAAATTCGCGACATAATTATCCCCAATTTCTACGGCAAGGTCCGAAAGCTCATCAACCACTCCGAAGCCTCGTGGATTTTGGATGATATCTACCGAACGGTCGCAACAAAGGAACAAAAGGCTCTCCTACTACGCGAATGGTACGGACCCGAGTTCACCATCAAGGAACTGACAAAAGACATCAAAGCGACCTCGGACCTGAAACAGATTCTTGAAGATGAGCCAACCAAACGAGGGCCAGTTATGAAGAGCCTGTTGGAGCTCATCAACACACTTATTCAGAAGGGAATGACCGGCTTCACTATGCTACACGATGCCATGCTGCAATATTTTACAAATACGCAGCCGGGAACTGAAGAGTTCAACGAGTTTATGGAGCTGGTGAAGGGCGATGAGACTAGCGATTTGCTCAAGAACCTTGCATTTACGCGCTCCGGTGCAAGGCTCGCCTCTCTTCTGTTGGCATATGGTACAGCCAAAGATCGCAAGACGCTGCTGAAAGCATACAAGGACACTATCCAGTTGATGTCTGGAGATCAATACGGCCACATTGTCATCCTCACAGCCTTCGACGTCATTGATGACACCAAGTTGACCTCAAAAACTATTTTCCCAGAGCTCTTGGGAGAGAAGGAGGAGGAGATGGCCCAGAATGTTGTAGCGGCTGCCAACAACGCTAATGCCAGGATTACCCTCCTCTACCTACTTGAAGGGTTCTCCAGGTCGCTGTTCCCGGCCAGCCACGCTTACGATCTGGAGGTATTGAAGGAGGTTCATGAGATCCGCAAGACTACAAGCAAGAAGGAAGATGAGAACAGACGCAAAGAGCTTGCAGCTCTGATATCGCCATCCTTGATAGACGCAATTGCGGCCTCACCTTCTGACCTCACAGCTTCCCCGTTTGGCAGCCAATTTGTTGCAGATGTCCTTCTTTCTGGAATCGGAGAGAAACAGAAAGCGCTCGAAGCGCTCGCTCAGTCTGTCAGCGGTAGCCCAAAGCAAGAGCCGGCAGAAGATGAGATCGCTGCCCGACCACACATTGCCAACACGCCCTTTGGTGGACGAATGCTCAAGTCTCTTATTCAAGGTGGCCGATTCGACAAGGCTGCTGGCAAAGTGAAGCTGATTGAGCCCCCGTTGGGCTTTTCCAACATCCTGTACCCTGTTATCAAGAACTCTATCATGGACTGGGCTACTGGACCGAGTTCATTTGTTGTGGTGGCATTGCTCGAGAGTGAAGAGTTTGCCGGTGCGGACGAGCTGAAGAAGACGCTGAAGAAGAACAAGAAGTTGTTACAAAAGGCGGCTGAAGAACCTACTGCGGAGCAAAAGGCTGCCAAAGAAGCTGCGGAAAGCAATGAGACTGCGAAGAAGGGTAAGAAGACGGAGGCTCCCGTGGGCAACAAGGGCAGCAAGCTGCTATTAGAGAAACTGTGAGATGAGAAAATGGACTAGTTGCATTGCTACATACACATGGCTATTGACCCTCATATCCTTGTCAGGATCCATGGATAATGCCATCTCTCTCGTCTTGGTTATTGGTTTATTTCTCCTCAATTGCAGCAGCCTAATTTAGTGATTTTTCCCACCCGAGTGTTTATAGTACTGCTGGATAGAAAAATTTTCGATTGTACAAATTTTCTCTTTTCAAAATGCTCTGCATCCCACATGAATACCTATGCCTCTCTTAAATTTATGAGGTTCAAGTGACAGCTGATAGTACCAATTTGTCGCGGGATAGACAAATATAGCCAACAATAGGGAAGTACAAGGACCGGGAGAAGCGAATTCATAAAACTGGGCGTTGCACAGCAGTTATGGAGGGAATAGACAGTGGCATTTCGGTTGGCTGGCGTTCAGAAATCTGCGAGCAGCCGAGTTGTTTGGCCCCCAGTCGCCACGGCAGGTTTTAGGTAGGTGTGTCAAGGAGAAACTAACAAAATATCAGTGCCATAGGTATCTACTGCGACCTCCCACTGAAAGTTACACGAAGAAGGTCAAGGAGGCTGATCAGTGAAGCAGAGGCCAGAGATGGGATCGCGAACTGGCCCGAGTTGTTGACGCGGTATGCCCCAAGATGCATGCACTCGGCCAATTTTGGGCTGGGGGCAATGCCCATGATGCCAGGGATAGATGGATGGGCGGTGGCATTTCGGTGAGCGCGATAAGAGAAGGGTTGGACGATGCCCAATGTGTGCACATATAGAACTGATTTTCATTGAGGCGCATAGCAAAGATAGCAGTCGTTACTTGTCAGTGCGTCGTGGTACTACAGCGTAGGAACATCCTTCAAGAAACGAGGCGACTTGGTGAAGGCTTACCCCTGACATGGAGGCGCGCGAGGCCCCTGAATCAAGTCGACCTCGTAGCTTGCAAGCATGGACAACTCGGCGGAGTGATTTGGAGTTTCTAAAAGATGGGATCGATGACAGCGCCCCAGGAACTGCTCCAACGCGGCCAATCCTTGCTTAGGCTTGATTTGGTTTGCTCGGCGGGTGATTGTTGCACACTCAGGGCCAACACTTCTGGCTTTTAGGCTCTCGATCTCGTTTGGCATCAGTTTTTCTTCGTTCTCTTCTTCTTCTCCTCTTCTTCTTCTCTCTTCCTTTTCCCCGGCTTTTCTGACACTCATCCAGTGTCTACACCTGTTCGACCGTTTCAGAGACCCTGATGGGCAGTGCGGATCTCACGCATCAATACCATGATAGTATTTGACGACTACACTGCATCTGAATTTGTCTAGCCTTGCATCACAGCATCACAAAGCCCTTTTATTCTCCCCCCTCCCTTTCCTTTCCAGGCTTGTCTTCCCACCCATCCCCTTCCTTTAAACAGCTTCTGCCCGCTGTGCCAAACACACAGCTTGGGGGCAGAAAGCCGACTCTAGCTTCAGACAAAGGTTGGGGCTCTGAATGCGTATGAGAGAGTGCTGAAAGCCTCTGGACATCGGCAGCCCAACCTCTGCAGGCCGCCACCAGCTGGTGTGCAGACCAACTTGGCCTCTGCATCTGCCCTAACTATTACTCGTAAAAAGGGAGGAGGAAGAAGAAGAGTAAGAAGAGGCAAGATCGACGTTCTTCCTCCTGTAAAACATTTGCCAACAGCAGATTCACCGCCGTGTTTCTGCTCACCATGTTCTCCAACCTATCGGCTGCTGATGAAGATGGCGCCTGTTCAAAGGACACAACGTTTTACTCCTGCGATGCCAATCATTTTAGGGGATGTTGCTCCGTGGACCCTTGTGACCTGAATTCCTGTCCCGACTCTTTTGGCTCCTTCAAAGACCCCAAAGATGGCGGCAAGGGCGACGGCGATTCAAAATCTGCCGTCTCCGTGCTTGATGAAGCCACACCAACACCAACACCGACGACTTCGTCACGGCCAGCGGCAACCTCCAAGGAATCTGCAGCCATGACAGACTCTGGCATCACTCACACGATCCCAAACAACTCAATCGTCACGATAACAAGACACACAACTATCATTACGGGTCGGCCATCAGTAACTACATCATCCAACATAGATCCCGTGTCAACAACCAGTGACACGCCAATAACAGAATCAGTACCCTCAACGTCCGAGGGAGCATCATTGCCTTCATCCACAGATGCCAGCAGCGCTGCAACGCCTTCCACGAGCTCAACGGCAAGCCCACTATCACCAGGGGCCATTGTTGGAATCGCCGTTGGCGCCGTTGCCCTCATTGCCATTATCGTGGTCATCGTGCTCACGCTGGTGCGCCGCAAGAAGCAACGCAGATCTGAAGCCGATTTTGACCTTCAAGATAACGGTCGGGACGATGTAGTCGAAGAAAAGCATTTCCCCCATCTTGTGTCAGCCCATACCACAGGCACCCAGGGGAGCAGCGATCCCTTTGCCCCCTTTGGAGGTGAGTTTCAACTCGCAGAGCTCAGAAGCATCATCCGACTTTCCCATTAACCAACGAGCTTTAGGTCGAGCAGATCAGCCTGAAGATCCATACCGTCCGGCTAGCGGTGCCTTTGAGATGGATGGAAGCAGCGCTGCCCCGGTAGAGTTGCCTGCCGTGAGCGTCTCAGGCCCAAGCACGAACACTCACAAACTATCTCGGCTGGAGGCCGTTCAGGAGATTAATACTACGGACCCTCGTGCTAATCTTACGTCTGTGCCGGGAGATGACGGTAAGCCGGCGTATGTCAATCATTGGGATCAGTATAAGAATCTAGGATAATACGTAGGGGAGGATCGGACAGGTATGGAATAGAAGATTGAGGAAACGGCATGACATCATATTGCTTTCTCGAGAAGACGTGGTGGACACTACACTCCATTGGATGTTGACTTCCTGCAGCTGTGCTTCATAATACCACGAGAGCAGGAACAGCACGGAAAGGGGGGGAACTATAAATGATTTTTTTAATGATATCCTTTTCATAATCAGCTCTGCATGATAGGAGGGTCGCGCATATAAATTGTCTAGTCGACACAATATAATCAAAGTCGTTCCCACAGATTATCAAGGGGTATTTGGTAGCTGCTCTACCGTATTTTATAAATGTCCGCGTGCAAACCAAATTTTATGACCTTTGCCCCATAGCGCCCAAGAAGCATTAAAGACTAAAACAAAAAAAAAAAAAAAAAAAAGAAAAAAAAAAATTTTAAAAAAAAAAAAAAAAAAAAAAAAAAAAAAAGAAACAAGTATGATGCAAACAGCTTGCAGCCCTGATTCCCCCCGAATCCATCCGTCTTTGCGTAGCCGAATATCAACAGTCTAGTATTCTCGATTCTCCATGGAGCAAATATATCAACACTCGTCGCAGCTAAATATCCAGAGAAGGAGACAGCGCAATGGCTCTTTAACCTCATCGGTTCTGGAGCTTCGAAATCTCATCAAGTAGGTCTTGCAGATCCTCATCCTTGATCTTATCCGCCAGAGATGGAATCAGAGTTTTTGCCTCGTCGGCGTTTTCACAGCAGAGCGATCCTAAGTCGGGGGAAAAAAAGAGAGAGAGAAAAAAATGTCAGCACTTCTGTTCCCCTTCTATGTTTTCTTCATGAACCGCGCGGGTATGGGGAGCGAGCTACCAAGTTGTGCGCGCTCAAACTTGGCCAGGTCCTTGTGTGCGCTGAGCAGACGCTCCACGGCCTCGACGTTCTCCTTCTGAGTGAATCGCGCAAAGTGATCCAAGTAGTTGAGAGTTTGATTCAGCATCCTACAGAGAAAGACGATCTTGCGGTTAGCCATCCGTCGTAGAGAGCGTCCCCTTTTCCGTTTGCCCCCCTCCTGCGTTTCAAGCCATATCCCAGGAAACATCGTTGACATACTCCGTCTCGTTGACATTCTTGCGATCGTTTCGGCGCTTCGCAACCAGCGCATTGAGGACAAGCGCGGCTTCTGAGAGCGTGAGGGTATCGACATGCTGGAATTCGCCCAGGTTCAGCGTCGCAGACGCCTCTTCGTTGCCTGGCGGAGGCGGCTTCGGGCGTGATGTGCGATGGGACATGGTGCTTGTGATACCGGCTGTGTTTTATCCGCTCCTTCCCTTCTCTCCGGATCTTTTACAAAATGAATGGAACGACAGGCGGCAGCAAGGGTCGCGGAAACGGCAACGCTGGCGTCCTGCTAATTCAAATGACTGAGCAATTGTTGGGGAGGACGGCGACGGCGAAGCTGAAAGTCAGTAAAATGCGGCTTGGGCCATAAAGTTCGACGGGAGACGCTCGCAAGGGCTCCCGCAAAGCGCCAAAGCGGCTTAGCGGCGCTGCCCCCAGGCGCGTTCTAGTGATGCCACAATAGGACTAGTGTGGCTGCTGCTTGTATCTCTCACTTCGTACTCCGTGCTATTTGCAGCCGCAGCCTGGCTCTATCATCGCCATGAAGGGGCCTTGTCAGATCATAAAGGGTCCAGCTGTTTGAGACTTTTATATCTGATTACATGTACGGCAGTGTATGAACTTACAGATTGCGCTACTTTTCTTCGGGATTCTACCAAGAGGGTTAAACAAACGTATCTTGAGAGACGAGTCGTTGGACATCGGCGTAAAAGCAGCGACGCTTAATTACGCTGGCCACTGCCTTTCCATCCCCCGTCGCATGAAGGTGGCTTCAAGATAGCATACACTCTGCGCATACCACAATATACAGAAGCGCCTCGTGAGAAGATATTAAGGAAATTATATTCAAATTCAAGGTATGCTTACACAGTCTGCTTGTCCGCGCAGATGCGATTATATTCCTGCATTTCCAGACCTGAGAGCCTTGAACTCATTCGTCATCTTAGATTCATGGTCTCACCTCGATGGACCGATGAGCCTGCAAGGGCCGCATAGAATACAATATTTTTGATTCGTCTCCATCTTCAAAACTTAGTATACGACATGTATGCACGCCTCTTGTGTTTCTATGGATCGAATCTGGCTAAATAAACTCAAACGCAGGACTGTCTTCTCTCTCGTAATTATCAACAAGGCCGGCGGTCTGATATATAACAAGACCTTCCACGAGGGCGGCCTTAACAAAATCAGCACCAATGACTATCTTGTATTAGCAGGCACTTTCCATGGGTGAGACTACCTCGTCCTTCTCCAACGTTTAGGGTTCGACTCACATGCTTAATTACTCCCGTCTCTAGAGTTCATGCCATTACTGCGCGCTTGAACCCCATCAAGCCAGTAGCACAGCCTCCTGCTCCTGGGTCAAATGAATTGCCGGGCCGTCCAGAGCCTTCGTCTGGATTGGAAGTCATGGAAACAGAAAACTTCCGTATGCAGTGCTTCAATACTTTAACGGGCACCAAATTCTTGCTCTTCACTGAAACTACACAAACCAACGTGGACGTCACAATCAAGAGGATATACGACTTGTACGCCGATTATGTCATGAAAAACCCCTTTTACTCTTTGGAAATGCCTATACGGTGCGACATTTTCGACCGAAAACTATTGTCATACATCAGAGAAATTAATAACCGATAAGAAGAAGAGCGGGGTCGCAGTCAATAGGTATAGATAGAATGAAAGGTATCGGGATCAAATTTAGATTCCATATTAAGCCCTCGAATGAATCGTGATTATCATATCTAGCGTTCTCCTCTAAGGCCCCATTGATTATTTAGTTATACACCGTCTATCATGGCACCGTAACTATAATGCGTATTAAGAAGTATCCATCGTATCGTCTTTGTCCTTGCTCGCGCCGCCGCCACTGCCGCTGCCACTGCCTTCGTTCTCTTCCTTGACACTCTCTAGAGATGCCTTCTTTGCTGCCTCCTCCTCTTCCTTTGCGAGCTTCTCTTGCCGGGCCTTCTCTTCTTCCATACTCATGCGTAGAGCAAGGGCCAGCTCAGGTTCTAACGCCGGGTCGAATCCAAACTCAAACTCGTCATTGCCACCCATACCGCCGGCGCCAGATCCAGCCCCTTCGCCAAGCATGATAGGTGTTGAGATAAGCTGGTCACTTAGCAGCTTACTGCTAGGTGGGATAACCACCAAGTGTGAGCCCTCGTTGCCCTTGACAGCATCGTTGAATGCCTGGAGTTTCTTTTGCGTGGCATCATCCTCTAGATCGCCAAACAGAACAAAGTCGACAGAGATATTGCCCTTCTTCATCTTCTTAGCTAGTTGTACAAGCTCCTTCTCCTGGTCTTCGACGGGTGAGCAAACAAATGCTATTATTCGTTGGCGCTGGGATCGGTTCTGTCGGTGCTTGAGGGCGAGCTATGGGTCCAATCAGCTTAACAGGCCATCAGGAGGCACGAACAAAAATAGGAATACCATACCGTTGCAATTTGGATGCCTGTCTTTAGGTGAGACGAGCCGCCAATCTTCTTCTTTGTCCTGTGCAGGCCCTCCAAGATCTTGCCCTGCTCTGTGGTAAGGGTGACAAGCACCTCTGGTCCTTTTCCACCCATGCTCATCAGGCCGACGGATGATTCCGGATTTCCCTGGGTGATGGTCTGGAACAGCACATTCACGGCGTCGACCTGTGCGTCGAATCGGGTTGGCTGGTAGTCTCCATTTCTGCTGCTCTCGCTGTTGTCCACAACCACCATAACAGCCTCGAGAACCATTGTAGCTGCTGATGCGGGCTCTGCGCCACTAGATCGTTTGTAGAGGGATGTTGAATATGATAGTATCAAGGCCTAGAGATTGCTGCTGCCGCTGGGGAGAAGGAGACTAAAATTGAAAGTTAAGTAAAGGTGGGAGTGGACTGTGCAGCTCAATTCGACAATTCGGCTTGTTGGAGCTTCCAGATGTCGTCACGCGTGTTCAGCCTGGGTGTTGAAATGGCTTACATAAGTCGCTGTTGCTGTTTCCCTCAAGTGGCCACAAAAAGTGGGGCCAACGGGTAGCTTTGTTTACCTTCATGTTGCGCTGTTGCGCACCAGTGATGCACGCATTCAGCTTCCTTCCATGCACGTTGCGATTTCTGCTCCCCTTCCTCCACCCAAGCACTGTCGAGAAGGCGCAAATCATTCATAATCACACATCATGGCTCCCACGCGCACAAAAAAGAAGGGCTCCACTGAGTCAAGCTCCTCGCAACAGAAAAGCGCGACATACAGCGGCTCTGGCAGTCCTTCAACACCACAGCGAAGTCCAATTCACAAGAAGAGGGCGGGAATCACCATGCAACAGAAACAAGCCTTGATCGAGAACCTGCGACTCGAAAGTACGCGGTTTCGTTGTCTCATAAATATATGGCGCGCTAACATTTCTCTCCTCTTTTCTTTTTAGTTACTGAGCGAGCCCGCAGGCTTCGCGCTCAATACCATCTCCAGGCGCAAGGCCTCAGATCACGAGTCGAAATACGCCTCAACCGAATTCCTACAGCACTCAGAAAGGCAACTATGGGCGAACTGCTCCTAAAATACGCAGAACAAGCACACCGAGCGCCTGCTCCTCGTCCGTTGCCGGTTCCTGTTAAGGATCTGCCGTTGCCACCAAGTCCTCAAAAGCCTACACACCAGACCACTCGCGCGCCACAGGTTGGACGCGCCCAGAAGCGGTTGAGGTGAATTGCGCCTAAATACGCTCTGTGCTTTTTTTCTACTTCTTTTCTTATTTCTTCATTCTCTATAAACTAACCGACCTACTAGCGATGAAATTACTAGGGATAAGGAGAATGAACTTCATGTTGGCGAGAATCCTAAGAAGAGAGCTCGCGGCGGCGATGCTGGAGTAGTTCGCCCAGCACAGGTCTTATCGCCTACCTCGTCCAACTCGCGGTTGGCGAACCGCAGCCGTGCAACTTCCCCTACCAAGTCATACCTGTATAAATCCAGCTCTCCTTTGAAAGGGGGTAGCGCAGCTCGACCTACAGCTGTAGCTGCTGGTGCGCGTGCTGGAGGTCTGAGAAAGGTCACTACAACATCAAACTCAAGCGCGAGCTCTGCTACTCCAACAGCGCGAACAAAGCGCACGGCTACAGCCGCCCCCAAAGGTCCTCCATCCAGGCCTGGGACACGAACGACGCGCAGAGCTAGTGACGTTGACGAATCGAGTGACGGAAGCGCGAATACCGTGCTCCGAAAGGCTGCAGGGATGGCAAATACCGCTGCCGCGCGGAAAGCCGCCCCTGGTAGCGCTAAAAAAGTTGTTTCGCGAGGAGCAGTGAAGTCAACGGCGAAAGCTGGATCCGCTGTATCAACTGCCGCCACTGGGAGGACATTAAGAAAGAGAGCTTGAGGGGGCATGCTCGGCTTCTGAGGAGTTTGTGCGTTCAAAGAATTGGAAGCTCATGTTTTGAGCTCATGTTTTGCAAGCAATAAATCGGCGATAGGGATCTGATGGGAATGGTTTGAGGCCGCAAATAGGCCATAGTGCTTCTTTTTTTTTTTGTTTTGTTTTACTGGCAACAGGCAATACTATGAGGAGTTTGGGCATGTAACAACACAATACATTGTTGGACTAAACCACTGGGGATTAGGCGTTTTGGATAGCTTCATTTCAGCGGGAATATATCATTTCTTCTTCTTGTCATCCACTAGCTCGATATTGTCTTCTGGTACATCCTTGTACTTTTCCAGAATGAACTCTTCTAGCTCGTCGCTGACGTCTCCCTGAACCACGATTTCTTCGCCGCCGCTGGGAAGCTTTGTAACGGAGGAACCTGTTGCGAACTTCTTTCCGAAATCCTTGGCAACCTTGAGAACGAAACATGGTCAGCACTCTTCACTTCATAGAGTAAGAATATCGTAGTAGGCATACCTTCTTCAAATCTAGACCAAAAGCTTCCAGACCAATAACGGCTGTGACAAACTTTTTCTTGTTTCTCTCGATTCGCTTGATGGTTACGACGCTCGAGGCCAGCTTATTAGCCTGCTTCTGCTCCGCAGCCTCGGCCTTGGCAGCCTTCTTCTGCGCATCCTTGGCAGCTCTCTTCTGCGCATCGATGGAGAGAGCAGCAGTGGCTGCTTCTAAAGCCTCAGGGGACCATATCCTCGCGTACATGTCCGGGTGGTGCTTCTCGAGCCATTCCTGGCATTTCTTCACGGTGCCGCCATACTCGCAGTACTACTTGGTTATAGTTGAGCCCTCAGGTCACATCGGATAACGAGACAATGTTCGAGATGGTGTTTTCTCTTGCTTTTTTTTTTCCATACCTCTGGCGGCAGAGTACACACTAAAAACCAAGCAAGAATTAGCAACTGCAGCTGGCCATTGCTTGAGAAAGCTAGAGCAAATTTTCACAGTCAAGGGGGGCTTTGCCGTACCTCCGCAGTAAATCACATTTCTGCTCTGCAGCTCCACGGGCGCCTCGGATTGTTCTGTGTCTGCCATGGTTGCTGGCAGAGGCTGAGCTGTTCAGGAGAGCAAGACGCGCGCTCTCTGTACTGATCTTTCACGTAAAGTCACAACCAAGACGCATGGCGGGGTAGATTCAGTGATACATGGCGGGGCTGCTCTTCCCACTGGCGACGTCAATTGCTCGAGGTACCCAAGTACCTCCCTCTGTTTTAGTGGAAGGCCATCGGAGCAGGATCCTCCTCCCAGCCGTGGCGGTGGCTCGACGCCTGAGGCAAGCATCAAGCTTGTAGCTGCGGGATGCCAGAGACAAGGCCATGCGTAGCCGCCATGCGTTTAAATGGAGGAATCGTGATCCCCTTTTTTTTCTCCTTTTCTCCTTCTCTTCACTATTTATCCGTTGAATGTCTTTATCTCGTTGCGCTGGCATTCTCTTCATTTCGTGATGCAATTTCTTGGTGCATATCCGTCAGCTGCAGCGCCAGTAGCGCTGGACGCATGACGGTGAGCACACTCTTAAGCCGGTGATATCGCAAAGAATCGCCAGCGAATCTCTCTTCACCTCAATAGTCACAACATTATTGCGAACCAGGTTGCCGAGCATCGACAGGCTATTGCAAGACCATCTCATTTATTGGACTTAGTGCCACCACGATGCTTCCCGGGTGCAGCTGCCCCTTAGTGATAGCAAGCATGTTAGCCGCCCAGCTCTGGCGGAGGCCGTCGCCATTGGCCGTGGCTCGAGCTCGACTCCCCACGTCGGTTGGAGTGTGTGTAGACGCCAGCCAGTCATCGCCGCGCCAAGGTGGTGGGCTAGGCGATGGCCTAAATATAGAAGCAAAACTCGACGGCTGATTGGAAGTTGCTTTTGCAGCGGCTTGACTACGATCTGAGTTCAGATGGACATCGTCTATTATACGTCTGCCCATATTGCGCCATGACGCGCTTCAAGCCGCCGATGATCAAGCATGCCAGGATCAGATGCGCCAGCGCGGCGATATTATCTGGCACCTAGAGCTGCCTTGTGTGCACCGCATTGCTCTATTCCCAAAATGCACCGCCTCGTCCGGGTGGGAGCTTGACGACTTATACGCGCCGAGCATCTGTAGCCGCCCATGCCCCCATCAGCATTTTCTTGCTCTCTAATAAGACCCAACCGTCCCTAACCAACAACATTCCGTCTCTTTTGCATATACTTCTCTCTTTTTGTTTTCTTCTTTGCGACCTCGCGCCTGTGTGCACTAATAGAGGCTTTGTTGACCAAAGCAGCCCATCGTTCGAGCTTTTCACATCGTCGCCGGCCGTCGAGCGTTTTGACCATTATTACTTTATTAATTATTTCACCCATTACGATAGTTTAATTGTTGTTTCTCTTTTCTTTTTTAGCCCGCTTTCTTCGGGTAATATTGTGGTCGCTATCTGGAATAGTGCCTGTAACCTATTTTTTCACAATGGCTGAGCCAACTCATTATATACCCAGCCACCAACAGCCCCAAGAGTCTTCGCTGGATCGAAGACCAAAGAGGTTTCTTAATCCTATAATTGAAGAGAAAACTGGAGATAGCTATGCCGAAAGCGGTGCTAAGGGAAAGCGAGCTGATACTTCGCACCTCAACATCACAGCATGGCTATCACCAATGAGCGACCACTTCCCTACTCCGAGGGGAGTGCACTATCTCGCTGCCCCGATCCTTCCATCGTCGCCGTCGTCGATGTCGGCCGATGAGAACTCGCCAACGTCCATCTCGAATTCAAACTCATGGAATCGAGCAAGCTCGATTACCGACAGCACCGAGTTCGACGAGCTATATGATCTCTATGGCGTATCAGACGATGAAGCGCAACAGGGGCTGCGTCGTTCGTCATCGGTACGAAGATCTCGAGCGACGTCTATGATGTTTGAACCCGTGATCCGACAGCCCACTCCTCTTGTCATCCCACCGACTAGGGATGAGAACGATGAGATCTGGTCTGCCGTTGATGAGCTCAAGAAAATCACGTCTCCGCTTCCGCTGACTCCATCTGCAAATCTCCCAATGTCGCCGGCACAGAAAGACTTTTTTGGCAAGCAGCAGGCTTTGGTAATTCCCACAATCTCTGCACCACCTTCTCTCGATGGAAGCTTGTCTTCAGAGCAACTCGCTACTATGAGTTCTCCTCCAACTCCTGTGATTGGCCACGATGAACCTACTTCGGAATCGACCTGGACCGGTGTACATTTACAGCCCGGAGCATTGGCAACTTTGCATGCTCTGTCTGGTGGTGATGAAGATAGCAATCTCGAAGAAGAGGATAATGAAGCTGCCCAGGCCGATCAGGTACAGCCTCCTCAGCTTCCAGAGATGCAGCAAAACTCCCTCCGGCTCGTTACCAATTTCCTGTCTCAAGCAGCATCGCGCGCAAACACCCGCTCGCCTAACCTTGCTCGGCAATCTCTTGCAGGACTTACTAGGCTCAGTATCCCGTCTCCAGGTGGTTTCTTTTCTGGCCTATCGCCTCGAAGTAGGAATACCTGGCATCCTAGAACCCTTTCGCCAATCGAGATAATCCCGACGACCACAACAGCGGAGCAGTTTTACCGCTGCCCTTGGAATGCCGCTAGCTCTCCTGTTCCTCCGGTACCTCAGCGAGACGAAGCAGAGGAATTCTATCGAAGCGTGAGCTTGACGTCGTCTGCACCGGTTGAGCATATTGTGGAAGTTCGAGCCGACCAGAGCATCGAGGATGATATGCCCACTGCTAGACCCATCATCCACATGCCAACAAATGATGAGCCCAGCGAAGCCATTAAATCCCCCTCTTCTCCTGATGTAGAAGCTATTCCAACTGAAATCGTCGAAGATTATGATCCTAGCTATGCTCGAAAACAACAGCTAGAGGCACTGTCAAACCTTGATCGTACCGAGCTGTGGCTCATGGCGCAGCGAGTATATCTCAAAGGTGTAGACACTGTCGAAGATAACGGCGCGTTGGAGACAATTGAAGAGGATTTGGACGAAGAGGACGAGGACATGACCAAGTTGGAAAACAAACCCGAATCTGAACCAGTGCCGAAGCCGGGCCAAAAGGACGCGGCGGCAAAGAAAGTAGTACGATTTTCTAATATCATTACGACCACGGTGATAGCGAAGAGCCTTCCGTCAAAGCTGCTTCGCCAGGAATCTGCGTACTATAGAGCGTTCCAAGACTACGTGGTCCGAACCCAGCTTAGCGATATTTTTGTTTTCCAACTCTCCCGCTTTGAAGCCCTTCAGGCACAGAGAGTGGCACTTCGCTCTGCTCACCACAGCCAACTGCTAGGAAAGTATCAGCTTAGCGTTCTCCCCCAGTCGGCGAAGAAGCGCCTGAGTGCAAACGTCGTGCGTGGCGATGACGTCCTGACTGATGATCCGGAAACACTACGAAAGGAGAAGGAGGCTGAAGCTATGAAGCAGATGGCCATGGCCACTTGGCATGTGGCAGCTATGAAATTCCTTAATGGTGGAAAACTCATTTCTGCCCCTGTCGCCAAGCGACTGGCCAGGCTCTCACGATTGGGATCGGGTAAAGATGGTGTTGGCCGTGATAGAGCTAGGATTTTGGACCTTGGCGGTCAATCTACTTGCGATTGGGCATGGCACTGTGCTCTCACCTACCCAAACGCAAAGATTTACACAGTGACTACCAAGGCAGTTCGTCAACTCTCCAACTCCAATATCCGAGGCCCACCAAACCATCGCCAAGTTGCCGTGGAGCGGCTCACAAAGCTTCCTTTTGCGGACAACCAGTTTGATCTCATCTCTGCTCGTGAGCTCCACGGCCTGCTCAAGTTTATTGGTGAAAACGGCGAGGATGAGTGGGAAAGCTGTCTTCAGGAATGCATGCGAGTTCTAAAACCTGGCGGCTACCTTGAATTTTCTCTTCTCGACTCTGATATCATGAACGCAGGCCCATTGGGCCTTGCTAAGAGTGTTGAATTTGGGTTCACCCTAAAGACCCTTGGCTACGACCCCAACCCAACAAAGCTGTGGTTAGGCCGACTTGCTCGTGCTGGTTTTCGCGATGCTCGCCGTGCCTGGCTCTGTCTTCCCGTCGGAGCTAAGCCAGTCGTCAAGCCTCCTACTCCTCCCAAAGACAACCTTCCAGGACCAGACGTCAAAGTCTGCCAAATGGACGCGATGGTTATGGGAAGCACAGATAATATTGCCAATGTTTGCGGCATTGCTGGTGGTTGGAGCTGGGAGAGGTGGCTTCTCCGATGCGAGATGGAGAAAGTCGCGGGCGAATTGAGACTTGTAGACACTGTCACCGCTAGCCCAGCCATCAAAGAGGCGAGCAAGTGTCTGGAAGGTTTCCATGCTGTGATGGAGGAGGGCCGTAACTGCAGAGCGGGCTTCCGGATGCTTAACGGGTATACCAGGAAGCCTCAGGTGACGACGGCGTGATGTCTACTGCGTTTGCGAAATTGAGCCAGGACGCTCGTTCTTCCCCTTTTGTTTTCTTTTCTTTTGTCAGGGTTTAGTTGAATATGTCTCATTATCATATACGGCTTTGAGAGAAAGTTTATCAGAATTTGACATTGGACTACTGGTAGTAGCCTTTCGTCCCTGGATGGACAATGTGCTCCCTGTGGGAGCAAAGGAGAGCAGGAAGGGAAGTGGAAGTGGGAAGGATAGGATTTTTGGACAACGTTTAGCTACATCATATACCCGCAAATTTGGAATACGAAAGGAAATGAATACCAAATAAAAGATATTATTTATACAAAAAGGCCTACTTAGAAAAATTGGGCTGTATAATCGAGGCACTGATTCTGGGAGTAATAAATACCTAGTAGGTACCTTGTAAGTTGTATCTACTATGTGGCTCAGGTCCTCGAAGATGCCTTAGGTAAGCTGCTGAGCCGACGCGGGGAAGAGCGGGCGCATTCCATTCGCCGAAAAATTAGAGCTTGTGCCGCCGAGCTAGTTCATGCAGACGACGGCAGGCACCGTTCGACTTAGTAAACCGCAAAACATCAGCACATCGACAGCTGGAGCTAGTTGATGCCTCGAGACACTGGGAGACATCGACATCCCAGACATCCAGACTCGAGCGCTAATCCCGGCACAGGAACGAGAGGCCAAATGTCGAACCCCAACAATTGGCAGGAGGAGGCGATGCGCCGTCTGCGCCAGATGCAGACGCGGGGCGGGTATCCCGGAGGACGAGGACCGCAGATGCCTAGAGGAGCGAATCCCGCCCTGTTTGGAGGAATCTTGCTGGCAGGCGGTGCTTGGCTGCTGTCGAACTCGCTGTTCAACGTGGATGGTGGACACCGAGCGATCAAATACCAGAGATTAACAGGCGTGAGCAAGGAGATCTACAGCGAAGGTACGAATGTGATGATGAGCTTTTTTTTCTCATTGGGCGGGAAGAAAAGAGGGGGATAAACGAGAATGCAGGGGCTATGACTTACAACTCTCTTGATTTTGCCACTGCTTGAGACAACCGAAGGCTGACGTGTGCAACTTTGCAGGAACACACATCAATATCCCATGGTTCGAGACGCCCATCATCTATGACGTACGAGCAAAGCCGCGGAATGTTGCCTCGTTGACAGGCACCAAAGACTTGCAGATGGTCAACATCACCTGCCGTGTTCTCTCAAGACCGAATGTCGAATCTCTGCCTCAGATCTACAGAACGCTCGGAACCGACTACGACGAGCGAGTGTTGCCCTCGATTGTGAACGAGGTGCTGAAGAGCGTGGTCGCCCAGTTTAATGCCAGTCAGCTCATCACGCAGCGAGAGATGGTTGCCAGACTGGTAAGGGAGAACTTGTCTCGCCGAGCTGCGCGATTCAATATTCTGCTTGATGATGTATCTTTGACGGTAAGCCTATCCGCTCTCTCATCCATGAAGTATCTAGCATATTCTAATATCTTTCTGCGCGCTATAGCATCTTGCATTTTCTCCAGAATTCACAGCCGCTGTTGAAGCCAAGCAGGTTGCGCAACAAGAGGCGCAGCGAGCAGCCTTCGTCGTCGACAAGGCCCGACAGGAGAAGCAAGCCATGGTAGTCAAGGCACAGGGTGAGGCCCGATCTGCTGAACTGATTGGCGACGCTATCAAGAAGAGCAAGGCCTATGTGGAATTAAAGAAGATTGAGAACGCTAGACTCATTGCCCAACAGTTGCAAGAATCTGGAGCGAAGAACAGGCTGCTTTTGGATGCTGAAGGTCTGGGCCTCAACGTCTTTGAGGATTCGGAGAAGAAATGAGACAACAGAAGAAACGAAGTTGTGGTGGATGAGGATGAAAAGATATAAATCTCCGCTGCATGCTTGACTGTACAAAATTGAGAAAAAATTGTATTACTATAATGAGAATCTTAACTGGGAGGTATACTAGACCGAAACGCTGGTCATTGCAATATGCACTTGCAAATCCTCTCCCAGACTACACAAAAGTGAATATGTAATCCCTCAAATGTAATTATTCCCAAGTATGAAAACATTTTTAAATCAGTAAATAGTCCAATCTGTAAGCAGGCAGCAACGCACCTATTCTTCGTTGACAGCGTCTGCTATTTATCGAAGGGAGCCCGCGAACTAACAGCTACCTAATAGCCGCGCCTTTCAGGTGGCGCAAGGCGCGCATCCGGCACCCCACCAGGCTCCAGCATCCCACTTCCAGCTTCCGTGCCGTCACTCTCAGCCTTGCTTCTTAAACTTGTCATCCTGTGCAAACAGTGGTCGGGACAGAGCTTTTTTTGTGCAAGCAAGTCCCCAACACGCCTGGACCTCCAACAATATCCGAGCCACAGGAAGGCCAGCCTTGATATTTAATCAGTGCTCTTCACGACACCACCGCCAATATGTTGATCAAGTGAGAGAGCTGCCTCATTCTTTGCTGGGTCTGTTCCTTGAATGTTTCATGGAGCTAACAGAAGTTGCAAAACGGCAGAGTGCGCACCTTGACCGGCAAGGAAATCGAGCTCGATATTGAGTCGGACTACAAGGTATACACTCTTTCTCCGACTAGACCTCCGATCGAAGACGGCAACTGAATACCTTTGTATGCAGGTCTCTCAGATCAAGGAGAAGGTGGAGGAGAAGGAAGGCATTCCGCCTGTGCAGCAGCGCCTCATCCACGGCGGCAAGCAAATGTACGATCACCATGCCGAATGACTTCCCTTCCCCCAAGGCCGGGAAAAGGCGGCAAAGTGAAGAGTGACACCATAGCTTACTAATGCGGGCTTTGCTTCTTGACAGGACCGATGACAAGACTGCGGCCGAATACAACCTTGTCGCTGGCGACACTCTGCATCTCGTCCTCGCCCTTAGGGGGGGACGGCACTTTGAATAATGCTAAACGACGGAAGCGAAGCGATATGTCGACATGTCATAGGAAGCCGAGAGGATATTGGTAGATAGGGAAAGCAACAAGCAAGGGGAAGGAGCAGTATATTTGGGAGCAGATATACAGGGCCCTTTCTTCTGCCGATAACGTACGTACATTTGGTCATTTGATAGATTGAGCTATACAAAACATATGGGCTCTCGATGCCGAATATCTCCACACATGAGCATCCTTCGGGAGAACTTACCGACCTCTTTCGAGAAAGTTGATGCTGAACGAATAATTTCGTTCAAACGAACTAACAAGCAACTAACCAGCAAACAAGCACAGACTGTATGCATGGTGTGACAAGCAGCATACAAGTCAAACGTCAACAACAAGTCACTTATTAACGAATGAAAGGACAATCTCGTAAGTTTATTGAACCGTATTTGTCAAACCCGCTTGAAGCCATCTGCATTTGTGTCTACTAATATACAAGTAGCTGCATCATATCCACCAGCAGCTATCCATTTAGCATGTGACACAAAGAGAAACAGTATAGTAAAAAGAAAAATTCAATATTGCCTTGCCTGAATCTGGGCTTGAAGCTCGCCCTGCCAGCCTTGTACCGAAACTCCATTCCTTGTATAATCATTGTGGGTATTTATCACCCTTGGTATCAAATGAGAGAAAATAGGCGGCGCCAAAAACAAAGAAGACAATGTTTGCTTAGCAGGTGTCCATCTCCCTGCACTTTAGGCCCTCCGCTTGGGTCGCATGAATATGTCCACAGCCTTCCGCTTGCGTGGCGGAGCTGAGACTGCCGGGGCTTGCTGCTGAGATTCGACAGCAGACAAAAGTTCATCGAGTGACTGGGGTGAACTTTTCTCATCCAGAGGCTCAGAGTTCCGCGTCTGGGGTAGGACGGGTTGAGAACGCTTCTGAGAGTTCTCTGCCTGCTTTGCCACTGGTGCCTTCTTGGTGACAACCGCAGCTGGAGGAACTGAAGGTTTGAACCCACCAAACTTTCGCTGGAGCGTGCTGATAGGTGCCTTTGTTGTAGTCTTTACAGCTGGCGTGGGCGCGGCATTGGCGGGCTGCTTGGATATGGCGGCTGCCCTTCGATCTAGGGCATTATCGTGGTCATCCTCATCACCGTCGTCATTCTCTTCAGAGTCAGAGAGGTAGGTAGCGCGTCGTTCAAATTCCTCCAGCGCAGCTTCCAAGGGTGAGATCTTTACGGGCTCCTTCGGGGCTGGTCGGAAAGCTGGTTGTGCGGCTCTCTTGCGATCATTCACCATGGCTTCCGGTGCTCTCGTGACGCCTTGGCCTCTATATGGCGCTCTGATGCTTCGAGAAAGGGAGCCGTGGATGTTGGCAATCTCCTTTACCTCACGGCGGACCTTTCGCATGACACTTGCCCCGTTGACTGTCTTGGTGCGGCTGCCACCACCAAAGGTCAAGGCGTTGGAAGAGCCTTCACGAGGACCGGTATATCGCCTGATTGCCATCTTTGCAGATCTGGGGAGTGCCTTGTTGCTGATGATCTTGCTCGTGTTCTTCTCCTTGTCTTGACGGAGGCCGGCCAGGGCAAATTTGAGCTTGTCCTCGCTCTCTTGAAGCGCTCTGTCGTGCTCAATCTTATACTTCTCCCAGATCTTGTACCATTTTTTCGGGTCTCTGGGTTGATACGCCTTGGATTTGGACTCCAGGGGAAAGTCGCGTTCAATGAACTTGAGCCATATCTCAGCTGTTTGGCCTTCAATGTGAGGCGAATTGAGTTCGATCTGTCGAAGCTGAGCGGGATTGTCGATCTTGATCAAGAGCTCACGGGCGACCTCGTAGCTGAGGAAGCCGATGTTGTCGATATCACGGATGTTCTTGATGCAAGCCATCATGGCGAGTTCCTTGAGTGATTTGAGAGACATGGTGACGGAGCTGGGGGGTCCGGGAGAGGACCGACAATATATAGAACTAAACAAAGGGGTGGCTTCTCCAGTGAAAGTGAGTTTGAATTGAACAAACTTTACTCAATTAATGTAAACAATAGGAACTTGAGTATATTGTTTATGAGTCAGTAATGGCTTGAGTTTGAGTGGTGAAAACTAGAAGTGAGCATAAACTGAGGCCGTCGATGACGATGATTCCCCATATGAGAAACGGCGCCAACGTGTGTCTTTTACGATCTGAAGCCTAATTTCCCGCTCCCCCCAAAGCCTAGAGAAGGTTCCCGTTCCAAGCCATATGGAGAATTTCGATGCTAAATAGGAACAAGTAAGGTAAAATTCGAACCACGGGCTCTCTTGGGGCTTGATGGTGATGGCGTATAAGTGCGAGGCAGCCGGCTTAAGTTTGTAGTTGCTACGGGTACGAGCCTTATCCAACGTCGAAAGGGTGAGCCAGCCTCGTGCACGGCCCCGTTCTGCTAAACTATGCTACTAGGCCTAGGACTAGAACAGAGCCCGCCATAAGATACTTGGTACAGTATGAAGTATGGCAAACGCACTCAAGGCTTTGGAACTTTGCTTCAGGACGGGCTACACAGTGCAGCGCTGCCTTTCAAGGCACTCCACAGCGACATTAGTGCAAAGAGCCCCTCAAGCAGCACTGACTTCATGCCCCGGAGTTGGTACCTCAGGTTAGTTCGCATGTAGGTACTCTCGTCACGTACCTATAGCTCCATCTGCAGTGACGCCTTGTGCCCTCTTTTGCAAACTTTCACATCATTACAACGGATTGCTAGATTGCCAGCAGCCCACCGTTCCGCCGCAGCCCTGATCCCCGATTTCACCCATCACTCCAATTGATTCAGCGCGAGACAGGATTTTGCCATTTAGAACAACCGAATCGAGATGGCGGACTCAGGGCTCGTCAAGTCGGAGTTCGTCAAGGACGAGCCGGCTGCCTCGCCAATGGCGCTTGACGAGGACGACCTCTTTGAAGATGCTGGCGATCTCGACTTCTATGACAAATCGGCTCCCGGAAATACGTTTGAGACGCTGTACCTTGCGCGCATCCCCAAGTACATGTGGGATGCGTGGATCAAGGTGACCGAGAAGCTGGGCGACGACGACGAGATCCAGATCGGCACGCTACGGACGTGGAACGAGCCTCAGATGGACACATTGGCAGATGGGACGCCTCGTGAGCTTACGAAGCTGCGCATGCTCCTCACGGCGAATACCCCGGAGCACCAGCTTCTCCCTCGAGAGTACGATCTGGAGATTCTCGACCAGGACGTGAACAATTCCTTCATCTTCAGCGAAGAGGATCTGCCGGGTTACAAGAACAAAACGCGCTCAGATGCGGCTAGCGCTGGAATACCACTCGCCCTGCTACGATCGAGAGGAAATGGCAATGGCGGTTCCGAGAGGCCAACCTATGATCGAAGGAGTCGGTACCAGCCGTATTACCGCAAAGCTATCCCGAGTATGTGGCCATGTTTTGAACACTAAGAAGAGTTTTTACCTTTCATAACGCTAATACAGTACTACAGAGAAAACCAAAATCTTTGGTAAAATCCGATACGATCTACGTGTTGAGCCACGAAACCTACGGGAAGAAGAGGAGCTCTTGGCGAAGCGCATCTTTGAAGCCGAGAATTCCAAAACGAAGCTTCAAATCATCAGCAGGAACAAAGCGTCTTCCATTATCAATCCTGGAGCTACGGGCTCCGTTAGCTGGGGAGGAAATTTCATCGTGCGTATACACCCGTCCACCACCTACCTATACGTCCGTCTTGGCACCGCTGCTAACTTTCTCCATCACAGAAAAATGCTGCCCCTACTGCTAAACCCAAGAAGGGCGAAATCCTCAAGGCTACTCGTATTCCAAAGAACCAGCTTCTCGATCTTATTTTCGATTGCTTCCGTCAATATCAGTACTGGTCGATGAAGGCCCTGCGGCAAAGAACTCAGCAGCCAGACTCTTATCTACGCCAGGTCTTGGAGGAAGTTGCAGTTCTCAACAAGAGCGGCCCATTTGCCAACCACTACTGCTTGAGTGAAGCTTACCGAGATAAGGGTGGCAATGATGCCAAAGAGGCTGCCGCGGAGGCGATGGATGATGATGGCGATGACGACGAGGGTGAAGAAATGGAAGATGTGCTGGTGATGCAGTGAGATTATGTCTCATTAAACGTCTTTTTTCACAGCTATGTCCGCTATGAATGGGCGGTACCACAGGGAGAGCCTTTTCTTTCTTCCATGTTCTTCCGTTATTTTTTTCATTTATCTCAAAGGACGGAATACCAGCCGTTTAAATATGAAAACAAGAGTCAATGGGTATCAACTGGCGTCGGGGCGTTGGGTTCATGCCGCTCAAGGCATTTAATACCCTTTTTATAATGGGAAATCCTAGCTAAGAGTATAGAGTATATCAATTGATTATACAATACTACATGTCTTTTTTTCTTGCCTTTGGAACTTACAGTAAGAACCTAATCTTTTATTCTGCCTCTCTAGTAATCATCATTACTAGGACTAAGATTAATAGTATTAAATGGCCCAATAACATGTAGCTACTGTCTCACTGGCCTCGGAAGTAGTGGGCTATTTTGCTAGCACGACTAGCGTCTTCTCGAGCTGACCCTACGTCATGACAAGATGAAGCAGATTGGTATTATCTATGACAGCTGTCAGCCGTTTAATCGCAGAATAACATCATGAAGAGATTTTTGTTCTTTTTCGAGTTGTATTTTGATGGCCTGATATAGGGACCCATAGGAAATTGCTAACTATGTCTATTCTTATCTCACTCGGCTTGTAAACTACTGGCTTTGTATGGAGTCTATACGTCACCATCTGTGAGCATCAGGCGCGACTGCCAGCAATGGCAATCTACCCACTTCAGCTCCTTCCCATTTATTTAGCTGCCGCCCGAAAACTGCCCTTCCGAGGTAGTCGCAAGCCATGGGTGCTGACCCCTCAGTACACATTCTCGGCGTACTCCATACATGGGAATATGGTGGCGATGTGTTAGCGTTGTCAACGATGATCTCATACAATTCATTAACAACTTCGGGGTTCATCTGACATTGATAGACGGGCCTCATCGTGTAGCTTTATAGTTCCTAGGTACATCAGTACCTGTATTCGAATAGCGTAGAAGGCAGGAAGCTCTGCTAGAGCACTTAGAGCGCTACTACTATAATAACATAAGGGGACCGCCGTTTCCGCACAAACATCCCTCTCACCCCAAGAGCTTCTCTCCATACGAATGGAGCTCTCATCAACATAGAACAGACTTGATACCAACCGTGACCTGGATAAATAATCTTCTGGCTCATACTAGATACTTCTCTCTGTCCTACACAATGGCAACGCACTCGGGGACCAACCGCCGTGCCCAGTCGGGGGGCTATCTTCCTATTGAAGACTATGGCATTGTAGGCAACATGCATACATGCGCCCTTGCTGGATTGGACGGAAGCATAGACTTTATGTGCTGGTGAGCTCTCCAATCACCTGTTGTCTGGCTGTACTTCACTTCGAATCTGACCTGGCGCAGGCCTGACTTTGACTCGCCGTCTGTCTTCTGCCGTCTCCTGGATAAGAACAAGGGGGGCTATTTCAGTATTTCTCCGCCTGATGAGTTCAGCTGCACGACCAAACAGCAATATCTCCCCTCTTCGTGCATTCTACAAACTAGGTACATTCACGAAGACGGTGTTGTCGACGTCGTGGACTTCTTTCCCCGGCCCAAGAGCGCCAAGGTAATGACCAAAGGTTACAAGCAAAACGCCTATCGCGAGGCCATCAATGTCCAAGAAGAGCTGAAGAAATGGGTTGTACGACGTGTAGAATGTATTCGTGGATCATTGCCTATAAGTACGTTAAGCTATCAAAATTTATGACGGAATTATACGTTTTGGAGAATTGGAATGGGACTGATAGAAGGACTATGGCAGACGTCGAAATCTTCCCTGCATTCGGCTATGGGCGAGACCCTCACCAGACAACACTTTTACGGGAGACTCATACACCGGAGCAACGAGAAAGCAAAATAGGAACCTTTCACAGCAAGGATGTTAAGCTTCAGCTGGACGTTGCCGTCGATAAGGAAGTTGGGCACAACTGCGGCGATATGACTTTTGAAAAAGTCAAAAAGGATGAGATGCTCGGCGAAGGCATAGTATCTCGCTTTACCTTGCGTGCCGGCCAATCGGTCTCATTTATCCTGAGAAATGACCTCCCCAATCACATCACGGAGGTCATTACAGATGCAGTCTTGGATAGTCAACAGCATGACACGCAGACATTTTGGTACAACTTTATCTCTCAATCCAAGTACAAGGGTCGATGGAGAGAGGTTGTATCGCGAAGTCTTATGATTTTGAAGCTGCTTACCTATGGTAATGCGCAACATATGAACCCTTAACTTTCAGAGCATGGATTAACAATCGATAGAACCGACTGGTGCCATTATCGCTGCCCCCACATTCTCCTTGCCTGAAGACGTGGGAGGCGTAAGAAATTGGGATTATCGTTATTCTTGGGTCCGAGACTCGAGCTTTACTATATACATCCTTCTCCGGCTTGGCTTCAAAGCTGAGGCAGATGCATATATGGACTTCATCATGGAGCGCTTCACATCAGATCGGGGACCTGATGGGGGGCTTCCCATCATGTTTACTATTCATGGGGGCACTGACATTCCTGAAATGACCCTAGATCATTTTGAAGGTTATCGAGGCAGTGCGCCTGTTCGCATCGGCAATGGCGCAGCTTTTCATCTTCAATTCGACGTGTACGGCGAATTAATGGACTCGATTTATCTGTACAACAAGTATGGAAAGCCAGTGTCCTGGGACATCTGGTGTGCCGTACGACGGATGTTAGGTTTGTATAACAATCAACAGCTCAGATAAGACATTATACTAATTCGTTCCAATGGTAGATTATGTCTTGACCATTATTGGTAGTAAGTAAACTCGCTATATTCTAATTTTCAAAACCAGAGAAAGTAGAGAAACTTACCAGATATAGAAACCGACATGTCTATTTGGGAAGTGCGCGGAAACAAGCAACGGTTTACCATTTCTCAAATCTTTCTCTGGGTAGCATTTGACCGCGGTCTCCGACTGGCAGAGAAAAGATGCCTCCCTTGTCCCAATAGAGCAAAATGGCTCGAGGCTCGCGATAGCCTTTACGAAGAAATTATGGAAAAAGGTTTGCATCCCTGTTAGTCTTTTATGGTCTCATACTCACCAAGGCATACCAGGTTACAACACGGAAATGAAGTCCTTCGTCCAAAGCTACGAGGCCAATACGGTCTTGGATTCATCTATTTTACTTGCTCCTCTGGTGTTTTTCATAGCTCCAAGTGATCCCCGCTTTGTAAACACAATCAACCGCATAATGCTGCCGCCAGAGGAAGGAGGATTGACGAGCACTGGGTTGGTATATCGCTACGACACTGATGAATCAGATGATGGTAGGCCATACTATGAATCTGAGAGAGTATATGACAAAGCTAGTTACTAACCCACCACTGCCTAGGCGTTGGAGGAAGAGATGGAGCCTTCTCAATCTGCACGTTTTGGCTCGTTGAGGCTATGACTCGTGCAAGCATTCATGAGCCCCATTATCTTCCCCGGGCTCTGAACCTTTTTCAGAATATGTTGCAGTTCTCGAACCACTTGTCCATGTTCTCCGAGGAGATTGCACGAAGTGGCGAGCAGCTAGGCAACACACCGCAGGCTTTTAGCCACCTGTCACTTATCAGCGCAGCCTTCAATCTCGATCGAGTTTTTGAAGGATGGCAAGACTCTCGCACCTGAATATCCTCTATGAATGGCGGCCAAGTATGTGTTTTATACTCTCTATCGTATCGTTCTTGGTAGGTTTTGTTGATGATTCTAGTGTTTGATGTGATGCATCTATAAGTTTGTATTTGCAGCTACGCTTTAGCAGTGATACTAGAATAAATAAATTAAAAAAAAAAAAAAAAGAAAAGAAAAGAAAAATGTCAGTAATTTTCTCTTTCCTATTACTATCACAAATTTCGCATCTCCATATATAAAGGTGTACCCAAGGCTCTTCTAGGATTGCAGGAAAGCACCGTCACGGTTGGAGGCACCATCATGTTTAGCTATTCTATAGCACTTCTTAGCCCTATAATGTATCTGAGAGCCGCGTTTGTAGAGTCTCTTGTTGCATGCGTTGCAGCTGGCTCCGAGTGAATTTACGGTCGAGTATAACACGCGGCTAGGATTTCCGGGACATATTTCGAGTGTAACCTGTAGTGGGAAACCTTCATCTTGGTATAGCTGCTGGCACTTCACACACGGAGGGGTCGCCGACCCCAAGCCTTGCCTTGACATCCAGACAGCGTGAAAGTGTAGACATACATGATACTGTATCTTGTCGTATAAAGTCAGTGAGATTGAAGACCGATACTAAACTCATTGGCCCGTTGAGATGCGCTCCAGCGTTTGGTTTTGCAGAATTTCTCGAAAATCCCGTGCCCAAACGATGTTCCCATCCTGCGGACGGCTGTCGACGTGTGGGACGCGGACACCGACACGATCAAGCGTTTGCATGAGCGATGACTTGGCATCCGCGGATATGACGATGCCGTAGTGAGCCAGGAGGCACTCCATGTCTGTGGTTGAATCGCCAAAGTAGACGGTTGGACTGGACGAGTGCTCTGCCTCGGCGATGAGCTGGCTCAGAGAAGTGGCCTTGTCGCGGGCCGTAGTCAGCCTGACGCCGCGGTTGAATCCATCGGGGCCTTGGATTGTGCCGTCTGCGGCTATCTGGTTGGTGATGACGCGAACGTCAACCGGATGGAGCACGCCCTCGATAAAGGCCCTGGACCAGTTCACCGAGAGCACGCCGACGTGCCAGCCCCTTTGCCGCGCCAGCTCCACCACCTCGACGAAGCCCTCCCTGATGGCGACGGCGCCGCTGGAAACCTGGTCCCTGCCCATCTGGAACAGGTGCTGCGCGGTCAGGCCGGAGAAGAGGCCCGACTGGTCGACCCTGTCGAGCGACGCATTCTCGGTGTCCTTGAGGCTGGACAGGTAGACGAGCTCTTGCTGCGGCTGGAGGCGCTCGCTCTCGGGGGGCGTGTAGCTGCTGGCAAAGGATTTGTGGTCGTCGCCGTAGGCCTTGACGATGGCGTCCCAGGCGGGTTGGAGGTCTTGCTGGTTGGTGCTGCGCTTGAAGTCGATTGCGGCCTGGGCGAGTTGGAAGATTGTGTCTTTGATGGTGATGGTGCCGTCGAAGTCGAAGATGAGATTCATTTTTTTTTGTTCGTTGTAATTGTGTAAAGTACTTTGTGCTGTGCTTTTTTTCTTTTTTTTTTCTTTTTAAATATATATATATATATATATATTGTAGGCTGATTTTAAAGTATGTCTTCAGAATATAGAAGTATTGTGTAGCATGAATGGGTTGTAAGAGGAGCAAGTGAGGTGGACTGATGGATATGTAAGTGCCTGTTACGCTATATTAGAGGGGTGCACAGCGTGTTGCTCCATTGAAGTCCTCCCTGTGGCGAAGCTGAGAGGCGCTATACAAGCATTTCATTACTAGTAGTGCCTACAATTATGTACTGTATTTTATTCGCCTTACACATACTATATAGCGGGTATTCAAATGGCATGCAATGTGTTACTCAATTGCTCAATGGATTATAGCTAGCTATCTGGCTAGATGTGTTTGTGTAATAATACATCATCGCTCAGAACAGATAGTGCATACACTTCCCATCACACCCTCGCCCATCAAGCTGTATTTGCCAGCATCGCCCGTATTATTAGAGCAACAGTAATACATAATAAGAGAAACCTTGAAAGTTTTTGAATTGGATTTTGCAAGTGTAGATTGTGAAAAGCAACTTTGTTATAAAAGCAGCAGATGAGATGGGTTGTTAGTGGCCCGACTCGCAGGCAGTGGCGGGCCTGAGCTTCCATCGGACTGGCCATTCCAAGACTTCAATCGTTGAAAGAGCGATTGCAGACAGAGCACGTGCCAAAAGATAGAAAGATAGAGAGAGAGAACGACATTGATCCATCAGCGTCACTTCATTCAACCATTCGCAAATTTTCTCATGCCACCTGCTCCATTGCCGGAAACACAAAGCAAACGCCCCTCCATAGCAGGTCCCGGCCTGCTGCTGCTGCTTTTACTAGATACTAGCAGCTTACTAACTCAAATATCCGCCCCTAGCCCTCAACCTCGACTTACTTCACGACCGCCGGCGTATAAGAAAACTTGGGGCTCCTACGCACAAACACACGCACACTCTCTCTCTCTCTCTCTCTGTCCACGTCCCATCTTCAACATTGAATTCAGCTCTGGAAATTCGAATCCATTCATCCTTCTGCCAAGATCTGAGTAAAGGGGCCTCGAGCTTTGATATCCTGCTTCTGCAGATTTTCTTCCGCTCAACCTCCCTTCCTCCACTCACTCTCATAAGCCAACAACCCGCGACAACACGCGTCAAACACCACGCTCATCAACCTTGGCCAGGAGCTTCTACTCTCCATCCCAATCTCTTCTCGGGCCTCATCTTCAACAATGCCTTACAACACCAACGCCATCCCTCCTCGAAAGGAGCCCACGGGGCAGACTCAATTGCCATGTAAGCTCAATGCTCTCTTAGCCTATTTCTTCTCATTTGGAAAAACTAACACGCCCTTGCCAGTATCAAGAGTCAAGAAGATCATCAGCCAAGACCCAGATGTCCAGATGTGCTCCAACAATGCCGCCTTTGTCATCACGTTAGCCGCTGTAGGTCGTCTCTTCCTCGAAACTCTTCCCAGTCTTCCCATATGCCTCGTCTCTCCAGCTAACACGGGCATTTTCACGCAGGAAATGTTCATCCAGCATCTCACTGAGGAGGCCCATGCTCAGGCAAAACTAGAACGCAAGCCCAGGCGCAACATTCAGTACAAGGACGTCGGTACGTTGACTCGACGGCTTATTCCAGTCGCCTCCTCTTCTCCCTTCTCTTTGCCTTTCTCTCTCCCACTAGAATAATGCCATAACCATGTTGGTGTCTCTAACGCAAACTGACCAGCCAATGCCATCTCACGCCGAGACAACCTCGAATTCCTAGAGGACGTCGCCCCCAAAACCACCACCTTCAAAAAGGCAAAGGCCGCTGCCCAGGCCCAATCTCGCGGCGAGACAGTCGCTGATGCAGACTCAGCTGCTGTTCACCGCGCTACGGCAAATGGCAGTAAGAGCAAAGCCAACGGAGGCAAGGCCGCTGTCAACGGTCAGGGTAAAGCCGGCACCAACCCCTTCACACTGTCCCTTCGTGGCGAGGAAAGCGGCAAGAAAGAGAGCATCACAACGGCGACTGCTGCAGCGGCGTCAAATAATCCGAATGATCAGCTTGAGCTGGAGATGAGGCAGGCCACGCGCCCTCAGGATGATGCCGACGTGGACATGACGGGCTAGAAGCGAGTTGTCTTGTGTCACGAAGCTTTACCGCGTAAAAGGGTTGTCTCTTGGACTGCGATGCCGTCAACCCGTGGGAAGCGATGCCGGCTTAGGAGCATGTAAAATTAAGGGTTCATCATCATTGCTGTTGCATCTTCATTGTGGGTAGTTTTAGTTGGTCTTTGGAGTTTATATATTTAATGGCAAATGTTGTTTATTTTCTGTCAACACCGTGTACCAACCAATGCTGCTTTCTCAGCCTTCTTGTCTTGTCAAGAGAAGCCCTTATTTAAAAAGTATAAATGGAAAAATAGTAAGTAAAAAAATACCCTCAAAAAATAACACAACCATGGAGCCAAACATATCCTTGTGTCAAAATAAAACGTCATGGCCCAGATTACCTCATAGTAACTCCCGTCACTCCTCCATAGCATCGCCGTAAATACCAGATGGCAACCGTCCCTCGTTCAATTCCTTCTCCAGCGCGATAATCTCCTGCAGGCTCGTCGCCTTCTTGATCTTCTCTTGCAGCCTCTGCTTCTCTTCGTCCGTCAACTTTATCCGCGAGAGCTTCGACGGCGCGGCTGCTACGCCGTTGGATGTGACTTCGAATGTCTTTGACTTTTTGCCCATAATCTAACAAAGAGAAAAGGGGAAAAAAAAAATGTTGCATTAGAATTGATATCCAGCAGCATAAAACATGATATTTTATGAAGGAGGGGGGGGGGGGGGGGGGGGGCTATAGCGTACCGATGTTGCCAGAGCTGTAGGCTCCTCCGCTGTGCCGAATAGTTCTTGGCTCTTCTCTCGTTCCGACTGCTTCACCTTTTCGTAGTCTAGAAATCGAACGGACGGACATCTCCAGATAACCCAATAACGATAATGCTGCCCCCCTCAAAAGTCAATTTACCCATCCTACAACACAAGACAAAGGGAGAAAGCTAAGGAAAAGAAGGGAGGATAGAGAGAGAGAGAGAGAGAAAGAAAAAAAAAACGCACCTCCTTCTTCGTAACAGGGTTATCCGCCAACACCAGCTGCGTCAGCCGCGTAAACGTCCCCAGCGCATCCACGTCCGCCAGCTCCGTCAGGTTATTCGACGCCAGCACCAGGTTCCTCAGGTTCGGCACCGCGGCCGCCGCCGTGGGCTGGATGCTCGCGACGCGGTTGCGCGCCAGGAGCAGCGTCGTTATGCGCGGCGAGAGGGGGAAGTTGCCCAGCACTTGGATGTCGTTGTCGGTGAAGTCGATGGCATCGTGGGGCTATATGTAACAGGAGTTAGCCATCGCCTTCTTGCTTTTTTTTTTTTTTTTGCCTTGGATCTTCGGGGGGCTTGTTCATTGAGAGCTCCGTAGCATAAGGGTAGGGTAGAAAGGGGAAAAAAAAAAAAAAAAAAAAAAGGACAAAGTAGAAGCTTTGGGGGAGAGGGAGAGGGAAAGAAACTCACGCCCGCAACACCTAGGTTTTCAATCGCAGGAATTCGGTGTCCTATTCACGCCACGGCGCCAAGAAAAAGGCCTTTCAATGTATCAAACGATTCCTTTTTTTTTTATCACAATCAAAGAAGGTGAAAGAAGAAGGTTTAGAAGAAAATAAAGAGATGAAGAAGTGTGTAGTATCTGCTCCTTTCATTTCCTTTTTTTCCAAATACCCTCCTCCTCTCCTTCAGGTAGCAAACGCACCTCGGAGATCAAGCTCTCTTTCCTTTAGGGGATTCAGATAGGACAGCGAGTCCCTAATCAGTTCGGCCGTGAGCCGCATGATGTGGAAACCGGGGGTCGGTTACGGGTCGAGAAGGATAAAAAAAAAAAAAAAAAAAAAGACCCCTCGAGAGAGAGGCTTTGCGGGAAACGTAGAACCGCCCGATTTTGCGATTTTCTCGATTCGCGCTTCGAAGGGGGGGAGCAATTGCTCAGGTAATCGTCGTCGTTGGATTATCCAGCAATTCAAAGCGAATATTCTCGATATAGATATTGTCGTCGCGGGCTTCGAATAGGGAAAAGGGACTTGAAGTGTGGAAATAAGGAAAACAATCACACAGTAAGGCGGTGGTGTCGCATGCCGCACTCTAAAGCTACATGGGCAAGGCTGAAATGCTTAGACAAGGCGTCGGGAAATTTCAGTGACACCAAAAAAAAACGCCACACTTTGCGCAGCGCCACCAATAGCTAGAGCCACACTTCAACTTCATGCCTCAACTACACCGAATACTGGTCGTCCAACTAACACATCGCAGATCTCCGTGTCTGACTACATCAAACTTGCTTCAATGCTCTCTTGTACGGATATATCTCCAGACTCATAACTTCACAGCCTAATAATACTGCATCATGCACAAAGTACTTCCTCTCTACGGAGGCGGTCTTTAACAATTACTACTCGATTCCGGAATAATGCTACTTTGAATGTTATCTAGTAGCACTTTCGTCATCCAAGAATAAAAAGTCTTCAACAGTTGACATAGAATCTTCCAGTACTGGGGCCTAGTACACCCTATCCCTTATGCACAGCAACTGCTTCATTTAAAATCGGAAACAAGCTAATACCATCTTAACTGTATGCTAATCAGAAGCAAGATACTGAATATCAAGTTCATCATGTTCAAATTTTTCATCATATTCATTCATCATTAGGCATTCAGCTACATTAAAAACCCACGGTAGCTAAATTTTGGTATTGGGCATATCCCTCTCGCTTCCAGCTGAGGAAACAGAAACCGGAATCCAAATAAAAATAACAATCAACTCAGAACCCCCCCTTCTTCTCTATTCTCGACAAGAAAAAAAGGCAAAAGAGCTCCAGAAATAATTCTATTCTATTGAAACACATAAACCACGCCGGACCGATCCACAGACACGCTCATCGAATACGGATACTCCAAAATCGCCACGTCCATAACCAGATCCAAATGCGACTTCAACAGCTGCTGCTGCTGCATCGAGATCACTGTCGATCTCGGCGCCTTCTGCCTGGCCGTTCCCGCATTGGGAGAAGACGCCACGTGCCTCGCAAACCGCTCCGTGTTTAGAGTCATCGACGTCGTCGGGTTCGTGCTCGTATACGTAGGTGGCTGTTCATCCGGCTGGAGGCCGCTGTAGATACAAGAGTTCTCGATCCGCGAAATGTCCCAGAATCGTAGCATCTTGTCTGACCCAGCCGTAAGCATGTATGCGTGCCGAACGTCGCGAGAGTCCTCCGACGTTCCCGTGCCTACAACCATCGCCCGTACTCCACGATCTCCGTTGCCCATGTCGCTAATCTCGAGGTTGGTCGCGAACCGACCAAGCATCCCTTCAGGCTTATCTTCATCGACTTCCCACGCGGTGTATCCCTTCTGGCTATCCTTATTATGGCCGGTTCGGTATATCTCTCTGCAAGTTGTCTTTTCCAAGTCCCATACCGTGACTTCTCCTTGCCCAGTTCCTCCAGCGACACAGATCCATTTACCTCTCCCCTTATTGGGGTGCACGCAGATCCGATAGATGGATCCCTTTCCGGGTACGCCCCAGCCTTTCAGCCTCATCTTGAACCGAAGATCCCAAAGATCGACAACACCATGTGAAGTCCCCACGCATAGCCAGTTTCTCTTCTTATCAATGCAGAAACATGTCGGCGTTCCATGATGAACGGGATTTTCCAATATGTAGAGCACTGTCATAGTGCGCAGGTCCATGGCGAGAATTCTCGACAGGTTTGTGGCAATAACGAGGATAGAACTCTGTTCTTGCTTGAAATGCTCGCACCACACTGCATATTCGCCTTCTGGTAGCTGATATTCCCGCAAGACCCGCAGCTTTGTATACCTAATTACACCACTAGTAGGAACCGTATCAACCTTGACTACGTGAACGCTGCCATCAGACGCACAGCTGACGAAGCAGTGCGAGTTCTCAACAAAGCAGAGAGCAAGAACGCGGGCTCCTTCAGCATGTCTGTAAGTTTGCCGCGATCGGTTCGTAATGTTGCGCTCAAGCCGCTGTGTATCCCATACCTTGACCGTCCCGTCATTGCCGCCTGTAATGAAGAAAATGTGATCCGGAGAAGGGATGACCCGATTAATGGGCCCGTGGTGTTCTGCAAACGTCGCCACGAGATGCCCATCCGGCTTCCAGGGAGGGTCTGCGCCAGGCACATTGACCGACCTGCTCTTATCTCCCGAGATAGGCTGGACCATGGGCCCAAACTCCAGCACGTCGCGAGGGAAGTTTTCGACATACATGTTGTCAAGCATGCGTCGAATATGAGGATCTGTCCCTTCATAGCTATGCCGCACGTGCCTCTGGCGAGCATTTCCTTCGGCTTCTGTGTTTGGCCCAGAAACAATTTGCATTGGCAATGCCTGGGCAAACGGTCCTTCTACCTCTCCAAAAGCATTGGCATCGCTGGTTCCAGTCTCCGGAATAGACTTGTGGCCGTCTTTGCGATCCAAAAGACTAAGAGCACTTGATTGATGCCGGATGCCTCTGCGAGAAGAATAAGACGCATCTTTAACGGAAACAGAGTCGTCTCCAGGGCCCAGGGGAGATGTCATGGCCCTCCTAGAGTCCGTCGAACTGGCCCTGCCACTCCCAGTGGGAGATAATAACCTTCCTGTGCTCCTGGAAGGCAAAGGTCCGGTGCTGTGAACTCTTTTATGAGAATGAAGGGCGGTGCGCTTTTTCTTACCGAGGGTATCATCGATTGTCATAGAGGCATCTAATAACGCATCTGCAATCGTATACGGGCCTGTTACGGGAGGCGTAGGCTCCAAATCCGGTAAAACAGCAGTAGGGTCCTTCAGGGCCGTGTCGTCAAAGAACACCGTCTGTGGCGTCACACCCAGCTCCTTTAGCTGAACAAATCCTGTCGGCATATTCTCATCCTCTGTGGAAGAGACGACGAAGGCGTCGCGGGCCTTATTCTTGCTGAGTCGCCAGATATACTCGCCCAATGCCAGTAACTTTATCTCATCTTCGGGCTTTAGACCAAAATTCCTCAGCTTCTCAAGCCACTGTTCATCCTCGTCATTGCGGCTGATCTTACTCAGAGAAGAAGAGATCAGTTCCTTGGACGATCGAGCCGCCGAGGCAATCGGTACTTGGCTCGGTGACTGCCGCTTCCCCACAAGAGATTTCCAAAAGACTCCCTTGTCAGTTTTGGAAGCCCAAGTCAGCGCTTGGTCAAAAACCGCCCTAGGGAGGGGCTTCTTCAAAGAGTCGAGCAGGTTTAGCTCAGAAAAGTCTGAAAGAGAGTATATTTTGAGGTATGGCCTAACCAGTGGCAGTAATATGCACTGGATATCGGCTTTGGATAAGAACTTGGCAGTCATGGATAGGAATTCAGCTGCAGATTCTCTGATCCATGTGTTCGGGTGCATGGTAAGCCGTGCTACCAAATCAGCCAGCTCCCAGATCTTTGGTCTAGACAGCAGTCCCAGGCCTGCAATTTGAGCCAGCGAATGCAAAGCAGAACGCACCACATTCTCTTCTGAGTCTGCCAAAGTCTGGACCATGAGAGGCAGCATAAATTCTTCTAAGCTTGTGCTGCCTATGAAGGTTGCAATGCCCACGACTGTATCCAGGAAGGCGCTCTTCAACATCCAGTCTCCATCATTAAGATAGGTGATCAAGTGCGAAAGCAGAATATCATTTGAATTGTCCTGGAAATGCATGCAGAGATCTGGTACTGACGTCAAGAACGCTCGCCGAACATTGGCATCCGGATCCTCAACGAGCTGTTTTGCATGGCTCTCCAAGATTTCAGACAGCTGTCGGCTCGCGTTGTCGTACATACTTTCGAAATTCGCAGTGGCACCATTGGTCCCGGGTTCAACCTCTGGATCGGTAATTGGTATCGATCCATCAGTTTTAAGGCTAGATGCCATCTCCAGAAAACGCTGCGCAGTAGAGGCAAGACTGCCTATGCAGGACGCATACGTCAATCGCACCAAGGAATTAGGGGTCCACGATTTTGTCCCAAGGGCAATCTCCATCCTGGGCAAGACGTATTCCACCAAAACATGAGAGTTGATTGGTGTGGTCGTCCGTACCAGCTGCAACAGCTGAGTGACACTTCGTATGACTGTCACCAGCACCATATCCGTCTCTTCCTTACGCAGCAGCGTCATTAGATATGGTAGCACCCTGTCTAGCTTAGCCTCGTCGGTAAGTCTTTCAGCAAACGCTAATAGCAAATCGCAGGCCCTAATTCTAGATGCAGCCCGGGCCGTTGTCCTCATAGCGGAGGCAACCAGTGTTAAAAAAAGCAGCGTCCCATCGTCCTCTGGAGGTTCGAGATCCGCAGAAACGGAGTGCTCGTGAGTCGGGATACTTAGTCTGACTGGAAAATGGTCAAGCCCCAGCCTCGACTTGGGAATTATCGGCTCCGCAGTCTGCTTTTCGTTGTGGTATCCTAAAAAGTACGAAATTTTGTCAAAGTCGTTGAAAATCCTATCAATGCGGTTGTCCGACTCGCCCAGATTTCTCTGAGCTCCAGATATAGGGCTGTTCCCAGAAGAAGGATCCGTAATAAGCCCCATATATTGGTGTAAGAAGTTATAGAAATAGCTAGGAAAGACCTTATCTTTCCAAAAGTCAAGATACTGCTCCGCTGAATAACGCCTTTCCGGGTCAAGTTGAATCATATGAGCAATCATGTCACGCACATCTTTGTCCGATATGACGCTCAAATGAGTAATGACCGGGTCATACTCACCCCGACGATACTTGTACAGCTGTGCGAGACTGAATATTTCAGATTCAAGGAATAGCTGCGCAATGACACATCCCGCGCTGAAGATGTCCATGGCCCAAGTCATCTTGGGGTTCTGCGGCGGAGCTTCATTGGACGAATAAAACCGCTCGGGAGCAATATAACACGTCCGCCGCCCAGAGGAGTCGAAAAAGTAGGAAAAATCACCAGGGTTGTCGTCGGGGAGCATGATGGGCTTGTAGGCAGATGAGAAGTCCGTCAGATACAGCCAGTTCCAAGATGTGACCAGCACGTTCTGGGCCTTGATGTCGCCGTGATAGACATCCCGTGCATGGCAGTCCCGCAGTGCGCAGAGAAGCTGAAAGGCCAACCACTTCTTTTCGATGTCTTCCAGAAAAGGTCGTGTACTCATACGATCATAGAGAGAGTTGTACATGAACTGCCGCACCAGATATCCGTTCGTCTCGGTCTCGATGATGCGCTGGAAGCCCAAGGCATTGGGAACATCCGCCAACGCCTTTCGTTGCTCTAATCAGAGGTGCACATGGTCAGCATACATGTCTACCGTTTTCCCGCCACGCATGGTCCCCTCCCAAAGCGCATTACAGATGCAATAAAGCTCTCACCTATAATCTTCTTCTTGTATTTCTCCAGCTTCACTTCCGTATACGGCTTCACGAGGACCTTGACCAGCACAACGCCATGGTCATGCCTGCCCCGGATGCTCTTCATGAACCGGGCATTTCCAATGCTCTTCTCGTACTGGATGTCCTGAAGCTGAGCAATGTCTATGCCCGCCGAGCCGGCCGACGGCGTTGCGAGGGAGAAGCCCTGACCCATGGCGAATCGAGCAAATCGGGGCGTACAAATCTCGTCCTCCGGGTAGCTAGAGAGCGTTTGCGGGCTGAGATGCAAGACCAGACGAGACGAAACAGGACGACCGAGAGAGGGGGTGGGATGCGACGTCTTATCGTTCGGCCAGGGAGGAGGCAGCCGTCATCTTGGATAGACGGTAGAGCCAAGTCAACAGAGCAACGGTTTGACACGGAACGCAAGATATCGTTGTCGGGGTCGTGTAACGAAGAACGAGAGAGTTGGTAGCTGTGCTGAGAGTCGAAGTGCGGGAGGGACGTCACCTGCTAGGCCTAGCATGCGCCGCGTCTAGATCGGAGCTTGCCAGGTACCTACGCCGCCAATAGTGGGCTTGGCCGCATAAGCATTCGCTAGCAACCACTAAAATCAGCTGCCCACCAAGGCTAAAAGCAGCTCGGCTGCCTGCTAAGACACTCGACCTTCAGCCTTGCCCATACAAAGAATGTTGTGATGCAGGCCATCCTGCTACAGCCATAAGCCAGGAGTCTGAAAACGCAGAGAAACTACTATAGGTTAAAAAAAAAAAAAAAAAAAAAGAGAGACACATTTTTTTTTAATTTGTTGGTTTAATTCAATGCTTGTAAATCATTCTCTGGATTTATTTGCTGGGTTTGTTGAGAAACACATGAGTTTCGGCGAGCACCAGCCGAGCGGTTACAGATACGTAGTATTACCTTAGTACTTGCTACTCTAATATTGAACTTCACCGGAGATGGCCATGCCACGAGATGACAAGAAAAACAAGGGATAATGAGAAAGAAAAAAAGGATTTCTTTGGTTTCACAATTTTCCATTAAATATACTATGTATTTCGATTGACCACAATGGGAATTAATGTCATGTACCCAGAAAAAGAGCCCATATCGTATTTGTGTAAAGTTGGTAAAAGTATAATAAAGTAGTTATAGATGGTACCAAACGTTGACCATGCCCCGATATCCATATCCAGAGACTCATATACACGAGGAAAAAGAAAAAACTTAGGAAAGAAAGCCCATGTTGCTCTCTGCCTCTCTCTCTCTCTCTCTCTCTCTCTCTGCGTCGCCTTCCTCAGCCTCGAAAATATCGGCAAAGATGCAACTCCGTCAATAAGGAATCCCAGCATAATCTGGTCCAGATATTTTGCCCTAAAATGAAACCCAAGTGATATAGTGTGCAGAAAGAAAGATATAAAAAAGGGTGGGATATTCCAAATGAAAGTATGATGGACAAGTAAATGAAGAAAAAGAGTAAATGTAGTAAAGTAAAAAGTAGAGTAAACAAAAACGCCCCTTTTCGCGGCTAATGCGGTATTTCCTTTGTAAACTTTGGCTTCAATAGCCCCCATTTGTGCAAAATGCTAAGATGTATACCTCCCCACCCATTATTCCTGAACTCCTATGCATACCAGGATCGTTAAAAAACAAAAAAAGTTGGTTTTTCATTCCGTCATTGACAAGGAAATGTTTCAGCATTTCCTGATCCCCACGCCCGAGCCACGTCGGGTATGCAAAACAAACAAAAAATTAAGGCTTTCTGACTTTTTTTTTCTTTCAGTTTACTATGGCACGCATGCGCATCTGCCGTGTTGAGCGATACCGCATCTTAGCGAGCATGGCTTCCGTATCAAAGTCGCTCTGGCTGGCATTTGGGTCTGCCTCGATCCGGTCGACCATGTGCATCATAGGGGCCCTTGGTGCGGCAGGATCTGCCACTTCGAGCTTCTGCGAATGGGCTTCGCTGACTTCTTTGTGATGCGGTACCAATGTCCTGCTAACAGTAATGGACTTGATTGTACGGGGCTTAGACTCAGCGCTCTCCTTCATTAGATCTGGTTCTTCGCGCTCAATACGCTCCATTTCCTTCTTGGCCATCTCGAGCACCTCGCCGATACGTGTCTGGATCTTTTGAACTTCTTCGTTGCACTTGGCGTCTCTTAAAAACTGATGGGCACCGTGCTCACACGTGCTCTGCACAAACTCGAGGGCTTTGTCCAGCTCGTCATATACGTCCGGGGCCTGGTTTGGCAGACCCAGGTGGCCACTGCGCATGGCAGCAGGTCCATACCGCCGACTGCTGATGTATCGTAGTGATGGGAGCGCCTCCGCACCCCTGTCATCACCGCCAGTGTTCTCATCATCAGGAACTTCCATCTCGGCTAATTTCTTAATCTGCGCCACTTTGGCTGCCATCTTGGCCTTGCGCATCAGATTCCTACTTGACGATATAAATCGAACCAGGTCATCGAAGAAACCCTGAACGTAGCTGTCGTAGTAAACGATGATCATATTCCTAGTGCGATATGTCTGCCGAGGGCCGTCTGCTGAGGCAATAGACGCCGTTTTGCTCTTCTTAGGCAATCTAGCGCCGGGGATGGCATTGGTGTCTGTCGTAGACTTGGGGAATAGGGGGCGCTTCTCGGCAGCAGGGCTCGGCGGTGACGACCGACGTTCTCTGGGGCCGTGAAAGGGTGCTTTGACAATGTCGGGCTGTTGCTGGGTGGGAGCATCATCAGAAAAGAAGATGTGCATCGCGCCATCATCCTTGGGTTTGAGGGATTCCGTTGAGCCTTTATTCCTGAGTGACCTGGTCTCGGGCTCTTTGTGGTTGTTTGCCTCGGCCAAGGCGGCCAGCTCCAGCTGGCGCTTGTCGACCTGGCTACTCAGCTCATCGAGCTTCGTCTGCCAGTCGGGTATGTTGTTTATCAGGTTCTTTAGAGCGTCGATAGCCATATCGCGGAAGTTGTTTTCCCGCGACGAGACTCTTGACGGAGCAATTGTGGCGGTGTTAGGTGTCGTCACCTAACAATCGAATCAAAGATGTGTTTTTCGATAATTTCGTCGAGGTCGTATCAGTTGTCTCCTGAAGCGTCGTTGGACGCTGCCCTCGTGGACTGGAAGAAGGGACTCCAGACAAAGAGTGGAGAGAGAGTGCGAAGAGCGAGAGTAAAGAAAAAGGGTGGACAAAGAGGGTAGCTTTGGCCTTACGTTAGCTCGGTGGAGCTCGCCGTCGCAGCAGCCAGTCCGCCGATGAACCTTTTTTTTTCTGTCCAGTAACCAGCTTTTGTTCTCGGTAAAGAGGCTTGGGGGAAAAAAACAGCGCGAGCCAGGCGTCCGATTTCCAACTAGCGTCGAGGGAAAGGACGGGGAAGAACGTTCGTTTGAGGCTGTGGAGAACTGAGGGCGAAGTAAGTGGCGTGGTGTATCTGCGCGAGTGAGGTATAGCGGTTCTGATCTCTTGTCTGTCGTCCGTATGTCAATATGGCGGTGCCAGCGATATGCTTTTGGTGGCTTGGAAGGTTTGCCGAGAGGGGAGATGCTAAACTGCGGTTGGGCGATGATTGAAGTTCGGTCGAACGACTAGCACTGAGGCGGCGACGGGAGATGTTCTTCTAATGGAGCTGCGGATTCAACGACAGGAAGAGAATCGGGAGAGTTCAAAAAGCGAGCACGCAAACAGAGAAGTAGGAGGACCGAGGCGCGCAGGAAGGGTGACCTGTAATATTAATAACGACCATCCGTCAATTGATGAGACGGGGACCCTGTAGAGAGGGAATAGAGCTGTACTGGATGCTACAGGCACCTACACCTCCCGCAGGAGCAAGGTTGTTGGCCTGAGGAGGGTGCTGCGCGGTTGGGCGGGCGTGGGCACAGTACTGGGGGGGCTCCACCTCGGAAGCAAGGACATGGGGTACAAGTACGACCTCCACCTGGACGTCGCGCGCTGCCTGTATACCCTGTATGTACCTACCACAGGTACTGTGCCAGTATTCGCAGCACCAGGGGGGCAGGTACGGGGTACTTGCAAAGCGAGGTACCAGGTCACTCGCAAGGCCCAGAAGGAGCGCAGGGCGGCCGGTTCCCACAGTATGGAGCACACAGTGCCTGCACCCTGAGTCGTCCCCCGTCGCTCACGAATTGCCGTAACGGTCACACGCTGAATCGGGGACAGCCCCCGTACTTTGAGGGACCGAGGTGAGCTGGAACACACTGTGGGCAGGACTGCATTTCACAGCAAGCTGCATACGAGCGCGCTTGTACGGAGTAAATCCTGCAGACGGGCTAAATACCTGCAGCGTGTACTCTGTACCTGCCGGGTGCGCAAATACGCGGGACGCGGTGCGAGCTGTCGCAGAGAATTGGGGATAATAGCAAGCATCTGCAGATTACACGTCCATACAAGATACAAGTGAACATGCCCATGCAGCGCTGGGGCCTTAACAGCACAAGCCGCATCTACCGCCGTTGGCCAATAGCGAACCTCGCAAACGCGCTGCCCAATTGGGCATTTCCACACGAATATCATACAGTACCGCAGTACTTCTGCCATCCCATCCCATGCCTTGCCATGCCTCGTCTGCTTTACAACACATGGCTCGGCTCTCGTCAAGCAAGGCTGCCTGCTTATTAGATAAGGTAGTACTGTATGCAGAGCTTCAGACCTGCACTCATAGTGCTCTTTGCAGCGCAATACAGGCAGTGCATACTTGACATTCGTACACACTTCGAGTTACAGCGAATCCCGCAGGATGCATCAGGCAGTAGATTCGAGCTGGTTTCTTATAGTAGGTATTACGTCTTTGTTGTATGTGCTTTTGTGTTGTTGGTTTGGCAGTCTTTTATGTACCTCGTGCTTCTCAGAGGTCGACTAAGAGGATGTGTGAGCGTCAAGGTCGTAGTTCTAAGTGGAGGGGAAATATAGGTAGCCCCTCTCGAATCCCCAGCCATTCCCGTTCCAAAACAGAGGTACATGTGTATTTATGAAAAAAAAAAAAAAATTATATAACGAAAAAAGAAAGGAAGAAAGAAAGAGCGGGAAAGAGCAGTGAAAAGGACATGGGATTAATGCTCCAGCACTGTACTGCATAACATGCATGGCTCTGCACGCTATCGCCGCCGCAACGCGGAGAGAAGAGAAGCAAGCCCAGGGCCGGCTCACCCTTGTTTCCATTCATTGCATTATATAATGTAGCTGGTAGAAGAGCAGAAGGCTACTAATACTGCTGGCAGGCACGATCATCTCAGTCCAAGTTGGACAAAAAGCAAAAAGTCCTACGGCAAAATGGATCTACACGCTTCTGCGCGCCGCGCCGAGTCGGCTTTTGCCACGCCGTTGGTTTCTTAGCATCAAAAATGGCAAATCTAGGCGGGGGGTTAAAATGAAATGCCGTTTGCTAGACCGATACCGTGTCAAAACGACAGACAAGCAAGAGGTTCCCCGCGTATGCAGTCGGTATTCTTGACACAGCCTGTAGAAAATAGGCTGAACTATGTATGTATGAGGCGAGGAGGCTGCAGGTAGGAATGCAAAGCTTGCTGTGCTGCGATCGAACCCATTCGCATTTGTGAATACGCACTCTCAGCAGCTCATTGCTCCATTATTCACGGTCCGGTCGTTCGCAGATGCGTATAGATACCGGAGCTAAAGCCATTAGGGCGAGCTAGGCGCGAGGCACGGCAAACTCAAGCTTTCGGCATCTTAGATCTTTGCGCAACGCGGCTTCGCGCCGTCACCTAGCACGTAGGCCTAGTACAGAGTAGCATCAAGACTATGCTGTGACGCCTGTCCCACTCGCAACGGCTGCTACCTGCTGTGACGTGAAATGTGGCTCGCCGAGCGGGCCTGTCCGCGCCATCCAGAAGCTCAAGTGGAAGCAAAATGCAGTGCCCAGCAGCGCAAGGAGTTATACTTGGTACAGGATTGTGTCATGGGAGCGGCCGACAGATTGCAGTCAGTGATGGGTTCATCCGTTCATCCTCCGGTTGGGCGCCAGGTTGAGCTCGCCGTCGCTACGGGCCTTGGCAGCATAGCTCCCTGCCAAAACGACCTAACAAGATTGATACCTTACCTACTGTACAAGTACTGTATGTATCCTATCGTCTCACGTCTCCTGGACCCATGATCCACAGAGCGGATCGCGCAAGCACCACACGTATGTACCTGTGCCTTTGCCACACCAGGAGATCTCAGCACAGGCGAGAAAAAATATGAAAGACGAGCAATAGCCGCGAACAAGGAGGTATCGCCTGTAAGCCCAGCTATCACCGTAAGCGAAGCTCCCGAACCGCTCTACCGCACGGCAGCGCCGCACGCGAGGCTGGGCATATTCATGCTGCCTTTCATTTTCTTTCTTTCTCTCTTTTTCTTCTTTCACAGCCGCCGTTTGGTAAGACAAGGCAACAAATAATAGGACTAGCTTTTTTTTTTTTTTTTTTTTTTTTTTTCAATGAGTGAAATACCGACTTCAGGATCGGAATGGAACGAGTCCGTCCGATGCAACTGTTGGCTCGATCTCAACGGGTCTCGCAGTCCACTCTGCTGTTATTGAACCGAGAGCACCACGCCGAAGCTACCGCAGCCGCCATAGCGTCACACACAGCTCAGCGGCGATCCAATGTCTACCCCGGGTTTTCCTGGTATGCGCGTTTTCTGTGGCTATTTCAGTGGTATGTAGTGGTAGTATCCTCTTTTCATGCAAGATGCGTGCCGCCATCCTCCGTGCAAGCTTGTGCAGTATGCGCTTCGTACGCCAAAACAGCCTTTGGATCAAGCACTGGAAAAGTTGTCGTGGCATCATCCATCGCCTATCCCACTCGGCAGCCTGTGCCTATCCCGCTGGGATACAGTAGCAACCGCGCGGGACTCCGAGTCCCACTTACATTTGCACTTTGGGCACTGTGCAATTTGGCCCTTTTGCGCTAATACCTGCTGCGTACAGCAGGATGCCCGTTCTTGAGTGGGAATGACCTGTTGATCCTGCGGCAGCATGTTGTTTCTAATGCTAATAAAAAAAATCTTCAGAGTCAAATCATCTGGCTGCATTCTCAAAGTAACACAGCATCCCATTTCACGAGTGGTGAAAGTCTCGGCGATCCGGTCGCAACGTATCGACCAATCGCTGTCCCCAACTGATCGGCGACCACTCGCCGGCAGTGAGACCCTCCAACAGTCCCGCGGGATCCTGTCTGTCTTGCATCGTACTTTGTACATGTATCTTGTCTTTTGAATGTATAATGTCTTGAATCGATTTTCATCCAGCCAATCAGGGTTCGCATCTCCATGCATGGCCGTTGACATTCGCTATTTGCTAGCTCGCTGCAATACAAGTATGTAGGATCCTGCGGCTTGGTTTCGTCGTGATCCGATGGGCTAATTTGGTGGCCCTTTTTCTCCTTTTACATACCACTGGGTGATCCGTTTTAAGATCGGGGCTAATAAACTGGGGTGGAGGCTCTTAAGCTTCATCTCCATGATGAGAGCACTGTGGCGTCAATGCCATGCCGTGCCAGGCTCGCTAGACACACACACACACACACACACACACACACACACACAAGCGAATCGCGCCAGATTAGATGCCTACATATGTAGCAGCCTTTTTGATTTCTCACTCCGTAGATTTTCTGGTGCTCACGCACATGGTAGTGCTGGCACATGCATGGAAGGCTTAGTACAGGGTGCAAGGACCAAACAGGTATTCGCCGGAATCCAGGCTGGTTCTTGAGATCGAGCTGTGATTCGCAGCGATATCCGGATGAAACCCTGCTGGACGTGGCATTCATGAAGCATCGGCCAAGCATCGGCGTAGCGACAGACATATGTACTGTAGTATATGCACGGTCATCAAGAGAAGGGGACCTTTTCAACCCTTTGTCCCGGGGAGTTAGCGGAGTTTGCTCAAACGCTGTGGTGAGTTCTCGGGATGTCACTCTGGTGCCGTGGGAAAATAAAATAGGCAAGTCCGCGGCATACAAGAAGGGCCAAACAGCACAACACCAAGAAGAGGCAAAAAAGACGCCCTCGGCGTCGTGATGGATAGCCAGTATGCAGGCTGCTGACGGGTTGACTGCTTTCTTTGTCGCTAGTCCGGGCGTGTTGCAGAGCCGAAGAGCCAGGAACAGGAACAACAGCATGCCACAGCGTGGGCAGCATACGACACTTTTGACCGATTCGAGCAAAATGGTGTGAGCTGCCTTTTGTTGAGTCAGTATCATGCCCTCACTCCCTCTGTCTTTCTCTCTCTCTCTCTCTTTCTCTCACTCTCTCATATTCTCTCTCCATGCCCGTTGGTTCGAGACCCGCCCGGCAGCAGCACTCTAAGCAGTGCTGCATCCAACGACAGCGCAGAAAGACGGTCTGCGTCGATGCAGTTGGTGGATATGGAAATCATGCGCTGCATTCTTCGGGGCAATCATATCGGCCGCTGGGCCACCCTGCTGTCGCCAATCAGCTGAGCGCGGTGCAAATCGGCCGAGTCAGGCATGTCGTCGACGTCGTGCTGCATCGGCGACTCCAGCTGGCTGAGCGAGAGCAAAAGGGAAAACAAACCCCTGTCGCTGTCTCGGCCTCGTGAGTGCTCTGTCTTGTGTCAGCGGAACTTTACGTAATACAGGGTTATGCCAGACGGAAGGCGAAGCGAAGAGGTAGGTAGGTGCATGAACAATAAACTCCGTGTATGGGTATGCAGTACCTGTAGCCTGTTAGGTAGCTTCGTACCTACCGCCGCTTGCCTTGTCATTGCAGCATGGAGAACCGCAATTGTGGCATTCGTACGGAGTACACGGTACCCTATGACCCGTACATGGTACGTGCGCCCGTGCTAAACTTCTCCTAGCACCGCATCTAAAAGGGATCTGCAAGTTCGGGCGTAAAGTTGTACGTTTTCGACCGGAATCTCGTCCACCCACAGGCGAATAGAAAAATCTCCCATGGCTAAGTTTCGGGCCGCAGAGTAGCGCTCAGACGCCTGGCTAGGGGCACGGAAACTAGCTCGGTCAACGGAAAACACACAAGAGAGTCATAACATGATTACAGCACGAGTAGAACATGGAGTACGAATTAGCAAGTAGTGTACCATGTTGCAAAATACTACCGTTATGAGCCAGTCACAGATATACTACAACTACTGTAAGTAAGCATCTATGTGCGATATACCTACATGGGAAGTATAAAAGGCAGTACCGTATAAAATATGCGTATACCTGCTTCTTCTATAGATGCTTGCGTATATGTGCAGAGTAGGACTAGCAGTTGCCTGCATGCCTGCAGTAGAACAAACCTTCCTATCCGCTATTCTGTCCTCCAAAACTTGCCATTCGTCGAAATAACAATAACCCAAGCTTTGCTGCGTAACCTCGACATCGAAAATGGAGACGAGATCTCAGTTGGCCTTTTCAAAACGGGTAAGTTACTGCGAGGGTGTGTGTAGTTGATGGCAGGGCTCGAGGAGGAAAAAAAAAAGGCCAAGGATGGGAAGGGGGCTCTTGATTTGAGATGGCGTACTTTTTGCCTTGGAGATGGGCTTGGATAATGCCAACCCATACCTGCACACCCAATACTGTACCTGCCAATGCTACATCAATCCAACACCCATGCCTTGCCTTGTCGTGCCGTTTGTGTGCATTTTATTTCCGCTTCAGAGATGAAACGTGCGGGGTCCAATTCTAGAATCTTTGGCCAATTATGCATTAATATCGCGGGTTGCTGAAATTGAAATGACGTCCAAGATGGCGTTTGCTTTCTTGTGGGGGAGAGAGTGGCCTAACTGTACTCCGTAGGTAGCAGGGTAGATATCGTTATGGTACTAAAAGACTGGCCAAGGAGAGAACGAGGATGGCTTCAAGTGCCATTGCCAAGCGACTACGACGAATGGGGCCGATGGCCAATAGGAAAAGGGGGATCTTCTGCAAGGCCCGAGTTGATCAAAGCCTGCCGATGCCCCATATACGAACAACGGCGAGCCGAGAAGCATCTCCTTTTTTTTTTCCTTTTTTTTTTGAGAGAGAGAGAGAAAGAGAGTTTCTGCTTCCCCATTCTTTATGATTTCTTCCTTTCGTCCACTGATGCAATAGCCGAAACGGCGATCGCATTGGATGATGGCATTCTGGACATGTTGTGGAAACAGACAAGGCTAAACGAAATGCCGAGGCGGCAGCATGTACAAACGACCCATCGAGTTCTCCATATGCCTTCATCCCACATACCCACCGATCTCTCTCCATCAGCATCAGCCACCGCGTTTGAGGCGAGTCTAATGCAGCAGGGCGACGGACGGGAGATGCTGCCGAGCCGGCCTCGCTCAACTCTCTGTCGCTAAACCACTGCTCACGCACCACTGTCATCTTTTTTTGGTGATATCAAATGCTATGCTATACTGCTTGCATCCTGTAATATCACCATGTAACATCGAAACGAGATTTTGGAGGGAGGGGGCCAAAACAGGCAGCTTACCTTTTTTTTTCTTTTTGTCCTTTTTTTTTTTCTTACAAGAAAAAGTTAAGTCTAGACAAGGCAGCTGTATTACTTGCCATCTAGAGAGCATGGCCCGGCATCGCACACTCTCTGTGCGCCCAACCACCAACTACACGTGGCCGTGATTACTTGCCAAGGGCGCAAACTCGGACTCGGCGACCCAGACGGTGCAACTCCCAGCCAACATCTTGTATACGCAGCAATGCACGCATGAAGTGTAATTCTTCTCTGCTCTTGTACCCATTTCTTTTTTTAACGCCGACTCTCAATCAGATCCGCACTCGCAATCGCCGGTGTCCCGCTGTCCCTAGTTGAAGGGGCCGCCTAGGAAGTACATGAAAAAAGAAAAAAGAAAAAAGAAAGAAAGAAAGAAAGAAAGTAACAAGAGAGAAAGAGGGCTAATTACTACTGTGCCATACAACGGAGGGTTGTGGGACTCTCAGCTGCATCTGAAGTTTAAAGGACAACAACAACAAAAATAAAAAAATAAAAAATAAAACACATGTAACTCCGTGCTGTTACTGCTACGTTGTTGGGCCACCCCCCGGTAGTTGTAATAATGGAAAATCAACCACAAGAAAAGAAATTGTAAACTACAAGACAGGGTGACATAGCGCCGGATATCGCTTCAAGGAAAATAAGAAGGAAATAAATAAAAAATAAAAAAGGTCCCCCAGGCGACGATCACGCCTGTGAAATGAACATGGAGATGCCCTGCACTCTCCCAGCCCTGCCCTGCCCTGCCCTGCAAAGTAAAGCACATATCAAAGGCATAGTAGGGCGAGTGGCAGAAGAGAAGAGACAAGATCCCGGTGGATTGTCGTGCATGCAGCCCGGCACACGTCAAAAGTAGTAAGAGATACGCTCCCAGGGCTGTGCCGGGGAGGGGGAGAGAAGTTGAAGCTTCCATTTGTTTTGCCACCCTGTTCAGAGAAATCGAGTGCTACGTCGTACCGCGCCATGTATGTACAGTGAGCAAAAAGCTGCCAAGCGTAGGTGGGCAGCGCCGCGACGGCAGAAGGACAGATGCTTTGGGCGCCAAACACCTGAATGAAAACGAAATGCCACACCACACCTTTTGATCTTCTTCTGCCTCATGGGCCTTGTTTCGTCCTCTCTCGTCCCCTTTCAGGCGAACGAGCTGTGCCTGCCTGTGTAACATGTCATCTGCGTTGGACACACGCGCATGTGCTTTGCTGTGATGCGATGCGATGCGCCGCCAAGTTTCAGATCACACAGGCGAGCACACACACACACACATGCCGCGGCTATAAGGCGTTTAGCCATTCCTGCTTTCGATGCGATACGATGTGATTTGCTTTGCTTTGCTTTTCCTGCTCTGTATTCTTCCCTCGCCAAAGCCTGCGGCTACGGAGGATTTGATCACGGAGGTGGGCATCGCGGGCGATCATGGCGGATGCTAGTGCGGGTGGCTTGGTGGGCTAGGGGGTCTCGGGCGCCTTCAGAAACGAAGCCATTCCACTCTTATTGGAGCAGCGAGCACCACGATGCTTCTCAAAAATCTTCGTTCTTTGCTGCTACGCACAAAAACTAACAATTGCCCGTTGAACAGAAGTCAAGCACGGCACTAACAAAATGGCCCGTCCCATATTCTCCGACGCCATTTCCGCAACAAACTAAACTCTATTGCTGGCATCAACTGTGCTTTTTTCGCTTCCAATCACATCCGGCATCACCAACAAGGCAGCAATCAGTGATTCTTGCGCCTTACATGCATCCAGCGCACATGCCCCGGAACAGCGCATACCTGCGTGCGTTTGGGCTGGATTATGCCCTACACACCACCCCCATCGTCTCATCATCATCACCACCACCACCATCATCGTCATCATCATAAATCATCGCCATCAACCTCATTCTTGTATGGACGGGCACACAAAAAATCACATAAAAAAAAAAGGAACATGACATGTCCACTGTTTCTTACGCAGGATTCCTGCCACGTGCCCAAGCACAAGATATTGTGCCCGAAACAGGCAACGATCCTTTGGAAAATCCGGCTACTTTGAAGGCAGGTATAGGTATATATATAAGTACTTGTATAAGGTACGACTCACCCACTGCATGCATGAATACAAGTAGGTACCTACTAAGTAGTACTCCTACTCCTACGCTAGAATGACTGCGGCTGAGTTCAAACATGAACATTTTGTCGTAGCAGCACTACTGCCTGGATAGGACTGTATACTATTGTAGAAGCATCAGCAGAAAAGAAAAAGGAAGCGGTGCGTACTGAGAAAGGGTTTGACTGCAACACGCTCTCTCTCTCTCTCTCTCTCTCTCTCCAAAGAGTCAAGGTACTACTACTGTATACCTATGGAGCAGGGTGGGTAGCAGCAATACCACCTTAGATTGATCGAGCCAGGATTCGTCCCGCAGGCCATTTCCGACGGCAGCGTCTGTTGGCGGCCTTTATTGCAACACGCCTTATATTAATTAGCTTGATTGGTACTGTAGGTACTGCTGCACAGTATTACGCCTTTGTACCTCGTACTCGCTACCTCTTCTTCCTCTGTGTGTTTTTCCTCTCCTTGGAGGCTTTTTTTCATCTTCTCCTTCTCACCATGCGAGGGTTTATTCTTCATGTCTTTTCTTTTCCTCTCCTGCTACTCACACACACGCACATCCCGCCACTGCCGTTTCCCCGTTCTAATCTCAGTACTGTAGCAGCGGATTGATTCCGCGTTTATGCATGCACACGCGGGAATGGGATCCCGAATGATTAATTTGTCGCTCCTTTATTGGATCTTCATGCGCCCACCTATCGGACTGCAGTAGCTTCTATGGCCACTCTCGTAGCTACACTATTCAGAAGCTGCGCCAATGCAGCCTCTTCACGACTCGTGCGCGCATTCGCTTCTGCAAGTCAAGTATATCTCACCTGTGTACATACCCTATGGCCAGGCAAGCCATTTTTGTTTTTTTTTTCCTTCCGAATCTTATTACTATGTAGAACTTCTGGGCTGCGACCCACCAATTATAACGCAAGGTCCGAAAAAGGAAATATTCTAACACAGGTATAAATTACTTTTCTTCCACATTTGATCGGTAATACATTACACACCAACACTATCGCTCGCTACAGGCCGTGTTTCACTTCAGCCTCGTCCTTTTTATACGCCTTCGTCTTCTTCTCCTTTATTTGTATTGTGTTTCTTCTTTGCTGATGTTTTTGTTTTCGTAGCAAGTGTTGTCCGAAACGTTTGTCCTGCAGCAAGCGAAGCTACCAATATAGCTATCTCTCTACGGACTGAATACCTAGTATCTCCTCTTGGCTGACTCAAAGGTATTATTGCTATATATAGAGCCCAAATGTATAGGTATTTATATGATTATATTAATTTCCCAGCGTGGAAATCGCATCGCCTGACAAATTTCAATAAGCCCATATCCGCAACACTAATCTCTCTTATATCTGGTGATCGAATCTCGTCCATTCGATAGACGCAACATCGAAATGGCAAATAGTCTTGCCATCTCTGTCATCTTTGTATACTCCTGCATATCTATGTGCCTACGTAATACCTATATCAGACCATCACTGTGACAACACCTCTCGATGTCTGTAACGTGTACTTCACTTGATACTACTACTACGTATAACATCCAATGGAAATGATGCTCTGCGAATAATTACATCTGCAGGGCGCACCTATAATCTATCCATTCAGGCTGCTCGTAGTTCTATACACTCAGTGTACGACCAAACCCATGTAATTACATTCTCCACTCGCGCTTCTGTGATAGAAGCAAAAAGAGGCTCCTCACTTGACTTCCCGTCGATACTTCGCATCCATGTATGGAAACACCCTGTCCTCGCATTTTCCCCCTTTCAGTTCCCCCCCCCCCCCAGGGATGCTATTTCGGAACATTTGCCTGACGTCCTTTCGTCCAAAAGACAAGAATCGGAATCCCAAGTAGGTATCATACACCACCATCTGCCACGTTTTTTCTTTTCTTTTCACGGTGTCTCATTCCAGAACACACCACACCACATACATGCATCTAAAACTTGTAAGGCATGTATCACTCGGGCTCCTCCATCCCTGGACATGAATACATATGTACATGAGCCCTCCCTTGCTTCAGTAGCACTGTCTTGCGCGCATACCTCACACAACAGGTACGGGAGCACGAATACACCACACCGTTACATCACACTTGATCCAAAATCCACATCGCCGGCCTGCTATTCGTCCGCTCGTAAAGCTCGTGAATCATCCAGAGGCAACATCTAAAACAATACCAAAAAAGGAAAAAGGGACACAAAAAAGGTATCATCCAGTCGACTTCAACCAACAACCAGATATTTCATTTTGACGTCAAATTAAATTCGATTGGATTAAAACATCCCGAAAAAAAGCACTTCGTCAGTATCAAAGCGCCATTCTCTATAGAAACGTCATTCTTCCGCGGTCCTTTTTCTCCCTCCTCCTCCTCTCCTCGGGTAGCAGGGCATACGCATACTACCAAGACCTGCAATCCCCATAGGCTTGATGTACGAGGCATCTCATCTGCAAAGCAACGCAATGATTTCACTGCCCGCCTTTTGTCCACCTATCATCATCACATTCACATATGCTTGCTTATTTTCTCGTTGGACCAAATACTCCGTCCCCTCTTCTTTCTCGCACGCTCTCACACTCACGCGCATGCCCATGCATGTATCAGGCTTTAGACATAAGACCAGCAGCAGTAACAGTCATGATGCCCGTAATAAATTGCATCGCTGAAAATACCACCCAACAGCTGTAAAGTAAACACCGCAAAAGACCCGAGTAAAGGTATGTGTATCCCTGTCCAGCCCGCCAAGTCCTATATCGCAGATGAAGTACATAGTAGAAGGTACTTGCCTTCGTACCCGCCCACCACAGCCCCGTCAGGCAAAAACAAAAAGATACAAGTGGAAAGAGAAAAAGAAGAAAAAAAACCAGCTGTTCGATCTGATGTGGAGTCCTCCCGGATCCTAGCCCAGAGAGGCCCGGCGTAACAGGCCTGCCATGTGGTCTGGAGCCTTGCCCTGCCTAATAGTCGCCGACCTCAGATATGGCTGGAATGGGATGTTTGCCCGAGCTGGGAACTGCGGCACGGCTATCTTGCCCATGTACCTATACGCAGTGACTTCGGGCTGCGATCATGCGACCAGTACCCATCAGAAACCCCCTCTCCCTGTATCAGCGGGTATGCCGTAATACCAATCAATAAAGGATTGCGTCTCATCCAGTAGAGCACAATCCCTCCTTGGATGCTGACTCATTTGATGTTCCGGATCAATAACTATCCATTGCCGTCCGTACTGGGTAGACGTAAGATCCAAAAAGCGCCTCAAAACTCCGCTCCATAGCAGTTAATGTTCCACATGCGTTGGTAGTTGTAGCCNCAAAAAAAAAAAAGAAAGAAAGAAAGAAAGCAAGAAAGAAAAAGGGCTAAAGCTCCTAAAACGAGCAGCGTGCTTACTGTTCCGTAACCAAAATAGCGTACCCGAAAAAAAATGCATCTTCTCCAACACCGTGCTCTGTAAGAAGGAGGTAAAAATAGCAAGGCAAAGAGAAGAGGAGAGAAGCAGAAAAGACAGGGGGGGCAAGGGACTTGAGAGACGTCTCAATAAAGTTTCCGTACTTAAAACTATGCTCCCAACGCATTAGCTCAGAAACTGGCTTAGCACTTGTACCCTAGTCCGGGCAACTTCGGAGTCCTCGGCCATCTGCTGCATGATCTGTATCATCCGAGCTATCAACGTCATATATAATTAGCATACTAGACATTACCAGTCAAAAAGCTTTGAAGTATTCGTAAACAATGGAAGAGGGGGGCCGTAGCGTTCTAAATTTGAGATGAGAAGAGAGATGGGGGTTGCCACTTACTGATGTCGGCCTTGGCTCGAACAAACAACGGATCTTTTGCCAGTAGTTCCTTACCCACAGTCTCTTTGGCCGCTTCTTTTAGGACGTTGCCAATGCACAGCGCCTCGAGAAAAGCTCTGTGATTAAAGACCCACCACACGCGAGCCTCGCTTTCAAGCAGGTTGAATAGCAAGAAAAAGGCTCCGATAGCATCGTGGGCGGCCTCCAGTGTGCCCCTTGCGTTGACAGGAACGTCTGGGCTTTCTGATGCGTGGACCAACATGAGATTGTGGAAATAGTTGCTTGTAAGAAAAAGTGTCTGTCGTACAACTCGTTTGTTCGTGCCGGCCAACGTCGTCAGGCTTTCCGCGTCCCACGAGCGGAATACGTCCGGGAAAGAGCGGTAAACAGCTCGGAAATCGGAAATTAGTTTCGACTTGTGCCGCGCCGTCGCGCAAATGGGCACATCGAGAGACCGAGGCGAGCATATGGTCTCCTGCACTAGGTTTGCCAGCGTCCAGGAGCCTCGGATGTAGGCATTGTCAGTTGGGTCACTGCTAGCTATAGACGATCCGTGATCAAGCAGATCATCCACTGACACATCGGTGTGTGTGGCAGACGGCGGTAGAGACAAGAGCACAGTGAGGAAGGTGTCCTGTAATAAGACTGCCTGCCAGACCTTGCGTCTTTGCTGTTTCTCAAACGGACTAGCATCCGGAGTAACTAAAGTATATGGCGAATTAGTTCCAATAAGACAATCAGAAGGCCGAATATAGAGAAGTAAGAGTAGGGTCAGAAAGTAATGTCAAGTAACAGAGATCAGACATACCTATATTGGGATCACGATGCAAGCCCATGGCATAAGCTTGCCGTATTAGTATCCCAGCAAATGCCCAACCGTCCGAAGCATGGTTGTCGTTGATTAGGAAATAAGTCATCAGCACCATGGCTTGGATTGATCGGATTGACGCTGTGCTCAGATATGAAAACATCCGAAGAGCTTGGTTGCTCGCGGACGCGTAAAATTCGGCCGTCTGTTTCCGCTCCTGTGGCGTCGTTGACGTGACAAACTGAGCGCCCAAAGCCAGCATGACGAATATCTGGGCAATAAAGGCAGCATCAACTTGATGCTTCTCCGGTATGGACATCTGCCAAAAATGCTCATAGTCGGCATAGAATGTCTGGCGATGAATCATGGGATACACCGGGTCAACACATTCAAAATATCGGCCAAGTAAGATGTCAGCCTGGAGCTTCTCCGGAAGCACAGATATTACTTCCGGAAGGCCACCTTCACATGTCCAGTAGTTTGCAAATGGATGTTCCGAACCTACTCCAAACACATTGCTAGCAGTGGCGATAGAGTACGGAACGTTTGAGAGTAGGCCAGTGGAGAGGGCTACAGCGCCCCTGGACGGAGTATCATCGCTGCTGTTGACAGTTCTGTCCGCGATATTGGGGACTGGGAGTTTTCCAGAAGATCCCGATTTCTTTTTGGGAGGCTTGGTCATGCGGAGTCCATTGGCAGCCGACCTTGATGTCTCCCTATCCAAAAATTCATGTTAGATGCTATATCTGGATAACTTGGGAGGGTAAGCGAGCGAGATGATAGTAGAGACTCACTCGAGTAAGTTGGCAACATGTGCATATCTACACTCAGTCTGTCGTTTGATGCCTACACGAGTTGAGGTCAGCAACCACCTAACTATAGTAGCAATGTATGAAGAGGCTAGACTTGACTTACATGCAAGACAATGGGGTCGACCTCTGTCGCACTACCGGAAATACGATGTTAGCATATCTCTGTGTAACACACCCAAGCATTATTCTCTCAGGTGATTCCAAGTCGGTTGGTATGAAACAAGTGTAGAAGGAGATGGGACAAGTGATACGCGTGGGAGTAGATAGAGAGATGGCGATGTGTAAAGTGGCGTATATCCAGTAGTTGTGAAATATTCCATGGATAGGGTGAAGTGAGATAGATCATGTCATGAAACAGACAGAGAATATACCTGCTCGCGATTCGCAACGCTCCAGGCACACAAACACGCAACAACCCAGATTCCAGAAGACGGGCCGGATAGCTGACGTGGGTGCAGTATAAAAGAAAACGAGGGAAGGAGGTGGATGAAAGTGAGAGGTAAATACTCCATACAGACAGTCTCAAGGGAAGTGAATGAAACTGATTGGCTGTCTGTCTCAAGGCCAGAGTCGCACAAGTTCGCTCACTCACTCACCTTGGTCTTCCGCTCGACGCACTCGTGGCACGACAGCGTGGGCTTGTTCCGCTTCTGCTTCTTCTTAGGCGGCCCACTCTCATGACTCTCGGGCATCGTCGCGTCGGCATCGTGGGACACAATCGCCCGGTAGTCGAGCCCACCCAGGGCTCCGGTGCCTCCACCACCGCTCCCGATGCCCGGCAGGTGATGACTATGACTCCCGGCCACGGAGGCCGGCGACGCGATGGAGGCGTTGGACACGGAGCTGGGGGTCAAGGCATGGCCGCGTCCCACGGCTATGGAACGGGCCTGTTGGCCTTGTTGGAAGAGCGCCAGATCCATCCAGGCTGCGCGCGCACACACACACTTTATGCCAACTAACGCCGAAGCGTAATCGTACGAGAGAACCGCTTCCCAAATAACTAGTTTCCCTCGGTCAACCAGGTCTTTGTCCCCTTTGGGGATGACGCCTGTGACAGACCCGCGGTGCTTTTCTTTTTTTTTTTAAAAAAAAAATATTTCTTTTTTTTCCCTTTTTTCTTTTCTTTTTTTCTCTTGAGCCTCGCCCTGTCTTGGTCCTGTTCCGCCCCCCCAACACTTCAAGCTGTTGAAGCCCCTGTGGGTTGTCTCTCTTTCTGCTGGTCTTTTGCTGTGTCAGCGGGTGTGTGTTTAGCTCTCGCTCGCGCCGGTTCCCCGGGAATAAGACATGGGAAAATCGGAGCTTTGTTTTGGGATGGATTTTCTACCTATGGTTGATCCTTCTTGGGTTGTCGGATTTGAGCGCTGGAAATAACACGCTTTTCGAAGGGGGGGTTTGCCGGATAGTCAAATAATAGCGGGAAAAGTGGGAGCGGCCGTTGGTTGGATGACGAGATGCAGAAAATGGGGGGAAATCCAGCTCTCAGCCGCAGGGCACTAGCTGATATTTCGTTAACCTGGAACTCTTGGAGAAAAGAAAGGCGACGCTGCTGGGGCACGGTCAGCTGAAGCCAAAGCTCGAGACTCGTTTCGCGGCAACAGTTAATCCGAGCACAAATGCAACCTTAAAGCTGATGTTGGCCTGTTGGGATTGAGAGGTGGTAATGGACTGAATCTATGGTCTTGACCTGGCGCATTCGGCTAAACTAATGCGCCGCATCTGTGGCTTTACTCCTCCGTAATTCGGCGGCTTTACCTGGTAACTTGGGTACTATCTGGCGTCTACTATACCTCCTAGCAGACTATAGTAGGTACTAGGTAGTTACATATACTGGCCGATTTATTGGTATTCCATCAACACCAATATCAGAGTCAATTGCAATCTACCACGGCCTCTCACCGTCACATTCTTTAACTACGCGGTGCCGAATAATTGATCGCTAAACGCGTATAAATTAGCCTCTATCCAGGGTAGGTAACTCTATTAGATTAACCAGTCAGGCTAGCTTCAACTGATTCCCGCAACGCGGTCAGAGCATGACGCCAGAATTGATCATCCCAGGATTAGCAGGCTAATGAATTAGAATCAGATGGATTCCCTGATTGGTAGAAGGAAATGGCCTGGGCGCATCACAATTCACATTTATCAAAGCCCGCGGGATTAGTTTGCAAGTCCCGTTGCTCTGTGCTTTACGACAGTAGGTAATACGCCGTACTCTAGTAATAGTGGGGCAAAGCAGAGCTCCTAAAATCGCCTCATCGCCTTATGATAGTGGTTCACTAATTCTCTCCTCCAGCTGCTCCCGCTCAAAGACAACCCCACGTGGTTTCTCCATGAGTTCGTCTACAACGCCTGCCAGACGCACAAGACAGCTTCTGAGCCATCTCGACCACCACACAATGGCCAACCGCGAGGCACCATGGCGCTCTACTTTCCTCTCGCACATCCAGCAGATGGACTCAGCCACTTTCACGCTCAGCACGCTCCATGCGCTGGGCGGTAATCATTTTGCGCCTAGGGCCAGGACCGTCATCTTTCGAGGCATGTGGGCTTCTCTGCCAGACAATCCTAGGAACCCGGCTCCGCGGAACCCGGCCGTCTACACCAGTGACCTGCCGGCCATTACAACAGACGTGCGCATGGAAAAGGTACCCGAGCTCATTTGCAGCAGACATGAGCCATCGGCACTATCAGAGCCACACTCTACCGCAGGAGGTCCCGTAGAAGCTGTCTTCTGGGCGAAAAGCTCTAGCACTCAGTGGCGGTTTCGAGGCCGGGCGTACGTTATTGGGCCGGACATTGATTCAGAAGCAGCCATGCCGATAAGGGCAGCCCTGCAGCCCTGGATGCGGGCTGTTGGTGGTGCAGACGAACAGAACGATGCGTGGAGCTGGAGCAGAGAACTTACCGCATGGTTTGGCAACCTGAGCCCCTTGATGAGAGGTTCGTTCCGAAACCCGCCACCGGGAACTCCTCTGACACAAGAACCTTGGTCGGGGTTGGAACCTTGGTCGGGGTTGGGGCTGGGACAGGAGGTGGAAGATGTCAACGATGCGCTGGCACGATTGTATTTTCGAGTGTTGGTCATTGTTCCAGAGACTATAGACCAAGTGGATCTGTCAGACCCCAAGAGAGCGAGGAGATGGAACCACAGAGCCGAGGTCTCAGACTCTGAAATCTCGTGGAAGACAACGGAGCTGTGGCCGTAGAGGTCCAATACCTGCAGCAAAAGGAGCATGCGCGCTAATTCACGAACCGACGTTCATATCTGTTGAAAAAATGGTCGCAAGATAGTCTACGTGCCGTGTGTCTGTACTTGATCTAGTTTAAAGGTAGATCAAAATGGACAACTGAAGCGTGATAAAATCAAAGCACTCTGCGGAGCATGGTGCGACGGATACACGGCTACTTGTACCCAAACCGGCGCAGTTGTCAGTTCCCTCAGTTACCAATAGACTATCCAGCCAGCAACAGTTTCTCCGGGACTAGAAGCAATATACCAAGCTGAGGCAGTGCGGGCCAGGAACGGAGTCTTCTGTAACCGCCGAGTTGTTTCCTCCTCACGAGCTAGCAATGCGACGTGACAGAAGAAGAATATGTCTCGATCCCGTCTTGTGCAGCTAGTTGGCTGTGGAGCCGCCGGAGAGATGACACCTCGTATAAGCTCCTGAGTAAGGATGCTGGGCGCCACGCCAGATCGGTCTTGGGAAGAAGCTTGTTTGTCGCCCGTGGCTTGGCATTCAGCTAGTAGCGGTGCGTCTAAGCTAGGCGATGCAGCTTGAGCCTGGCGGCGGCATCTTTGACGTCTTTTCAGCGCGGATCACGAAGGCGGCAAGGGGAGGCACAGCGAAAGGCAGCGGGACGAACGGTGCTAGCAGCCTATAGTGTTTGCTCGAACACGCATGTCCCAAAGCAGACCGCCATTGTATCGATCTGCTAGCCCTTTTTCTGTTCTTTTTTTTTTTCGTGCTTCCGTAGCACAAACACGTTTGCACTTGTAGCTCTGCCCTTGATGCAATCGTCGTGCGTTAGCTGCTGAATCGGGCTCGCCTATCACTGGCTGTTTTGCAGAGATTGATGTAAGGAGATCCCGCGCACAGACGCCCCTCTACGGCACGCCTTTTCCGTGGCGACCAACGGTTCTCTTGATCGCTACCCAAAGGAGAGACTGACAGAGAGAAAAAAGAGAGAGACGGTGGGTTTTGGTGTGACTCGGCTAACGGCTGGACGGCTCGTCGGTCGTCGGCGGAGATGGAGCTGGAACTTGTTTCGTTGAGGCGGCGCAGCAAGTGGGATGGCCTATTTGGCAATGCCCGAAGCACAGACAGAAACTTGAGGCCCGCGTTGTTTTTCTTCTTCTTCTTCTTTTCTTCTATTCCACCTTCTCTGAAACAAAGTGCAAGCATGTGCTGAGCAGTTCTGTGAAGGCCGGGTCAAACTCCGCAGACTGATTTCTCGTAGATGGAGCCATTGGCCTAAAAAAAGGGTGCGCAGCCAACTTCTTTAATAACGTCGCCCATTCATACGAGGTCAGGCTTTTCTAGAGCTGGCAAGGTCCTGCGATCGGCCCCTCTTATTTCCCGTCCTTCCTGTTGTTTCTCAAGTCCCCTCCTCTTTCTTGCGCAGATAGTCTAGTCCCGTTCGAAAGAGAGTCAGAGAGAAAGCATAGTGTGGCCGAGGGAGGCTCGGGTGGCCGAGTCGATGCCTGCAGAAGGGCGTCCCGGAGGTTGACCGAAAAGGGAGAGGGCATGAGCAATTGGCCGCTGGCATGATGAATGATACTTAGCCTGCTGCGGGCCTGTACTCCGTACACGATTCACATATAGGCGTAGGTGAGATGGGTGATATTGCTATTGCTGCTAAAAGTAATCAAGTTGGTAGTGCTGCGGTGGCATCTGAGACCTGCTTCTCTTGGTGTTCGGCCGATTCCAGTAGCTCTCGGCCACAGCGGTGACTTGCATGGGAAGAAACAGAACGAGATTAGAGGAAACAGGCTTTCTTCGCATTGGACCGCAATTGTCCAGATTGGGCATTTGTTGTTGATGCTTTTGGCGCAGGTCGCGCGGAGATGTCGCATCGTGTCAAACGCCCGTCCAAATCCAAAATCAGAGTGCTGACAAGCACGGACAAGGGCCTGTGCCATATGTAGGTACCGCAGGCCCAGGCCCAGGCCCATCGCCAGGTGCTGTAACGCTGCAGCTCCAGCGCACGAGGTCGTGCTGCCAGCGCTGCCAACCGCCCTACAGGACCCCGTAATATCTGTCTCAAGCCGCCTGTAGCGTGCCCGTATTCCAGTCCCTTCGGCCGCTGCGCCTCCCCCCAAGTCCCGCGCGCTTTAGTAATGGCATGGACTGGTCAATCCCAAGGGAGGCTTTGATGCCAGCCAGAATGGAGCATCATCTGCTTTTTCCAGTAAGGCGCCGTATTTTCTCGTGTCTGTACAAGTATCATCCAATGCGGCCTCAGTAGGCGGAAATCCAGCCGGTTTGTTTCTCTCCCTCCTTCTCTCCCTTCTCACACTCCTCCATTCGCTCCCATCCCCAAAAAGGCTTTTGCTTTCGTACTCCGACGCGCGTCTCTCACGTCGTATCTGTTGTGTTAAGCATTATTGCGGAGCAGGATTCTAGGCTTCTTTATTAAGCTTATTCTGTTTGCAAACTTTTTCCCACTTATCTGTTCTTTTCTTTTTGTTTCTGGTTTTGTTCCGGGTCTTGGCTGTTGTTGCTGTTTTGGACTATACGGCGAGGAGTATACTATACGGCGGCGTCCGATAATCGTTGCCTGGAAACCCACACTATGCGTGGCCTCGGCAAGGCGGCGACGCTCATATTGGCGCCAACGGCGGTGTTGGCGAGGCCTTTACCGGTGGACCCGACATCATCAACAGGTGTGTATAAGCCATGATGAATTACGTCTTCGTGGAAGAAGAGAGGGGGGGAAAGAAAAAAAGAGAGAGAGAGAGAGAGAGTTTGGAAAGAGGACGAAGCAAGACGCTTAGACGGGGTACCCTATCCGAAGCGGACGGAGGGACCATTGGGGCATCAAGCATCGACCAGCATTCATCGATACCTGTACTAATATTGCTTTTCTTATCCTCTTGAATAGGTGCTCCTACCAGCTCTGCCTTTTCCGTCGCTGTTGCTATTGATTCGAGCGGTTCCAAGAATGCCAAGACAACCGATCAGACACTGGTAAGGAAATAAAATCAAAGCTTTCCATGATCTGGTGCAACAGTAATGCTCACGATGGGAAAAGGTCTTTAATCTTGACATCCAAGAATCTTCAGAAGCTTGTAACGAAGCCAATGTAAGAATCGACGGATTCCTGCTGTCTCAAGATGACAACGGCACCGGCCAGGGGACATTTGCCTCGCTGGACGGCCACACCGTCACTGCGAGCTGGAACTTCACTTGCAAGGAGCACGTACGACGGGTGCCCTGGGATCAAGACTTGGCGTTGACAATCATGTCTTTGGACGGAGAGGCCGTTCCCGAGACGACCTTCTTCACCAGCTTTAGACAGCGAACACCTGTCAAAGTCTACGACATTGGAGGAGATTCCGTTGTGTACACCACCGATGGCCATGCGCCTACTCGAGTCGACCAAGAAAAGCTTCTGGAGAAGGTAAAGGAAATCACGGGCCTAACGGAAGTCGACGACGAGGTCAAGGCAGAAATCAAAGGCATCCTATCCATGGAGCAGCAGATCCACGAGCTCAGAGAACTCGTCGTAGTCAAGCAGCGAAAAGTATTGGACGGGCTTGGAATCAGCCCTTCAACACCGGCCTTCAACTTGCAGACCTTTTATCAAACAGCCAGGCTCGCCTCTTCTACTCTCCGGGGCACCATGGAGCACTGGGTGGACTCCGTGCTCGGATACTCGCCTGATAAAAACCATCCCCATCGTCACCACCGCCATCCCCACCGCTATCCCCAGCACCGAGAAGATGATCTCGTTGTGAGCATGCAAGTGGATGGTGAGGGAGGCCAGCACTTTTTCTATTACCGCGATCGTAACAACTCTACCCGACTAACACCAGCTCATTCCCGAAGAGTAAGTAGATCCCATTCCCCCTTCTCCCTCCCTCTTTCGTTTCACATGTAAGAGCATTTTGATTGGAATACTTGTTTCTAACCATTTTTCAAACAGCACGTCACCTACCTACCCCTATTCGCAATCATCTTCACCTTCCACCTGGGCCTTTTCTTTGTCCTCCGATCCATCCGCCAGCGAAGCCACACGCGCCGGGCGAGAAATCTCAGCAATCGCCAACACCGCCACGAAGCTCGAGCCCAACGCCGCTGCCAAAGGCAAGCCCGCCGAACCGGATTCAAGCAAAGCATCCATTATTTCCTTTGTTCTTTCCGAGATTTATTCCGCACCAAACACATCGAACTTAACGAAAAGACAAGCATGTTGATCAATTCAAGGGATGAGGAGGATACCTCTATGGAGGACGAGCTTGCGTCTTTCCAGGAGGCAGCTTCCGTTGTCAGTGACATGGTGGCTGCCGAAGAGAGAAGGACGGCAAGGAGGGACCAGTCACTACCGCCGAGGATCACTGAGGACGTGAGCCCTCCTGCTTATGACGAAGTGAGGGACATGTGTGATGAGAAGAGACCCGATGGGAATTGAGTAAACCGTCATGAAGATGAAAGAGACTATGGGTTATCAGGATTGGGAAGGAAATGAAGCCGAAAATGGCCATTAATACATAATAATAATTATAGCAAAAGAGGAAAAAAAAAACCATAAATTCATCAGGCCGTGGTGTCATATACAACTAACGGACAAAGAAACAGGCAAGCGTACCACCGACAAGATCACGTTCATAGAAATTTAGCATTTTTGTTTTTTTAATAAGGAATAGAAATTTTGAATGATAATTATTGGAATTTTTTTTAAATTTTTTTTTTTTTTCATTGTCGAATCTGCTACATCTAATTAACCATACACGAACTCTTGAAAATTCTTCCCTATAGTCCCAACCCCTTGCTCGAGATCCCACCCCTTAATCTCACACACCAGCCGATACATATCCTCCAGCACCGCCTCGGCCTCGTCACCCGCCATGTGCAAGTCACTCTCTACGAGGATCCTGTCGTCAGGCACGGCACGCACGACGCCCTCGAGTTTTGCCCTGCCACCGTCGGTGCCTAGATTGACGGCCGTGGAGAAGGATGCGAAGATTTTGGAGGGGACTGCGGGATGGAACCACTGTTTAAGGGTATCGGCACTGCCACTGTAGGAGTGGAGGCATATTCGCGGTGGGAAGGGTTTGCCGAGTGCCGGTTTCTTTTTCTTGCTCTTTGCAGCAGCTCCTGTCTCCAGTTCATTAGTTCCACTGTCGTCATCATCATCAGAGCTGCTGCTCTCTTCGGCCCCGGGGGCGATCCTTTTCTTCTCCCTTCGGGACAGGATCTTCCTCTCGTGGCCCTTCCAACAAGCCGCCATGGTGTCATACAGCACGCCGTGGGCTTGCACCCCATGCACGCTGACTGCTCTCCCCGTCTCACCCGCGAGCCGCAGCTGCGCCTGCAAGACTGCCTGCTGGTGCTGCATCTGCACTCGGTACCGGCTGAGGAGGCGGCCCTCCCGCCCGCCGGGGGTGAGGCCCTCGTCACGGCAAGATGCGTCGTCGGGGAGCCATTGTTGGGGGAGACGGAAGCCCTTGTCGAGGCCGATTTCGCCAACTAGAGCGTGAGGGAAAGCAAGGAGGTATTCGCGAGTGGATGCGATGAATGACGATAGGGGGGTTGGAGGGGGAAGAGAAGAGAGGAAAGACGGCTCTTTGGGAGTAGGCGAGAGAACGACTTTGTAATGGGCAATCTTGGCATCTTCTGCAGCTGAAGTGTCTGAATTCTCGGGATTGGGAGCCTTGTATGTGGGATTGGAGGCGGTATCATCGTAGAGCTGGTATGAGAACCATGGATGCCAGCCAAAAGCCGGAACAACTTTGCATGCCTTTTTGCCAACTGGAGCAGCGGAAGCTGGGTCTACGCTCGCGCTGCCGCCTTGATAATTCAAAGGCGAGTCCGAATCGGAAATGCCATGCTCGGTTGCGACTTTGGCAATGAGATGCTGGTCCTGAGAGCGGGTGGCCATGATAGCGAGAACTCGGGCGTTGAGCGTGGCGAGAGAGGCAATCGAGGCCATGGTATCGGTGGGATGGCAGTGCGCGTCAAAGGCGCCGAGATGCCAGGGAAAGGGGTCTCGGTAGTGCGACCGGCCATCTTGGGCTTGGTCTTGGTGTTGTTGGCACATTGTGAACGAGGCTCTCTCTCTCTCTCTCTCTCTCTCTCTTCAATTTCAGGCACCCATGTTGATTGTTCTCTAGAAATTGAGTTTGCAATAGAGTGGATGCTCTGACAAGGCTGGTTTTTTGCGCCTCCTCTTTTTTTTTTTTCTTAAGATGTCGGTTGTCCACGAGTCGGCGTCGTCCAAGTGAGACAGCAGAATGAGCTGAACTGCACGTTCGTGTATCAAACGGTGAACCATCCACCCTCTGTAGAGTCTAACAGTGCTATAGGCGAGAAACTCGGGTGGAGAAAGCGGGGAGGGCGAAACGGTCTCCCGGCGATCCACTCTGGACCGATCTCGAGCTGGACTCCATCGGATGCAGTATCGTTTTCTACATGGTATATAATAAGCTACGCGATGCTCTTCGGTGTTCGCCAGCAGATGCCGTCTGGGGAATTGACGTGTATTACTGATACGCTACGGAGTTACAGCAATTGCAGATGCCAAATCAGCATCCAATGACTCGGGGCCTGTCCCACGTCTCTGTCGCCGCGAAAGCTTCATACCCGCCCTGAGTGCCAAGCACTGACAAGCCACAAGCCACGCCGCGGCTGGCTGGCGCTTCCCCGCACCTTGTGAATCATCAATATGCCTAGATCAAGTGCAATGCAATGCAATGCACGAAGCCATCCATCCATCCGTCGCCTCTCTACACCCTCCATCTTGTGCCAGTAGCAGTCCTGATACATGCACAGTGCTGTATATCAACGTATCAACGCGTCAACGCATCAACGCATCAACGCATCAACATACCACCTACCCCGGCTCCCCCCCATCCCAGCACAGCGGGGATCTGATCCGGCCAGCCGGCTGCTCTCAAACATGTGATATCAATTCGCAAACCCACTCAACCCATCGCTCTCCCTACAGCGTTGCTCTCTCTCGAAACAGGCTTCCAGCTTGGCAGTGGCAGCCATCCTTGGATTCTAGACGCACACACACACCTTGACGCCTCCCACGAACCGAATCCTCAGATCCAAAGCAAGCCACAAGTCTGCAAAACCGCATGCTAGGCTGCTAACCGAGCTTTCTTTTCGTCTCTTCGCCACCCCTCTTTTTTACCTTTTTCTCTTCTAGGTACCATCCTTACTTGGGGAGTTTCCCTTATCGCTTTTTTGCTGACATCTCTTTTTGACCCACTGCCTTTTTTATACTGCATGCCCTGCTCAGATTCGTCTCGGTTTCTTGGCTTTCCATCAATGCTCTTATCACATCTCCTTTTTTGCGCTTCGTCCGTAACATACATAAATCCAAACGGCTTGATTGGAATTTTCCTCTTTCCTTTTTTGGCCTCTTGATTTTATTTGCTGTCCATTTTTCAATACATGTCTTGGCCTGTCGCGTGCCCTGCTCTCTTTTTATAAGACATTTCGGCATTTCACCTCACCAACGACAATCAACATCAAAACTTGATAAAAAAAAAAACATCAACCACAACAACAATCTCCGCCATGTCATGACCCATCACCTTGCGCCCATCCAATTCAGAATTCGTATTCAATCTCTCTCTCAAATGGCGCTCCTCAATCCCCTCTACGCCTGCGTCGTGCCCTTCCTCCTCATCGCCACCATCCCTCTCGCCATCTTCGCCGGCATCACCACCACCTTCGCCTTCTCCATCCTCATCTTCCGCGTCTTTGTCGTCTACCTCGACATCGCCCTCTCCCTGGTGTCGCAGTCTCTCGCCCACCTCACCGAGAGCAGCGGCTTCATCACCAGCAACAGCAGCAAGAACCATGCCCGGCCCCCACGGGCCTCGTCGTCGTCGTCGTCCATCAACAGCCGCGCCAACAGCGTCAGCCCGTCAGCCTCGTCCACGCTCCTCAAGCGGCATCGCCGCCGCAGGCCCAGCACGTCCGTCTACTCGGCCGGCACCACCACGCCGGGCAGCGACATTGGCCTCGGCCTCATCCCCAGCGTTGGCGTCGAGAGAGACTTTGAGGGCGTTGGCGGGTGGCGCCTCGGCGATGACGATGACGACGACGCCGCCTGGACCACCATCAATTCTCGCTCCGAGCTGCACGACCGGTCGCACGACAGGAATCACCGGCGCACCTTGTCCGGCGGCCCGACCAGCACTTCGGCCGAGAGCGGCTTTCTCATGATGAAGGACCGCACTCGGAGCCCCGAGAAGATGCTCCTGACGACGCCATCTCCAAACAGCTCCAGGGTCCGAGCGCCGTCGGCAGCTCCGCGTCTTGGGTCGGGCGCGAACCAGAGCGATGGATATTTTTCTCTAATGACATACTCCAAAGCTGTTAAAAGGAATCTCGCTTAATGTTTCTGGTATTGTGTGAGAAAACAAGCGTTACGAGTAGTATCTTGATGATCACAATGAATATGGGAAGTCGAATGGCTTTGGGCCAAAAAGCTTACCAGACTGTGGGTGGCTTTCATGCCATTCCATCTTTTTTTTTTATGCTTATCTCTGATGAAAACAATTTGGTTTGACAATGGTTTTGTACTCAAATCGAGTATCATGGCGCAACCGGCACGGATGGGGGGACTGAATTTGGCGTTTTTAAGCAAAAGGATCATGAGCCTGCAATTTGCAAATTTGTAAAATTATATTGACATTTTCTCTCCTTTCACCTCCTCTGCGACAGTACGCATAACCAAGATGGACATTAATATACTCCATTTTCTCATATATTCTCACCCTTTCTTCAAATTCTTCAGCAAGGTAATAGTTTCCAACATGTGCATTCAAACAGTCCTCAACGCCGCATGTCCAAATAGTCCAAAAAACAATTTCCAACTCCTCGTAGTGGTATCTTCCCAAATCAAAAACCAAAAGAAACAAGCAGCCAGCCAATCAAAACCCAATAGCTCATAATCCATCCATCAGATAGCCTGCCAAAAGTAATTCGCGTAAAAGTACCGCGAAAACTTCTTATCCATATTCACCACATGCACATCTCCCTTCCTATCATTCCTAATCACCGCCCGCGCCCACTCTCCATCCTTGTCGTCCCTCTCAATCTCGATCCCCAGGCTGCGATACACCTTCAGCCGCAGCAGCACCTCGTCATCCACGGGATCTCGTCTCCGGCTCTCCTCCGACCCCTCTACGCCCTGCAGCTCCAGCTCCTGCAGCCGCGCCGCCAGATCGGCAGCCTGCTGCGCCAGGCGCTCGGCCTCCATCTCGGCGTCGGAGGCGGCCTTGGCGACGCGGAACTTGTGCGTGTCGAGGCGCGAGATGGTCGAGGCGTGGTCCGCCGACGAGTGCGACGACAAGAGCTCGTCGTGCTGCGCGTTGATGGTGTTGAGCTGGCGGGCGAGCTTCTTGAGCGTCGAGTCGGAGTCGCGGACGTGCAGCTCGCGGGCCTGCTGCAGCGTCGAGAGCGACTCGGCGATTCGGCCGACGGCGAGCTTGTCGGGCTGGATGTTGAAGTTGTTGATGGTGTGGTGGATGAGCTGTGAGGCGCGGGTTAGCATTGAGCATTCTGCATCTTTTTTTCTTGGTGCTTCATTGGGCAAAACACACGGTAGCTGGATCCTCGGCGAGAAGCATCGTGGCGGTTGTTTATCGCTTGGCTGCTGCGTGAAATATCTCCGAGAAGGCGTCTTCTTCTTCTTATTGTTCGTTGTTAAAGAGTAATGAACAGTTGTTAAACACAAAATGCAGGGCGTCCCCCCCAAAAAAAAATCGACAATGATGAAAAACGAAACATTTCTCCAGCTAAGAAACATGCCCTCTCCATGTTACAGGCACATCCTTAGCCCGTTTCCCGGGACGACCATCTGCCCCGTTCAAACAAGCCACAGCTTCTTCACGTCATCTCCCCTCGGGCTCCGCCACACCGCATCTCCCCTCCAGCCACACACAGTCTTTAGCAGCCAAGCTTGGCTTCCCAGACAAAGGCCAAGCCTCATTGGCAAACTCACGAGACCAACAGGCCAAAAACCAAAGTCATACCTACGCCAACGACTACGCCATCAGCTCTTCTTCATTTCATCTACCGCCTTTCCTTCTTCTCCCTTGCATCCCAGTTTCTATAGCTTCTCCCCCTCCCCTCACCTGCTCCCGTCCAGCTCCTCGAACAATACTCGTTCAGTTCTTCCCACCTCTTTTCGATCGAACCTAAAAGCGACCTCGGCATCGTTCGCCACTTTGCGCCTCCCTTGCTGCTCTACTTTCTTTGTCTCTTCAGCTCCAAAGAAAAAAAAAAAAAGGCGAGCTTTTCGTTTTGCGCCGCATCGTATAGTACAAAAGTCCCCTTCCCCAACGGGATCCTAGCAAAATGGTTACAGAACTCCCCTGTAAGACGGACCCTCCTTAGCCTTTTCCCTCGCCAGTCTACAAGCTCTCGGCGCAACGGTGGCTCTCTTGCGCCTCCATTTCACCAGCAACATTGCGACATACGCATCATCGAAGAACCATCTCAGCTAACTGGCCTTCCAACATGACAGACGCCCTCGATGCAGAGACGTTCGTACTCCCCATCTCTTATGAGCGCCGTACAAAGTACAAATCCATTGCATCATAATCTAACCGCCTTCTTCCAAATGTGTCCAGGCCTCTGAACCCTTCAGAACTCAGCGTCCTGCGCGCCCAGTTCGAAAAAGAGGGTGAAATGGTCGGCGTCCAAACCAAATTCAACTACGCCTGGGTTTGTCTCCCTTCCATAGCATAAAACTTTCCCCCCAAAAAAGCACGCGTCCGCTCTATTCTTACTCTTCTCTCTTATCAAGGGCCTCGTCAAGTCAAACAACCGCAACGACCAGCAGCTCGGCGTCCGTCTCCTCTCCGACATCTTCCGCGTCTCCCCCGAGCGCCGCCGCGAATGCCTCTACTACCTCGCCCTCGGCAACTACAAGCTCGGCAACTACGGCGAGGCGCGCCGCTACAACGACCTCCTCCTCGACAAGGAGCCCGCCAACCTCCAGGCCACCGACCTGCGCCAGCTCATCGACGACAAGGTCGCCAAGGAAGGCCTTCTAGGCGTCGCCATCATTAGCGGTATTGGCATCGCCGCCGGCGTCGTCGGTGCTTTCTTGCTGCGGAATGCGAAACGGAGGTGAAACATAAAGACTATCATATATTTTATACGCAATAATTAGGGACTAAAAGGATATAAACAGTTAAAAAAAAAATATAAACGAAGCAAAAAAAAGAAAGAGATTCAAACAAGAATGCCGAGACGATTGTAAGCTAGCTAGCGGAATCACTTCAAACAAACAACCAGACGCTCTTCTTTCTCCTCTTACAACGCAGCCTTTAAATATTGGCCAGACACTTTTGACACAAAGATCAAGACTTTGTGTGGGCTGGGAACGTGTTACATCTTCACTCGCACGAGCTTACGGGCAGAAAGTTTCAGAAAAAAAAGAAAAATAGAGACAGTAAATCAAACTAGCTAGGAAATTACGACAAACAAGCCTAGACATACCGTCGTGTGTTGAGACGTCAATCACACGACTAAAATACAACAGTTGCTGATTTCAACCCTCCTCCAGCCGTCCATTTGCTCCAGCCAAATTCAAATCCGCAATCGCTGTTCCATCCAGACAGATAACAAAAGCCATCTGAAGGCATGCCGAGGGGAATAGACGGGAGACGCAGGGTATTTTCGGCGATATCTCTGCCTGACATAGATTTCAAGGAAAGCATAAAGTGACAATCGTGTAGGGAATGAATAATGAGTGACTTTCCGCACGGCGGCCCCAACCCTCCCACAACAACTGTACCAAAAGGCGGGAGGACATTAATTAGTTTGCCTGTGACTCTTCTCTAGGAGCACCGCCCTGCTTCGCCCTTTGGGACAATGGCCTGGTAGATAGCAAAGACGCCCCTCCCATAAAAGAACCCCGACTCCCTGTTTTGGATGCGACCACCATACCAAGTCAAGATTTGCAATGTTTTCATAGTCTGCACTTCTTCCCACCCTGCATGACCAGTTTTTCATAACAAAGGCTTTTTTCCTTGCCCACCCTCTGGAAGACAAACTTTTCTTGGCTGCGATTATATGAGTGAGTTTATGATTAAAATAAAGTGACGAGAAGGAGGCGACATAAAAAAAAAACAAAAGAATCGAAAAAATGAAAAAGGAAAGGCGTCGAGCAGATATTGTATGGACATCATGGATATTCTGATATTGATCATGCAGGAAAGCAAGTCGCAACTCGAGAGTGGTGAGCGGAGGCCATTGGGATTGGTTTATCGCAGAGAGAATCCCTTTCGCTTGCCCTCCTTCTCTATCGGTCGCCCGCTCTCGACGCGCTGCTTCTTGTCTTCGAGTTCTAGGCGCTGGCGGTCGAGCTGCTCCTTCATTTCTCGGTGGCGTGCGTAGAGCTCTTCTTCTGATTGCTTGAGCTTGCTCTCCTTCTCCGCCACCTTCTGCTGGAAGACCATCTTCATCTCGGCCTCCATCTTGGCGAGCTTCTGCTCGTGCAGGGCACGCTCCTCCTCCTGCTTGACAGCAGGGTTGACCTCCTTGAAGACACTAGGATCTTGGGAAACACCCATAGCGAGCAGTTTGTCGGTTCTGTAGTTCTCGTAGAGGGTGTTGTTGGTGTGCTCCTTGAGCTCCTCCATGTGTGTTCGGATAAGCATCTGTCGAAGCTTGACAAAGTCGCAGTGCTCCTCGTTGTCAACCTCGATGATACCCCATGGGTATTCACGACCACGGACCTTGCGGCCATCAGCAGTCTTGATCTCGTTCGTGGCGCCAACAACAGCGAAGGGGACCTTGGACATGATTTCGTTGTTCTCGGCAATGGTCTCTTCGTCGTCGAGCTCATATCGGGGGCCCTCGAAAATCTGGATACCGTGGTACTTGATATCGGCCAAGATCTAAAAGAGCGTAGAAAAAATTAGCCAAATCATCCATGCTAAAACACTACACATGAAAAGATGAGAAAAAGGGCTCAACTTACTCGTGCCTTGAAGCTGGCAATCTCCTCGTCCGTCAGGGTGTCGGACTTGGCGATGACAGGAATCAGGTTGACCTTGGTGTGAAGGCGTCGCATAACCTCGATATCCAATGGCTTCAGTGAGTGGCCAGTAGGCTGGATGAAGAAGACACAGGCGTGAATTCGGTTGTCAACAATGTTCATTCGGTTGACCTTGTTTTCAGCGTCCAGGTAGGCGTCAAAGCGCTGCTCAATGTTGTCGACAATAGGTCGCCAAGACTCATCGTTGTTAACGAAATCGCCAAAGCCGGGGGTGTCGACGACTGTTAGGCGCAGACGGACACCGGCCTCCTCAATATCGGCACTGATGGATTGGATGGTGACAGTCTTGGGAATGATGTCCAGGCTAGGCGCCTTGCGCTC